TTTATGTCTTATTTTTTGATACTGGACTGATATATGTTTGGGTCTTAGCTGCTATGTTTGTCTAAATCCAATGAGGCTGTGCTTTGTTTTGGTGCTTAAGGTAATTAAATTTTTTTTTACAATTAATAGTTCCCTTTATGCTACTTGTGAAACCAAAACTATATATAGACAGATTATACACAGTAAATTTTAATAATAAGTCAATAGAAAATGTACATGATTTAGTGTTGAGGATTAATTAAGATGTCTCACAGCCCAAAGGAAGAAGCTGTTCCTAAAGGTCCAGTGTGTAACATTTAGGAGGATCAATTAGCAGAAATGGAATATAATATTCATGGGTATGTTTTCATTAGTGTATAAATACCTGAATATAAGAATCGTTGTGTTTTTGTTACCTTAAAATTAGAATGTTTTTATCTGCAGATGCTGTGTCTCCCCTCCCATGGAGTCCACCATGTTTTTACAGTAGCCAATAATGGACAAAGCAAACACTGGCTGTAGGTAGGGCCTTTTGGGTTTTTCATGACTTACAGATGTGAGCCGTGTTAAGTTGCAATCGGCAACTTCACCACTAGATGCCACTAAATCCTACACACTGGTCCTTTAAGTCTGGTGGTACAGTAGCTTCCTTATCCCATGCCAGACGGCTGCAGGGTGAGCAGGTTGTATTATACTGTTATAAAATATTATTAGTATATTCTGTTTCAAGCAAAAACCACATCACATCAAACTAAAACCTCAGAAATGCCCCTATCATAACACCTTCCTGACAAACTGTCTACAGCAATTTAAGTACAAAATTCATAATGGAAGAACTGTGTAGCTGCAGAAGGCATTAAGTAACTTTCATTATATGCCATTATTCAGTGCTATTCTACTGTACAAACTGCAGTAGTTATTGCATATATATATGTGTGTGTTTGTTTGTGTCAGGTTGTTTGTTTTGTGCAGGTGTTCATAATATATAGCCTACATAGATATGGTACACTGTAAAACCAGATAAATCAATTTAACTCAAAAAATGTTAACTGATAGCGTCATACATTTTAAGTAAACTAACTAAATTTAGTAGCTTTAGTCATTTAAGTGACACTGACTTAATTTTTTAATTTTTAATTTTTAATCATTAATGTTTCTGCAACTTAGAAACCAAAAATGTTCAATGTAATCCATTTCAACCATTTTGATTAGTTCAAATAACTTCTCGCATTAGAGTGCAATGTTTTTTGGTGTGATTTTTATTATACAAAAACACCTCTTGCGTGGAAAATTTACAATTTAGTTCTATTTATACAACATATTATATCATATCTTGTATATTTTATTATATGTTGTTATACTGTACATTAAATATTATTCCTGCAGTAGCTCTATGTTGTTTTATGCTTTACTTGTGAAGATGAGGAGGTTGTGAAGGTTTTCTTCCTTTGTTTTAATATTCTCCTTGTTATTTTGCACTCCATAAAGCTTAGCCACATGATCATAATGACTTGCATGTGCGATTTGTTATACTTATTGAACTTCATGCACTCCCACTCAATCTATTTTCAATACCATGGAATGTTATTACATAAACTGCTGGTATTTATAATTCCTCTTATTTGCCTGGATAGGCTGTATTCATTCGATGCCCCAGAGACCACTTTAGTTGTCACTTATTTTATCTCTACTTTCATCACATTCTCCTAAATAGAGAATTATGGATGAAATGAAATGATAAATGACCCTGTGTTTTATCTGTGAAATGCCATTTAAGACATAAAATGGTCTCAACAAAAGACATAATGCTGCAATTAGCTATCTGGGTAGTGATTCTAATTGGCCTTGAAGCCTGCTGATGGGAGGAGACTTGACCTTCATTAGAAGGTGTGCAGTGCCAATTAGCCTGAGCAGCCAAGCCTGGAAGAAGAGGTCACCTGGCTCAACTTTCCCACGACAGGGTGCTCTCCTAACTCTCAGCCAGCGACATGATCGAATATTCTCTATATACAGTAGAAATTCATTAAACTATTTCCACCTTGTTCAAAAATTACTCAATGGTCTAAGAGCCTGTTCCTGCAAGTCATTTCCACTACTGTAGTTTCAGTGTCCAAAACTCGCAAATCAAACCCTGTAGTCTAGAATCTTACCTTCTGTAGACTACACTGCTCTAAATCCTACATTAATGCTGTTCTGCATCTATGTATGAAACAGTAAAACACAAACTACACAACATTTTGAGACTAAATAAAGGCAAATTAATGGATTGAAGAGATTGAAGTAATTGGCAGTTGTGTGGCAACCCAATCCATAGTGTCAAAAATATGAAGAAAGGTCTGTAAACACATGCAGCCCTGATACAGTGGTATGGATGTCTGAAACACTGATGTTGTTGTATTCTAAATAAGAAATGAATATGTGGTTTAGTTGTACTCACTTTAATTGTTAGCACTGCATTTTTTGTTCAAGTTGCGTCTTTTCATTAAAACGTTTGAATATTGAAGCTCTGCTCTGAAAATGAAACCAATGCAATTGTAAAAGTAGTGATGTATAAAGAAATATTACAAATCGTCCTAAAAATTGGCAAATAGAAACAGTTAACTTCCTCATGACAGGGGTGTGAGACAAAGTTGCAGTCAGTCCCTCCAGGACTTTTTAGCATTTTTGGGGCCTAAAATGTTTTCACAGCAGATATTCTGAAAAGTTGTGATGCATGTTGAGATGTGCTATTTTCTACAATGAAATTGTGGGAGAAAGTGAAAATTGCAAAAATATATTTTTTTCCAGTCAGAATAAAATCCCACTGTTTGGACAGGATCAGTGTGAGCGTTCGTACGTGTCTGCATGGTCTGCATCCTCCAGGAAGTTGCAATGTTGTGCAACAGTTTATGCAATTTCAACCGATCCCCGAGAATTTTGTTCAATCACTCAGCAACTTTTCGGTCATTTCAATCATTGAAACTTTTACTAATCTTAGCACTAAAACGTGAGCCATATGTCACCAAACTACTAAGGTTGTGAATCTTTTGGTATCTCACGATTCAATTCTATTTGATTCTTGGTCATGGTTTGATTTAAAACAACTCTCGATTGAGTACACAGTAGTGCTCATTCCAAGATCTACTCCAGCCCGCTGTGCAGTAAGAAAGCCTCTCATATTGAATGAGTCATCTCAGGTTCCTTCTCCCCGAGAGATTGTAGAATCCAAAGGAAGCCCCAACGCTTGCCTTCAATGGAGATGGGACTGGCTAAATTTCCTGCTGCTCAGTTTTAGCTAGTCTACCGACTACAAGAACTGACATTTGAAGCGATTGATTAGCCAGTAGCTACATTGCTTGCTGCAGCCGTGTATTTCGGAAGGCAGAGTGGGTGCACAGAAAATCTGCATTTGCAGCAGTGAAGATTCTTAATTATAGTTAAGATTTTTTTTTTTTTATATAAATCTATTTTTGGAAGTTCTGAGTTGATTCAGAATCGTAAAGATAAAAATCACGATTCCTACCTAAATCAATTTTATTTTAACTGAATCAAGTTGCCTTTGATTTTTAATGAATTATACAAAAAATTATCTAGGACATGTTTCTGTGATTTCCACTTAGTCCTGCAGTTTCATTGCAAAAAAGGCAGGCATTTTAGACCACAACAGTCCCAAAAAAAAAACCTGTGAAATCCTGGAGGGACTGCATAGAGCTCCACTGTTGTTCAGTCTATCAAAGAAAACACATCAGTGAGCCACACTGTTGCACTGTTGTTCTTCATTACCATGAACACACACACTTTATTTTGTCTCAGTCTCACAAAAAACTGTCCTACTGCTCGAAATACTCACTAGAGCACCAAATGTGTATTAATCCGCTGCTGGAAATAGTCCCCAACAAATACATTGTATCTTTCTGTTAGTAACGTTTAATAAAAACTACAGTAATACTCGAATGCATACTTGTTAGCTGGCCCCATCTAAAGAATACTTATGGTGGCAGTGTTGATTTCTCACTTGCCGTTAATCCCTCAAACTGTCTGAGCAATCGACTCATCCCCTCCAGAGCAGGTTCCTGCTTATTTGCATGGGACTGGGCCCATGCTTTGCATTTCATATTATTTCCCCTGACTTATCCTGCCTAGGCCTTTCCTTTCCTGCCCTCCCACCCCCACCCCTTCACACACAAACACGTGCACATCTTATCCTCTCTCTCGCTCTTTCTCTCCCTCCCTTCGGTCAATCCCTTTGAGTCCCTCTCTCTCATTATGAAGTGTTAGAAAGTTGCTGGAGTGAGAAATGAGCCTGCGAAAGCTCGTTGTCCTAATTAAACTTTGACATAAAGGGTGACAAGAAGCGACGAAGGGGAAACAATAGCAGACTGTGTATGAGTGCAAGTCCGGAGCAAGCAAGCAGCTTTGTCCCCCAAGAACAAAAGCATTTGTTTGCATGTGTTCAACTCCATTCAACTTCACCAGGCCCAGGTGCAAAAACCAACTTTGCGAGGAACATCACAACTCATAACACCTTTGCACGGTTGACGAACAGCCTGCGGTCGGCCCGAATAGGCCGACAGAAGCAGATCAAAGCTGCTGTGTTGCGATGTAAATATTGTGCAGCAGAATGGATTCAGTCTCATTACTTTCACAGCCTGGACTGAAAGACGCAGCCAAACGATTGGATCTTACTCTCGTCTCTCCCTGCTATTCTCACACACACAGCTCCTGCCCACCAGTTAAGAATGAAAATAAAAATGTTATTTATTCACCATTTTCAATGGTAGCTGCTGCCTCACAGCCCTACTTACTGTATGTACAGTAAGAGGGCCACAGTAGATAAACCTAGGCACACCACCATCTCCCACACAATCCACAAAACATTAGTAATAAATACAAATGTTTCTGAATGTTTCCAAGGTGCTGCAAGAACAAGAATACCCTCAGATAAGGGCCCTTGAGAGGCAGGCCATGCAGGGGCGGAGTTGGGCTCTCCTCAACTGCTGTGTGAGGAGGGAGGAACTCCACATTCTTATAAAAAGCCAGTGGATGGGCTGACAGTGTTGAGTAGACGGAGCAGACAGACTGGCCCTGGACTGTACTGCTGACCTAGAATGGCACAGAACGGAACAGCAGAGAATGGAGTGGCCGAAGAGATCCCAGCTTTGCCTTTTCCTCAGCCTGTCAAAGTCCAGGATATCAGGCACACCAAGGTAAGGGGGCTCTGCACAGAGTTACACCAGGTTCAGCTGCTGCAGGTAGACAGCTCAGGCATTTACTCTCAGTGTGCTTTTAGCTTTGGTGCTGGTATAAATCAGGTGTCAGCTAAGGCACAAACACTCTCCACTTTCCACAGATTTTTATAGACAATGAATGGCACACATCCAGCAGAGGAAGGACATTCCCAACTTTCAACCCAGCGACAGGTGTCAGAATCTGTGATGTGGAAGAAGCAGACAAAGTAAGAAGGCATCAATTGTGGACTAAATAATGTTACTAAGAATATATAATTGAACTTAGTGTAGGCCTACATGCTGTACCACTTAATAAGTAATTCCTTAAATGAAATAATTTTCTGCTTTGCTGCAACTCCTTGGCTCTAATCCCATAGGAAAAGGTTTTTTCTGCCAAACTTAATTTAAATATTTGTTGATTTAAGGTTTTGTGTCGGTCAGTAGGACTATCTATGGATTACAGCATAACATGTAATCACATGGATAAGGACTTTTTTGCCGAATTCGGTCCATAGGCTTTCAACAAACTAGCTTTGACAATAGAATTTTACACTGCTGTTTACTGCACGCCACGCACATTTCTGATAACGTTGGAACCCACATTCTTCAAAATAAATGTACTGTTTTAACTACCAATACTCGTATTGCTTCAGTATTGCAAACTGGCCGTGAAACTATCGGAAAGTCATCCTGTGGGAATGTGCTGGAGCCTACTTTCTTTTCTCTGTGCAGGAAGATGTGGATAAGGCGGTGGAGGCAGCCAAGGCGGCCGGGCAGAGGGGCTCTCCGTGGCGGAGAGTGGACGCGTCCAGCCGGGGCAGGCTGCTGCACAAACTGGCCGACCTGATGGAGAGGGACCGGCTGCTGCTGGCGGTGGGCTCACTCCCAGTGCTCTCTTTAGGCTGTTAACGTTTCCTCCCTCGCTGTAGACACAACGGGACTTTTCGGAATTGTTCGTAGCCTTCGTAGTGATTCCGCATTCAGTAACCTACATACACTTTTACTAAATGAGATTTAAAGTATGACTTGATTTTTCTTTCACATTATGATAGTCTTATGCAGTTCAATTATTATAGATGAATTCAATGAAACTGGGATTGATGCGCTACTCCTGTTGTTCAGTTAAATAATATAGAAAACAAGTAAGTTAATGAAAATATTCTTAATTATTGGAAGCGAAGGAATTTATTACAAACTAAATATCAATTCATTCCAAAACCTAACCTCCAAAAACTAGGCTAAAGCAATGTGGCAAAAACATAATGACAAGAAGAACAATTTAAATTGATCAGTGCCATGGTGATTGCATTGTTGATCACCATGACACAGCAGGTTTTTATTCTGACTACAGATCACTGATTTCCACTGTTAGAAAAATCATGAATTATAAAAAATATCCTGCACTTAAAGTAAAAGTAACAAACTCCATTACAAGCAAGTCTTGCATTCAAAATTTCACTGAAATAAAAGTACAAGATTGTACTAAATGTACCTCAAGTATCAAAAGTATAATTACTCATTATGCAGAGATATATTAGTGTATATTATATTATTGGATTATTATTATTACGGGTGCATAATAATGCATTATGTGCATCACATTTTATTGTCATTGTAGGAAAAATCTTAATCTGCTACAATAAGTAGCTGTCAGATAAATGTGGTGGAGTAAAAAGTGCAACATTACCAAGTAGAAATATAGAGTAAGAGGACTGGAACTTGGTATTGAAGTACTTGCAATAGAATTTTAATTTACTTTCCAGCACTGCTGATTTATTTAACAGATTTCATTGTTTTTTGGATCTTTCCCCTTAATAATTATAAAACCAGTGTCAGATCTGAACAAGCACTGGACAGTATGATATTCCCATAATCTCCAGTTCCTGCAGTATAACCAACACCTGTATGTTTCAACTGAATGCCACTAACAGGCATTGTTAGCATTGCTGGTTCAGACATTATTAATAACAATAGGAACAAGTACTCTTTCAAAAGCAACAACTTTATGGGATTTGTGGGAAGTGTGTCCATGTGCTGTCATGATATTGACTTATTCATATCTGGGCTTGGCCTATATTATTGCATGACATCATGACACTGTGGCCCCACCCCGGCCCTCTCCCTTTCTCTTCGTAATGATTGCTGGATGTTACTCTCCCTCTCTCTCAGATATTGTTTGGAATGAAATCCCTGTTGCTGTGCCTTTCCACTCTGTTTAGCTGCCAGCTTGCATTAAGACTTAGATCTGCAAATGAACCCTTACAGATGTGAGTGAAGTAATAATACCAGATTGCATGTGACTGCTAATTGCAAACATGCTCTGGAGTGGTAGTGCGGAGGGTACGGCTAATTACACTAAACTCCTAGCTATGTTTGGGGAAATAAGGACCAGATTCAGACCATTTAAATGTACAGTAAAGTGCTACAGTGGCTTCAGGATCTGCCTCTTATTTTTCCTTTTACAGTAAAATAAAAGTAACTCCAGTAAACATGGTATAGATGTTTGAGAGGAATAGTGTGCACAATATAGACTGAACCATGTCTGACAAACATAATCATAATTATGCCCTAACATAATCAATTATTTACTCAGTTTTAAGCTTGTCTTGCTGCCATATATTTATAAAGACATACTGCAGTGGACCAGTGTGGCTGACATCCCACTGCACCACCCTTGGATCCACATAGAGGCTGCCCCGCCAGCAATTTCAGCCTCATACAACCCACTGCCTTTGTTAGGCCCTAGATTAATTCACCTTTATTATAGTAATTATTATTATTATATCTGGAACCAGCAAGCATAACATCATAATAAATTCCTAGTATATTGTATAACAGAGAAATAAAACAGTCTGTAGATGGCCAACAGTCAGTTTATCGGCAACCTGCGCTGTGCAAGGAGAGGCCTTGGAAGGTAGCGGGGGTATTTATTTAAGCATTACTCCAGTTTATTTCGGTCTTATGCTTGTCCAATATTTCCATCAGTTATAATAACAGTGTATTTGCCAAAGTAATTTCTGAGATCTGTAACACATCACTACAATGAAGCCCGAGCGGTCAGATGATCAGACAGGTTGGAAACAAGGCAACAGTTTGTCCAGATTATCTACATCACTTCATTTGGAGGTCAAACTGAAAGTGAGTGAAATGCTGCTAATCACCCCTCACAACACTAAGTAAGCAGGAAGTGGGTCTGTAAACTGTGATACATGTTAACAACACACAGTTTGTTCAATCGTTTTTCAATTTGGCTTCATTTTGTCCTCCAGAAGAGGATGACAGGGGTAGGAAATAAGAAAAACCTCAATTCTGTTTATTTTTTCTGAAGTCAAGTCAAACTATACGAAGAGGAAAAACTACTCTTTAGTTGAGCCACTCAAAAATCTAAGCGCAAGATACTGTGAGGCAGAGGTCCAAAGTATAGACTGCTTCATCTGTAGAGATCACCTGAGTACATTGTTACTGATACTGATAGGAATGAAGGCCAATACTACAGAAATAGGATCCAAGTTGTATAAATTATAATTACCCTGTGGCTGGGGCTCAGGAAGTAGAGCGTGTCGTCCACTAATCAGAAGGTTGACGGTTCGATCACAGCCTCTTCCCACTGCATGTCGAAGTGTCCTTGAGCAAGATACTGAACCCCAAATTGCTCCTGATGCCATTGATGTATGAATGTGAATGAGTATTAGTTTCTGTATGTAATGAGCCTTTGAATATGGGTGAATGTAGCATGTAGTCTAAAGCACTTTAAGTGGTCGGACGACTAGGTATAAGTACCATTAAAGGTTTTTTAAAAGTATTTAAGATTGATGCTAGTTTCCCTGTTTTCTTTAGACCCTGGAGACTCTGGACACAGGGAAGCCTTTCCTGCAGTCCTTCTTCATCGACCTGGACGGCAGCATCAAAACTCTTCGTTACTACGCTGGCTGGACCGACAAGATCCACGGCAAGAGTCTGCCTATAGGTGAGTGTGTGTCATGCTCTTCTTCAACAACTCAAACCATCATGGCCGACCAGTTGGGAGGTCACATTAAAAGCATGACATGTACATATGTAAGACAGTAAGACAGCAGAAATCCTAAAAAGAGAGCGAGAAAATTAAACAATAACTGTGAATGAAGCAGGGGTGTCACTAAAAATTAGAATTATATAGGGCTAACCAGTATCTATACCATGGTTACGCTCTTGATTATACATGAAGTATACATACAGCACTGTAATGCGATAAGTTATTTTAACCAAAAACAACTGTTGAAACGGATTACATCAGAAAATTTAAGTAACAGCTACTCAAAAGATAAAAGGATGATTCCCGAAAAGCAGCTTTTACTTCATTTTGGCAGCACTAAGAGCTCAATCACTGTCACAGTAGTTATGCGTAAAAATCACTTGACCCTGGGTCACAGTTACTGAGACACTATGTGCCTATTTAAACAGCTTAATTGTTTGAAATATAAGCATACCTGCTCTATTAGGTGGACAGCTGAAAAACACCTCTTGTATTGACAGAAGAATATACGTGCTAGTTTATGGTGTACAACCTGTAGTGATGGGAACTCTTTTTTGTGAGCCAGATCGTTTGGCTCAGCTCAGCAATAACAGTCAGATCTTTCGGCTCCCACTTCTGGATTTTATAATTTAGCCAAATTTAGCAATCCTTGGATATTGTAAAAACATCAAACACTATTAAACACGTATATTGAAAGTTTTATTCATATTGAACTATATTTTGTATGTTGGCAACATACAAAAGTCTCATCATGCTTGGGTTTTAATGTTATTACAATGCCATTTTTGCACTGTATTTAACAAATACATTTGTATTGTATTGATTTTTTCTAAACAAACGTAAGAAAAAAGGAGCCTTGTTTACAAAATACACATCATTAATCATTTGTACTGTAGTGCAAAACTAATTCTGCACGCATTAAAACAGAGCCTGTGGTTGACAGGAGTCTTTTTTTCTTTTACTGTTGTAACTTATGTAGTCATTTGTTCTCTCATATTAATAACTCATGCACAATTTAGTCATTTGAATTACTTAATTCCCATCATTACAAACTATTTGATTTGTGTTCTCAAATTATTGTTAAATCAATGTAACAGCAGGAACTCATGTGTTCTGCTATTGTGGTAGCTATAATTACTCAATTAATGTATTTCATTATTTATTCAATCACACATTTGAGAGCATGAGTTAATAATTTTTGCTCACAAATTAGTTTTCTTTATGAGCTCCATACAAAATAAAGAAAAATGGCTATAACGTTGAGTTTGCACAAGATAATTATCAGTGGACATGAGATGAGTTTCCAGTGGGCACTACAAACACAGGGGAACTTTTTGCACGTCTCCTCAGGGGCTCCGTAACCAGCATGCCGTTGGGAAACAAGTTAATTACTAAAGAGCAAGTGGCTCAGGATTGTCCTCAGCCCTGGGTGGTATCTCGTCCAGCCTCTTAATACTTCCCCCTCTCGTCAGATCCTACTTTGCGTCTCCCCTGCAGGACAGCAGATAGACAAAACACGCTTGCCTTTTCCTCCCGATTAGATACCAATAGAGCGGTGAGAGACGAAAGGCGCGGCAGGACAATGGGAAGAGGAAGAGGCTGAGATAGTAATCAGTGAGGTGCAACAGTCTGTGAGGATTAACAATCAGTGTTGGCTCAATGCCTTGCTGAGCCGGCAGCCACTCAGCAAGTAATCCCTACTTCTTTACTGGAGTAGTCTCACTACCAGTCATTATCATCATTAAGACGAGACACATAGCTGAGGTATAGTTCAATACGGAAACTGCAGAACCTTAGGCTACACACACACTGTGAAATGCAGACTGGAATTTGAATTTAACAAACATGCTTTGGGGCTGCTGCGTAGACTGCTGGTTTCACTGGATGCAGTTGAAGCCAGAGTAAACGTCTTTCTGGAGTCATAGAATAATCACTGATGTGTAGTGGAAATGTCAATAATTGCTAGAACTTTCTCCTTCATTCTAAATATACTGACTATTGCTCACTAGTGCATTGCCAACACATTCTCATTCCCAGCTCGTCACATACCGCTCTTAATAAGACACAAGCTGGGGCGCCCTGATAGCTCACCTGGGTTCGAATCTGACCTGTGGCCCTTTGCTGTGTGTCATCTCCCCTCTGCAGTCACTATCATAGGCAATAAAAGCCCCCAAAACATATTTAAAATAATAACACATAAGCTCCCCCCATTTATGACATTTTGGGGTGTCTCTAAAACATTGACAATGTGCTATTTTTGCCATGAATTTCTATTTCTTCATCATCGTGGATCATGCATGAAATTAGACCACTATTATTGATGATTATTGTGCTTATCTGTATATGATGGTTAACAGTTGTTGATAAGAAGGCAGAAGACCTTTTGATTTAATGCTAATACATGTGTGTGTTTATAGGCTGTTTTGCTATTTTACCGGTCTGTGTCTAATTTTTGCCTACAACCTATAGAATACCTAGAAAATACCCCCAACACACCTTTAAAAAAGTGAGCTCTGCAAAAGCCATGGCACTCTGGCTGTGGCGTGGCAATAATGAAGGATTCTGGACAGCAAACACTGCGTTTCCAGTCAATAACAATTCAGTCAGTCGACAGGTTGAGACAGATAGAACAAAACATGGGGCAAATAAAAACCAAAAGCACTTTCACTTTTTATTTCACTCATTCTTCTTACCAGAAGTGTTCTTATCATGTTTGTCTCATGTTGACATTGAATCACTGCTACTTCAGACATAATATGTGATTCATCAGCTGCTTTCATTTTCAGTTTGACAGAAAATGCAATTTTGACATTAGTTTATCGGCCCTGCTTACCTTCCCAGGTTAACCCGGCCTTCAAAGATCAATCATGCCATCTCCAGGAATAAGTGATGAAATGTTTAGTTTATAGCAGTATAGTTTTTTTGACATTATGAAAAACTGCACATTAAATTACACAAGTCCTGGTAACAAGTAACAACCAGTAAACCAGTACAACAAATACCAACATTATTGTCAGTAAAATTGCTCCAAGCCAAACAGCAAAACGTAAATCCTAAAAATACATACAAACAAAATATTATTTTATTATTTTATTTAATGTGTAAAGTTTACTATTCTAATTGCTGGTGCTGCAGGATCTAAAGGATCAGTTACCCACGTTGATATTCAACCTTAGCAAGCAACAAGTCAACCACACTGTACATATGAGTTCCTTGAAATACTATGTATCACACTTACTTTTAGTTGTACAGCTCGAGCATGCTAAAGTGAAATTGCTGTTTGATAGAACTTCAGACTACACCAAGTACATTAAAAAAAGTCTGTGCTAAGGCATTTATCAGTTTTTGATTGTGGGGAAACAGTAAAATTCCTCTGGGCCAAATCAGATCACACACCTATTTTTTTTTATTTGACAACTAAGGTAATTATTAATATAATATTATTTCACTTCCATTAACTGGACTATTCTTTCATACATGAATTGTTGGAGGTAATACATTTAAAATCAGTCAATCAATCAGTAAGGGAAAATTGTTCGGAGCCCCCGCTGGGGAGTCCCTCGTCCCACCTTGAAGACTTATGAACTAGGGCAATACTGGTTTCAGTTTCGATTCAAGTTACTAACTAAAGTATACGTTATGTCCTGACCTGGCATCTTTTCCTCTATTGCGAGCTAGCTATGGATTCCCCATTCAAAAAAAGAAAAGAATTGGAGGAAAGCTACATTAGCAGTTAGCGGAGTTGAGGCAGAGCAGCCAGAGGACATCTGAGGGAAAAACAGATATTATTTTCTCCATAAAATATGAACATTGTACACATCTCACTGATAAAGTTGAGTTATTGGTACGGTAATCAGTGACGTCTGGCCTGTTGCTAGCTTGCTAATATACTAATATCTTCGCTCTGTATTTTATTATTTCATCTGGTTGAGATGGAGTTCATTCTACTGTAGGGGAACAATAGAATCATTTCACTCAAGTTTCCAAACTGCAGCTTTAAATGACTGATATTCAACTAGTCATCAAGTTATATATATTTATATATATATATATATATATAGTATATGTTATACTTTTAGTAGGAAATCTCCTTACTTCTTCCAGCAGCCCCCCTTTTTTTGTTTATGACTCCACCAGTTCCGTGGGATATTCCAGTGTGTGTCAGTTAGGCCTGGGGCTGCTTCTCTGAATCTTGTGTTACACGTAGCCCCCCCCAGGACGATTCCTGCTTACTTCCCCGTTGAGTGAGCGCAACCTTCAGTGGGCTACAATTGAACATGGACTCTCCCAGTGACTCAAAGATAAAGGCAGCTGGAGATGAGTCCTGTCGTGGGGGAGTCTCCCAGTCTGTGATCAGTCACACGGGAAATTAGAGAAGGTCAGGGTGTGGACTGGGACGCCAAGTTTATAGCACGCTGTTTGTTGCCTGGGTCTAGATCTTTGAATCTGCCCACTCGCACTACAGATGAAACTAACTTTTATTTTCATTATCAGTTAATCTGATGATTATTTTTTTATGATTATTCGCTTAATTGTTTGGTCTATAAAATGTCAGAAAATTGTGAACAATGTTCCCAGAGCCCAAAGTGAAATCTTGAAATTGCTTCTTTTGTCAAACCAACAGTCCAAAAGACTCTTCCTTTATCATTATTAATGACAAAGAAAAACAGAAAAGCCTTGAATTTTCACTCATCGTTGCAGATCTACTCCACACCAAACTGAATTCTGTTAAAAATCTGTTTTATGATGTGTCAACGATATAGTTAAAGCTCCTACAAGAAAATCTTGTGTTGATTCTGGCGGCCCCTGTGGACAAAGGATGATGACTTTAAAATTTGGCATCCAAAAAAAAAGTTGGCATTGAAAACAAAGCCAGTAACATTGACACATTTGTATTGAAAACAGTTGTATTGGCATTGAAACACGTATTGGCACTGAAAAAAGAAACTAATTAAAATAATTAAAATCTTAAAATCTTATTATTTAATTGGGATTCTTTTGTATTTTTCAATGACAGTCTTCAGATTTTTTCTTCATGTCACTCTTTTTTCAGTGACAGATTTTTTTACAATGTCAGTTTTTTTTCAGTGTACACTAATGAAAACATACCTATGAATATATAATATTATAATGTTGCACACTGGACCTTTAAACTCACCCCACAAATCTGTTTTTTGTTGACCTCGAGTGGTTTAGCTTCTCACCTTGCTGCAGTGATGTACAAGTATACTCCAGGACTCAGTGACATCACCGTTGACTGTGGTTAAAGGTGCAAAACAGCACACTTCTAACCAAACCCAACCACACCCATCAGTGATGGGACAGTGAAACACTGCTGTTTAGCCTGGTGTTAAGTTACTATTTAAACCACATGAAAGGTATTTCCACACCAGTCTAAATTTACATGTGAGAAATTTGTTAGCCTTGTGTTTCTGTTGCTTCTTTAACACCAAAGAGGTCATTTTAGAGTTGTGTGGTTTGTTTGCAGTCAGAAATGTTTGATTTTGTCAGGGTTTTTTCCAAACACGTTAGCCGCGTTCTAGAGCCAGTGTTTGGTTTGTCCGTTCTGGGCGACTGTAGAAACATGGCGGTTCAACATAAACTCCACAAAAGGCGACCCACAGCATATGTAGATCAAAACAGCTTATTCTAAGGAAACAAAAACACAATGATTCCTATATTCAGGTGAATCAACACTAATAAAAAAAATACATACTATATTTATATAGTATACTATATTCCATTTCTGATAATAGATCCTCCTCAATGTTACACTCTAAACCTTTAAATGACCTTTAGCAATCAAGGCAACTGAATCTACATTTTATTAAGTGTATGATCTGAGTCATCAGCACAGGCTGCGATCACAGTAACAACAAAAGCAGTCAAATTAAAGTGAATGACAGGAACAGCAAGGAGTTAGCACTCAATATACAACAGTGAAAAAATGAAAATATAATGATACGAACTTAACATCCCATCATAAAAACAAAATATTGCCGCTGCTGCTAAAAAACATAAAAACAAACAAAAATATGTGACACAAATGTTTTGCATTTTTGCAGCAGAATTTCAGCTCAAACCCAGAGTGCAATGGCTTTAAGCCTAGGTTGTTTTTACAGCATTTACACAATTGTTAATAAAAATTCTAAATCATGTCAAAATTATTTTCCTCCTTTGAGAAATGTGTTTGCTTTTTTGATGCTTTTTTCTTTATTAAAATATGTATAATTTCTAAATTAGTATGCTTACACCACCTTGTGGAGGTGGCGTGGAAAATTGATAAGAAGTTGGTCATAAAAAAATGTCTGTTTGTTATAATGATAGCAATAAACAATATGTTGATTCTGACCTGTAATTCTAGTTCTATAATTGTAAAAAAAAAATAAAAAAACAAAGTTCTGTTTTGACCTTGGATGACTTAGTCCAATTTTAAAAAATTACTCCAGGTCCACTAACCAGCATGTATCTGTGATAAAAATAAAAAGGTAAATATTGGTGCTGTGTAAATATGAACCTCCACCTATAGCACAGTGATCAAGCTGATTGTGCTGTTTCTATTTGTTTTTTTACAGATGGAAGCTTCATGTGTTTAACCAAACATGAGCCTGTTGGCGTATGTGGAGCCATCATTCCAGTAAGTCCGAGGGGATCTGGTTTGAATTTATGAGCAATAATGTTGCTAGGAATAAGAATTCTTATTACTGTTCGTATTACTTTGGCTTGGTGTGAAAAGGACTTCTGCAAAACACACACATACACACTGCGGTGCATAAATACAAATAAAACAACACATAACATTGTTGTTTATATATTGTTACTGTGTGTGTGTGTGTGTGTGTGTGTGTGTGTGTGTGTGTGTGTGTGTGTGTGTGTGTGTGACCATTCTGTTGAAACAGAATCTGTTCTTAATAACCCTTCACACACACAATATCTTATATGAGGATACAGAGTTCGACACACTGTTCTGTATGTACAGTGGTAAATTGTGAGGCTCTGCTGTAGTCTGGCTTACTTTAAATCTGCACCCTGATAATGATCACTATTCATGTGTTTTAAGTGTGGCATCAGAGAGTTGAAGATGTGCTCTGACATTCTTGGGAAAAACATTCTGCTTGTTTGCTGTCAGAGAATATGGATATCAGTTTCATCTACTTGGATCAGTACAGAGATACTGTAGCCACCGTCTCAGTCACATGACTCCCTGGGACCCAGAAAAACATTTTTGCCTTACACATCCATTCCAAAAGAAACAGCTGTTAAAGTATAAAATATAAGTATAAGGTAAATTATAAAGGAATTCCAGATCATGACATATATATTGTACATCTCTTTGAATGATTTGAAACTTTTTTGAGTGAGCAGCTCTCATTGGGATGTTTGGGCCACTGGGTTCATTATCTGTAGGAAAATAGAGAATTTAAAGCTGCAGTGGGTACCTTTTATAAAAAATAACCTTTTGAGAAACTTTTACTATATCCTGACAGTAGAACATGAGACAGATAATCTGTGAAAAAATCAGGTTCCTCTGCCTCCTCCTAGTGCTCCTAATGGTATTTGCAAGAATCCACCAGGCCTGAATGAAAACAACAAATTACTGCCAAGAAAGATTGTGGATTGTTGAGTCTCATCTCAGATTGTCATATAATGATATTCTGTCATATAATGATTCTTGCAAATACCATTAGGAGCACTAGGAGGAGCCAGAGGAACCTGATTTTTTCACAGATTATCTGTCTCATGTTCTACTGTCAGGATATAGTGAAAGTTTCAGCACATATGACAAAAAGTTATTTTTTATAAAAGTTACCTATTGCAGCTTTAATACATGCATGGATTGGTCCTGGAGGGTTATATTTGTGTAAAGACAGTGAAAAGGGGGAAATTGCTTGTCATGAGCTATCAAATTTGAAACAACAACAGCTCCATAAATGTCTTATTTGCTCATTTTATTGTCTTTGTTGAACACATGTAGAAACATGTGGTTTTAACAGCTGGGTTCAGTGACTACATGCAGGTTTGAGCTCTGTCCTAACCTGAAAATGGGAGTTTTGGGGTTGCTGGAGGGTGGATTTTTTACGTTGGGAAGGAGGTTGGGATGGATGGTTGTGTTTAGAAAGTGTGTCACTTTGACAGTGGAGACAACTGTTCACAACCTGTTTCCTATCAGCAGTGAACATTGCTTTGATTATTAACCATATCAATGAGTGTTTACTAATCCTAAACAAGTAGCTGTATTTGCCTAAAACCTAACCAAACCTTTTCCATAGAGGTGGCAGATTAAAAAAACAAACATCATATGAATCATTTCTGTCCTCTTCATTTTGGAAGGCAATGATGAATATTTTGATAGTTCCTTTTTGTTTTCAGTCTTTGAGCCAAGGCAGGCTAAACAAAATCCAGATCTATCTTTATACTGGACCATGGGCTTATTAGAACTAAATGCAGGACTCAGAGATGGTGCCCATACAGTTGTCCACCCACTGCATCTGGCAAAAAAAAGGTTTGTCTCTTCCTGTTTCGCTCCAGCTCTGTGCACTGCATATACTCATTAAAGTCCCTGGCCCGGCTCCCCTGTCCCTATTGGAATGACATCACACTCATAGAAATGTCTTGCCTTGGAAAACTTTCACAAATGTTAAATCATAATTGACCTCTTTTGCAATTGGAACTGTCCTGTTAACCGTTTTACAGGTGTCTGTGGCCCCTTTTCCACCAAATTAGCCCAAGTTCTGTTCAATATTCTTGGAACCTTAATGCTATTTAGTGAACCAGCCCACATTTCCACCAGTTTTGAATGGAGCCCACTTTGGTTCCCACAGGTTGGACCCGAACCCATGGCCGCTTGGAAATTGCTTTTTGGATTGCAAGGAATTTTCATAGATTCATAGAATGGACACAGCAGGATCAAATTGGTATAAATCTTCTCGTCTGCCTCTGCATGGGCACAAGCGTATTTCCCAAAATGCCCCAGTGTGTGCATGCTGCAAGGCTCTAAATCTTCAGCAAGTTACAGTCTTTAAGTGAATGGCTCTATCATTTACAGTACATTGCTAACATCTCTGGCTTTCTTGGAGCTATGTTAAGGCTTAATTGGAACCACTGAAGTCTGAACTTTAATTTCAAGGAAAGCACTGCTCATAAATGTGTAGTGCTAGTAGGGCAACTGCACTCAATTTAAAAGTACTGTCTGGATGTGAGGATGAAATGAAACCCTGGTAAGTGTACCAGAAACCTTATCTTAATCTCTGCTCTCCCTAAACAAGACCTCCTCTCTGCTAATCCCTTTAGGGCTATTCTTACAGGAACACACAGCTCCAATCCTGTGCGGCTTGGATTCACTTTCACACATTGGAATATATGCATTTTTTTTTTTGCCTTTTGATAATAACTTCATCAGATTTAGGGTGGGGCCATGTTTGGTGTTTCGCCGTATTGTGTTGCACTTTGTCGTAGATCCAGACAGAAACATGAGCATAATTTCGACATCATGACAGAATACAGCCATTCAGTTTTTATCTTTGAGCATAAGCCTATAACCTCTAATGTTGCTTTGGCAACAAAGGAACAAAACGGCTGTTGTTTGACATGGGAGATTATATCAAAAAAGTGAAATTTATACTGAAGGACGTTGTGTAATTACTGAAAGTACTGCTGGCGCACACACAGCATGAGTCATTGTCAGAGGAAAACAGGAAACCTTTCTCCTGGCTTGTGATCCCAAGATCCCTTAATGGTGCTGAGTGTTTCCAAAGTGTTGTAAAAGTTAACAATGCCTAAACAATAAACATGCAGCACTCACATGTATTGCTGTCTAATTTGGGTTTGAGTGCCCAATTATTTGTCCATTGGTTTCCAACATGGAAACGAGCAACTGGAAAATAAATGACCTATTTTTCTGAATTTGTTTACTTTGAATCATCTCCAGTGCTGATGATTTAGAGCCCCTTTTATATTCTCGTATATTGTCTCCAGACTAACATCCAAGCGATAAAGTGGATTTCTCTCTGAGTTAACAGAGAAAAAACAAAAGTGCTGATGATGTGGACGGTGCTTGTATTATTAGCTCCATCTTGTGCCTCTCACATAGTCTCTATTATTTCAATTGGAGATTGGTGCAGTGCTTACAATTCACAGAAATTCTCTACACATCAAAAACTTAATCACATCAGGTTATTTAACATACTCAGGACACAGAGATACAATTCTAGACTATTCCATTCTGTCTGTACACAATATATACAGTATTATTTGAGTGTTTCAAAGTAGCAGACAGAAATTACACCTGCATATTGCTTTATGTATTTCATAAAGCCCAGACTGGATTTAACCCTGCGAGGCAGCTGGACTCACACAAGAATCCAAGCATCCGGTTTGTGGCCGATACAATGGTACTGGACCAATCAGCATCCTTTGTGGAAGTACTGGTAGCTACAAAGAGGGTTGCTAGGTGTTATGCTCATTAGATAACAATGCCGATGTTAGCATTAGCGTAGATGCTTCGAGCATCAATCACAACTGATTAAAAGAAGTGCAAAGAGGACTTCTCAGATGATTGTGTGATCTGGCGCAGTCAGGGTCAAGTTAGACAAACAAGGCAACTGGGCTAAGGTCCTAATCCTCCAGGTGCCCTTGCTTGCCCAATTGCTATACAATGAGCCAGGTTCATTGTATAGCAATTGGTATGTGGGGATATGATTATTTGTCAATTCATCTATCTATTTTCCACTGCTTATCCATGTCCAGGTAGTGGTGGCAGTAGGATAGGCAAGGTAACCTAGATGTCTTTCCCAGGATGTTCCTAGGCCAGATTGGTCACGTAATCCCTTCAGTGTGTTCTACGTCTGAATCTCCTCCCAGTTAGACATGCCCAGAAAACTTTTAAAGGAAGGCGTCCAGGAGGAGCCTGATAGATGAGGGGTAAATTCAATTGATCCCTCAGTAAAACTTGGATTGTGGTCCAACTGTGCCATTTGTTTGTGACAGTGTGCTTTAACTGACTAGCAGTGCAGCTATCAATCGATAGCAGCCAGCTAACGTGTGTTCTTTTGTTCTATACTAGTGGAACTTTCCTCTGCTGATGTTCATGTGGAAGATAGCACCGGCCCTGAGCTGTGGAAACACTGTGGTCATCAAGCCAGCAGAGCAGACCCCCCTCACGGCCCTCCACGTTGGATCGCTCATCAAAGAGGTCTGATGTTATACTCAATGTGTACAGTGGGATTGATCCAAGCTGTGGGCTGAGAGGGGTTTAGACTCTAAACCTATGAAGGTCCTCTTCTTGAAAAGATTCGGGGCAGTATTCTTATAGAAAATCCAGCTTCTTATGTGATTAGACTGCTCTGCTATGATTTGGTTGTGACTGTTCCCAGCAGGGGAGACAGTCTGGACAACACTTCAACTGTGGTTTCCAAAGGGTGGTTCAGAGACTCCCAAAGGTTTCTGCTTTTACTGGACATAATTGCAGTTTAACAATTTAATTAAATTTGACTCTAGGCTTCACTGTCATCTGCTAACAACTTCAGAAGAACAGACTTCATCTGCTAGCATCAGGGGTGGTCCTAGACGGCGAGCTTTACTGATAGCGCCCCATCCCCACGAGTCCAAAGAATTGCACATTTATTTAAACAATGATAATACAAACAATATAACAATATGTGCAAAAGAATAAACCTGTTCAATAATCAATATACAAAAAATAAACTTTTAAACATATTCTTAACAGTAGTGCAACATCTGAGAACAAAAAGTGCACACTAAAGAATCAAAACAAAATCAATAAAACATTGTGTGCAAAATGAGATACTGTAAAATGTGATCCATATACACACTAATATCACACTTCATTCACAATGCGACCTTTCTGGCCTTCCTTGCCGCAAACTCATCAAGAACCTCCTCGTAGGAAATCTGACACTAACCAAACAAAGAGGTAAAAATGTCGGTCTTATGACTTATGACTTATTAAAATGTCTTATTATGACAATATTGCGTCCAACTGCATGTTAATAACGACCAAACCTAGCCGAACGAAGCGGGACGTCACACACCCTCATTGCTACTTAACGTTAGCTTACTAGTAAGATGACATGATGCTACTGCTAGCTAGCATGGTTATATCCTGAATGCTCGGTGAATTTAATAAATATATAATCAACATTACCAACCTTTCTCTTTTGCACGTTTCTCCTGCTCTTCTTTTCTGTGCTTTCCAAAGTGCGCCCCGGATGGCTTCTGCCGTTTCATTTTCCATGGACTGTAGCTGTAACCATAGTAACCCCAATATTTTTATGTCATAGTATTGTTGTAGATAGAGGGATGGCAAAAATAGACATTATAATTTTAATAATAATATAATAATATTTTTTTTCTCGTCGCATATTTGGCACTCCTCACTAGGTGGAAGGACCGCCACTGGCTAGCATATACTTTAGCAGTATATCAACAGCATTCCTTTCACATGGGACATGCGATATTTTCGGGTTGTCCGTCCCATTCTTGTAAACGTGATATCTCAAGAATGCCTGGAGGGCATTTCTTATTGGCACAAATGCCTGGCCTTGGCAAACCCTCGAGGATGTAGTGATGTCGCGATCACAAAAATAATGTAAATTCAACCAATCCCCATGAATTCTATGCAACCTTGCAATTTTGTCAAGTCACTGCAATTTTTCTGCAAATTTGACCAATCATTGTAGTTTACTGTGAAAAATGTTGAGCCATACGGCACCAAACTCACTTCCTCATTTCTGTTTCTAGCTGTGACGATGTAGACCATTTTTCAAATTTACTGTGTCCTAACAGTGCGATTTTACTATCACTGGAACAAGTTACCTACAATCTTTAATGACATTTTTTTTAAGGCAAGTATTTTAGGCCAGAACAATCCACAAAATGCTTCCAAATCCTTTGAAAAAAACACAGAGAACATGACCCTGGTGTCTATAGTAGTCCCAGTCATTTGTTTTTAATTTAGAAATACTAAGATATACCAATATGTGACAATATTGAGACATAAGAACTGTAAAACACAGTTAAAGAGAGATGATAAAAGAAATACTAAACTACTGTATCAGCCAGACCTACCCTACGCTAGGCAAATAGGCCACACACACTTGCATGGGGTCACAGGCTGGGGTATTTTTTTCAAATCACTGGTGAGCCCCTGCATTAACATGGCCTCTGGGTTGCTGTTTCAGGCGGGGTTCCCTCCTGGCGTTGTGAACATCGTTCCAGGGTTTGGTCCCACAGCAGGAGCAGCCATCGCCTGCCACATGAACATCGACAAAGTGGCCTTCACTGGCTCTACAGAGGTATGTGAGAGTATGGTAACAGCATACAGACACGCTGCATAACCATCATTCTGACTAATAAATGCAAGATAAATACTCTCAAATACATTGAGTGGTGCAGTCCTGCTTTTAATGAGATCGGACAATTTCTTTGTTTTACCCATGATGCATTAAGGTAAGGTTCAAATTGCTGTGTACCGTCATGTGTGCAGGTGGGCCAGCTGATCAAAGAAGCTGCAGCTAAAAGTAATCTGAAGAGAGTGACTCTGGAGCTGGGAGGAAAGAACCCCTGCATTGTGTTTGCCGACTGTGACTGTACGTATACATGCTCTCTCTCACTCATACTGAACAATGACATGATTTTTTCGGGCAGACCTAGATGGGTGGCATGGCGTGGCAAGAATGCCTGCCTCCCCAGTTTGGAGTCAAATGCTGTCAAATTTAACACAGAAATGAATTTAAAGACTAAGGGATAGGCTTAAGTTCAATTAAAAAAGATATTCATTTGGAAGTAAAACAATGTATTGATTTTTAATGCCACTTTTAAATATTAATATTCAATACTTTACTAATGTGCCACAATAATGTAATGATTTTTAGTTCAAATATCTTCATTTTCAATATTGATATATGTGATTGTGATTAAATCAACATTATTTCTGTCACCCCTTAAAGTCTCCATGACACCCTCTGGACACCCCATGACTATTTCTCTAGATCATCTCACAACTATCTCACAGACAGTTTCTCTATCAAAAAACACCAATACTGTAGCTAAGTGGTAAAATGCCAGCAGTAGAGGGAACTGGCAGTATAACCAACTAGAGGAAGTGACTGTAGGAATGCTAAAATAGACAAAGGGAAAGTGGGTACTTCAAAAATGTAAATTACAACTCACCATCAACTCCTGAAATGCACTGAACATCCCAGAGAGATGATACATAATGGAACAGAGAACAGCAGTCTTGACTGAACCAACACACATCCATGCAACATGTAAATAACAGTACCCTGATGTGCATGAAATTAATGAAGAGCCATTAACGATTGTCTTAATGAACAACTCGGACATAGCGTTATTAATATTGCAACATGTAAGTCATAGAACCGTGACGTCAGCCAAAAAGAAAATAAAGAGCCATATAGTAATGATCATCTTAATGAACCATCCATGCAGCATGTAAACTACAGCACTGTTAAATGTCAGCCAAAATGCAAATATATATTTTTTTAAAAGGAAAATATATATCATAAACGAAAGTCCCCATGCACTGCCAATAAGAGTCAGGTGCTGGTAGTTTGCAGGACCATGTAGAAAAACATCCAAATTAACCACCGCACACATAAACAACGCGTCCTCAAATTCACTCAGCAAAATTACACTAGCACTTACAGGTGTAGTAAATAGGCCGCATCTGGGTCACATGACCAACCGTCACAGTCTATAAATTTTTTCCTTTCCACATTTCAAAGTGAAAGTTTTTTTTGTTTTAAAACATGCCGCACAAAAATGCATAATACAACAGACAAAGCAAGATAAATATAAAAACAGCATGATTAATCTAACACAATCACCATAATTACACCTTTTTACATTAAACAATAAGAAAAACTAACATCCATGTCCAGCTGAGATATCCACTGGTGGCAGGGACCAGAAGGGGTAGTATGAAGATACTGAATACTTCAGGCACTTCTCTACTATGTTAGAAAAAGTGACATTTTCTCCTGGAAAAGGAAAACGTTTCTTTATTTTGATCCTGATTATTAGCTTCCAAAAAGTGGTCACTAGTCTTACTGGCCAGTAGTCCAGTCTTCCATGATATGCAAAACTGCACACCATTGTCACACAATGGGTTCACCCATTTGTGACAAATTCAGTTCATTTTGCCATTTTTGTATCCATCCCGTAATTCAGATCCACTCCAAAATTTAACGGGGTCTTCTTTACTACAGCCTTCCACGAGTTCCATGAAAATGGGGTCAGTAGTTTTTCTGTAATCCTGCTCCTCGGGTAAACATAACCTCCTCCTCGGAGGTGAAAACAACTTTTTAAAATCACACAGTATCAATATAGCAGGAAATGGCTAAACAGGCCAAATGTAAAGATCAGAAAATGAGTGAAAAGACAGACAATAGTAGCTAACAATGAAAGCAAAATTGTCACAAAGACACAGCAACAAAAAGAAAAAAAAAGGTCCAAAACAGTAATAACCAAAATAACATCCATGAAAGAATTATGAATTTTTCTTTTGAAGATGTTTGGAAAGAAAATCTGCTTTTGGTGTGTCTGATATTCCAAGCAGAAGAAACTCCATAAAGTTCTCATCATACAACTTGTTCATGGACACTGCCAGTGCTTGGATAAAAACCAGTGTAGATTTTCACAATAGAAGCGTGGTCTATCATTGCAAATGAGTGGAAGAACGTTACACACATCAGCACGGGAAGAACAGTGAAGAACTAATCTGGCTGCCCTGTTCTGTGAAATCTGATTTTTTTAGATGTGTCTTTGTAGAATTTAAGCAAATGTGACAGAGCAAGTGCCGGAACAACATCATTTATAACAGAAGATATAAGATAATGTATGCAGTAAATGAACTAATTTAACACCCAGTAATTCAGTCCTTAGATGTTAGAATGGATCTTGTAGTTTATTTATGTATCTTTATATTGTGTGTGTGTGTGTGTGTGTGTGTGTGTGTGTGTGTGTGTGTGTGTGTGTGTGTGTGTGTTTGTGTCTACAGTGCAGCTGGCCGTGGAGGAAACCCAGAAAGGAGCTTTTTATAACCAGGGCCAGTGCTGCACAGCTGCATCACGTGTCTTTGTGGAGGAAAGTATTCATGAAGAGTTTGTGCGCCGAAGCATAGAAAACGCCAAGAAGATTGTCATAGGAGACCCACTGGATCCCCGGACATCACACGGGCCACAGGTTGGAACACTCAGTTAACATCATACAATACTAATCAGTACTTAAACCTGCAAGTGCATTGTGTTTGCTGACTTACCTGGAAGGTTCTGGGAAATGGCTGTGGGCTGCTCTGTAAAGCTGCAGTAGGTAGCTTTTATAAACTCAACAATCAACTCTCTTTCTCCGAGCTCACTGCTGCCCCTTGTGGCTATTTGGGGGCGAAACAGTGTCCTTCCTGATCTTCTGTCCGTGAAAGGGATGACACATATGTTCTTTACTGATCCTGAGTGCAGGTGGTGAGGGTGAGGGGATAGCAAGGGTTGACGGTGGTTGTGTGAGTGGCCAGTTGATGGTTCCCCACAGTGTGGTGGGGGCGGTTTCCTATAGCTGGTGATGTCCTACAGGCCTCTCCACAATGATGGCGGGTTGTTTACTGAAAACCTGTTCATCAGCTTTTCAGTGTAGATCCCTTTTGCTACTCTGATCTCCTTTGTCAGTGTGTTTCTGGCCTGGTTGTACAGGATTCTGTCCCCTCTTCTGCTGGCCTCCTCCTTGGCCTGATGAAGCTGCCTGAGTTTAGCTGTAAGCCAGGGTTTGTTGTTGCTGTATGTGCAGGACATTTTAGTTGACACACACGTGTCCTCACAAAAGCTGATATAAGATGTCACAGTGTGAGTGAGTTCGTCCAGGTCTGTGGCTGCTGCCTCAAAAACACTCCAATAAACATTGATCAGAGTCTCAGAGCTGCAAGGGGGACACAGTGATAGGCAATCTTTAATCTGGTGCAGCAATGGTCCCTAGCAGGATACCCTCTAGTGGGGTTTATTCCTAATGGGACACTTAAAGGTGCTGTTAGATTTGGCTGTCTGTCCAATTCATACTCAAAACAAATAGGGGGCAGCATATCACCATAGTAGTTCCCAAGGAAAACTTGTTGGGAACCAAATTTTCAGTTTGCTCCAACTGATTAAAAACTAGGAAAGTAGGTTGCTGGTTCAGGCTGCTTCAGTGGAAGGGCACAAATGGGCACCAGTTTACAGAAAGTTGTCATGCATTTATAATGAAACAGCTTAGTTAGGGCAATTTACAACAATTTCTCCCCAGAAGGGCACCCTCGAAGACACTTGTTTTATCTACTGTAGGGGCATCCAAAGTTCAAAAATACAACTCTAAAACTCACTTATTACCACACTTTATCTGTGATCATTGTTTAACTTACAATTATGAGCTAAACACTGGTACAATCTCTGTGCTGTACAGACATGCACCTGGTATCAATCTTACTGTACCATTTGACTTTTTTTCAAGGACAGCTAACTTTTTAAATTTCCCAAAAGTTGTTGCTGTTCTTGTATCATTAACTTGTCCCCCTCTCTTATCTACTTGTCTGCCTGATGCTGGCTCCAGATTGATCGACAGCAGTTTGACAAGATTATGGATCTGATAGAGAGCGGGAAGAAGGAGGGTGCCAAGCTGGAATATGGAGGAGCAGCTGTGGAAGAGAAGAGCCTTTTCATTCAGCCCACCATCTTCTCTGGGGTCAAAGACCACATGCGTATTGCCAAAGAAGAGGTGACAACTTATTTCAGTTGATTACATATGAAGCAGACACAGACAGAGAGTGGGATAGAGCCGGTGGATGAAAATGAAAGCCTGACACCTTGTGGAACAGTGCTTGAATTACACCACAGACAGCAGAGAGGCAGGCTGCACAGCTGAGCACACAGGAAAAGTCTAAGACAAAGGAAGGACAGTTTTAGTTAAATGTTAATGAGAAAAAGTGCACAAATTATACACACTTATACTTTTAATTGATCATCTCATAATTCTCCATTACAAACTTAACCAGTAGCATCATTTTATCATTCCTGATTTTTTTTCCAGGCAGAAATGCGCTTCCATATTCCTGAAAAATAAACTTTATGTGTGCACTGTTTCAGCCACATGGTTTTGTCAGGTCATGATTTAAAAAAAGAAATACCAAAAGCAGTGACATCAAACACACAGTTTCAAACTCCGTTATGTGATTTTAGTGTAATTCAGATTAGCATAATTCCCAAATATAAAATGTATAAAAAGGATAACTGTCGTTGTATATGTCACTATCACTCCATACACCACGTACAGCTGGTCTAAACATGGACAAAGGCAAAGTATAAAGTCCTAGGCCAAAAGCCTAATAATTAACTTTAGAGACTTCACTATCACTATTAAATTATGGGCTGAGGTGGATAAAACACAGCAGATTTCAGTGAAGAAAGGAATGGAACTTGATCAGCTATATTTTCATCATTGTTAATCTCTTAAATTGTGCAGCTCTTTAAAGTTCAAATTCAAGTTCAAATATATTTACTCAGCACCAAAGTATATAGTATGTAGAACCTCTATCACATTCAATATAATGATCAGAAAACAATGATATAGTCAAATAGGCACCTAGTTTACCTACAAAGTAATTAAGCAAAAACTATTTCCTAATACAGAAAGCTATGTTTTATTCTTGCTTTCAGATAATGTTCCAGGTACTTTGAGGATTCTGTTGTTATTGATGATAAAGTCAAAAATAGTATTTCTTTTTTTATGTGAGAATAATCAAGACTGTCAAGTTTAAACTCATTTAAATTTCATGCAAATATCACATGTTGAAAAGTATTGGAACTCACTGCTCCATGTTTATAAGATAATCTTTTAACAACCAGATTTAAACCATAAATGTTGCCACAGTCATCTACTGTATGTTAGCTTTCATTACTGTCCACTTACCTCCCCCTGGAGTCAATTATGTCCTTTTTGATTTCTCCACAGCTACACATAGACATTTACTTTTATTTAACCAGATAATTCAACTGAGAACCAATTCTTATTTACAGTGACAGCCTGGCTTAGAGGCAGTGTCAGGAGGCAAGTCGATACAAGCAATTATATATATATATACAGTTCCTCCAAGAAAACAATATTAGACAGCGTAAAAACATCACAGTTATAACAGGTTGAAGAAATTTCTAGTCCAACATTTTGACTATATCCTTATTTTTTAATATATCTGTCTAATATTTACCTCTACACAATCTTTTGATTCTCGATTACACACTGTACAAAGTTGAACATGCACATTTTAGTTTTTCTACGAAGGTCAAATTTGTAACGATTACACATCTGCTTTTTGAATTTATTGTCTGTTACTGTCTGTCATGGTATCATTGCAACCAATGGCCAAGCCTCTCTGTATTCTTTCTGTATAATAATGGAAGCCAGTTTGTGATCTGGAAGCACATCTGGCCTACAGTGCAGAATTTCTGTTTCATATTGGACTGTACCAACTAACCTACGATTATTTTCTCTGTTTGTATTGCACATTCATGACAGGAAACAAAAGGATGTGACTGGTCTTTACTGACATGTTTCCCTTTCAGATCTTTGGTCCGGTGCAGTGTATATTCAGCTTTAAGAGCCAGCAGAAGGCCATAGAGAGAGCAAACAGCTCACAGTATGGCCTGGTGTCAGCAGTCTTCACAACCAATATGGACAGAGCTCTGTCTGTGTCTGCGGCCCTGGAGACTGGCACCGTCTGGTAAGTCCCCGTTCACAGTCCACACCAGAGGGAAACATTTGGATGTGCATTAAAAATGACATTTACTTTTATTTCAACAATATTGGATTACATAATGTAAATGTAAAAGATTCATAATATTTTTAATGTGCCTTTCTTGCTTAATCAGTAGCTGCTTTCTATATTCACACAACAACTGTTATGTACATTAGAAACACAACAAACTAAAATAAAGAACAGAAAGGTTTGACTCGCCCTGATGCTCAATCCCGGTGACATTATGACATTCTTACCATTTTGCCAGCTGGTCACACACAGTCTCGTATTACAGATAAACAGCACACTAAAATATGTTTCTGAAAAGATTTTCAGCAAGAAATAGTCAACACAGTAACAGAATCTGGATCCATATCTGAGCAGCACTGCCTAGTTTGACAGTTGGATATGAGTTTTGTGCGTTGAGCTGGACAGACTCACTGAGAATGAGTCACAAGGTAGCCACGCCCTAAAGCATACCCTGCTTTATGGTCTATTTTACTCCCAATGGGACTATCATTTACTAAATGAACATCATGCTGTATGGAAGAAGACTGAAACTAGAGATTGAGACCATAAACTCATTAGGAAACTGTTTACTAAACTCATAAATCAAGTGAGAAGTAGGTTAATTTCTCCGTAAGACTGCATGCTATCGGTTTTTGTTGCAGCCAATGGAGCTGCCCCCTCTGCTGGCAATTACACAGAGTGCAGGTTTAATGGGGCGTTCTTTTTGTCTTGTAATCGCGACTTGCAGCTCGAGAGTGACGTCACATCCGTGTTGGAAAACGAATAACCGTGGGTTTTTGTGTTCTGTTTGGCACACAACACGACGAGCTTGGTTGCAATAGGCAGTTTGGATGTTTCGTAACGTTTATAGTGATTATCTGGTTTACGGTGCACCCACTGCGGATTTCACATGTTCAGTACATATTACACAATCATATTTCACAGTTTGATATCTGAATATTCAGTTTTGATTAACGTTAACGTTAGGCTACTGCTCTGCTTTCTGCTCAACACTCGGCATTGTTGTCATAGCAACATGGAGCGTCTCTAGCCAATTTTAGCTGCACAAGCTACAAAATAACTAATGAGGCGGTATTTAACACATAATAAGACTGTAGCGACATGCCTATAGGTAACAGTATAGAGTGCTATGTGTACGACTTCTTCATTTGGTTACAACAAAGACAAAAGTGCTTAAAATAGTAGAAAACCACAATGTTTACTACGTTTGATGCTCGGAGTATCCATCTTGGTAACTGAACTCGGGGTCCTCTGAGTTCAGACGACTTGACGAGTCGTATATACGACCTCAGGGGCGTTCTGTTTGCAACTCTGTACTCAGGAAACCGACTCGCAGATCGAGTTCGGTGGACAAATAGAACGCCCCATAAGACTCTTTGTGTTGGCTTCACTTCACAGACCCAGAAGCTCTGTCTATTATATATACAGACACCGTCACAGACTTCTAGTGGGCCATAAGTGATTATTAAGATGGATTATGTTTTTATATATTGTGAAATTCTCCTCTCTCTGTTAAGGATAAACTGCTATAACGCCCTTCACGCACAGACTCCCTTTGGAGGGTATAAGATGTCAGGCAACGGACGAGAACTGTAAGCATCACGGCTGTTTCTTTGATATTCCATGTTGTTCAACTATTGCTGTTTACCGTGTATTCCATAACCTGCCTCATTCTGTCCTCTCAGTGGAGAATATGCGCTGGCTGAATACTCGGAGGTGAAAGCTGTGACCATCAAACTGAGTGAAACCCTGTGAGAAGAACTGGGAAAGTCCGGTGTTCTGCACTTCCCATTCCATCAGGCTACATCACAATTCTCTACAACCCACACACCCCCGTCTTTGTCTACAGTCATGATCATGCGGTTGAGATTACGGTTAGGGCAATAAAAAAAAAAGTAGGTGAGCTTTTACTCAACAGCTTCAGTAATGTCAGTATATAAAACAGGTAATGCTCGGTTCGACAGGTTTTTCCAATAATTTATTTAGAATTTCCTTGCAAATAAGGAAATAATTTGGCACAGTAATTATGGAAAAAACAGAGACAGTGGTTAGTTAGTCAATGTTCAAAAGACAACCACATTTTGAAGGTGGTTAAAAGATAAAAGCAACATATAGTCACATCCTTAATTAGCTAATGTTAGCAAAACACTAACTAACTAGCTAGTTATATCTGATAGCTAATGTTAGCAAAATACTAGCTAAATAGCTCACTAAGGATTGATGTAGATTAGTTAGCTAATAAGCTAATGTTTTGCTAGCATTAGCCAATTTTAGATGTGACCTATAAATACATGTCACTTTTATCTTTTAACCATTTTCAAAATGTGGTTGTATTTTCAACATAGACGAGCCCAACACATAGCATATCTGAGTACAGGAAAGGAGGAAGCTGACACAGGCTTGCTCAACTGTCACTGGAGCACAGAGGAAAAAGGGACAGGACTTAAGAAGGGTCAGTTAGTACCAAATTGTAGTTCTTTCTAGAAAAATACTAAAACTTAAACTAAAAAATACAATAATATGATAATTTTACAAAATAGCACAAGATTCGCTTGTTGGGAATTTACAGTTTGCTCACTCGTCATGCAGATGGTTCAGAACTGAACAAACCAAATATCTAAACCCACCTATTATCTAGTGAGTAAAATTCCATCTGAGATGCCAACTGAACCATCATGTGGTGAAAAGCTCTCCCTTTTCCACCAACAGGGAACTGGATTAATTCTGGTTTGAAACGTTTGAACTTAATTGAATTAAATCAAGTCAAGTCAGCTTTATCTGTCAAATATGCTACACATGCACGACATCCAGCACAGATGAAATCTGAAATGAAATGAAAATCATGGAAGTATTTCCACAGAATTAAATTATTTTCTTACAGCAATAAGCAATTATGTTGGTCCAACTTGATTTAATTGTGTTGATATACTTACTTACTAGGTTTGGTTCTGACTTTGACTTAATATGGGTGGTCCAACTACTTTTACAGTTGTAACATTACACTACTAAATTAAGTTGGCCCAACAGAATTGCTTAATTAGAAAGACATTTAATCACACAGAAATGCATTCCATGATTTAATGGATTTTAATTTTAAGTTAGTTAATTTATTACTAACATAATTCTAATTTGCTGATCAAACACATGACCAGGTTGTTTTTTTCTACTCGATACATGGACTGGTTCACTAAATAGTGGACCCTATGCTATTTTGTTTTTATTATGGCACTTGAAGGTAGTACAAAGTAGTGGAAAGAGAAAGCATCAACTGTCTGTGATCTCCCTCAACCCAAGAGTTTTCAAAAAAATACTCCAGTAGTTATAATAATTTGTTTGCCTGTCTGATCCAGCAGGTTGATTACATGAGATACAAAACATAGTGATTAATCAACAATGAAATAATTTTTGAGTATGAATTCCATTGATCATCCATTCATCAAATCTCCCTATAGTACAACGTGGAAAGGTGGGAGAAAAAATACTGTTTATTTTTGTAATTTTTGAGTAGCCGATATTTGCAGATCCTTTTTCTAATTCCAAGCGAGTAGCCGATATTTGCAGATCCTTTTTCTAATTCCAAGCGCTGATTCTAACCTGGTGTGATCTAACATCAATGTTCTCTCTGCTGAGGAGAATGTGCCTTCCCTTTCATATGTTCTCATCCCGGATAAGGTAACATTTACCTTGCCAGTAACATTTTAGCACTGTAACAGCAACAATGTTACCATTGCATGGATAGTGTCAACGGTATTTACCGACATATATATGTTTGAGTGTTTGTTTATTATCACACATGGGAAACATGTCTGTCCCCGCATTTTTACCACATTAGTTCTGTATTTAAATAGAAATTCTGAATAAAGAAGAAATTGAAATGTGCTTTTTGAGTCAATCTTTGCACCTGATATGTAGGAAATTATCTTTGATACAAGAAAAAAAGCCTAGAAAATGTTTGCTAATGTGTTTTCAGTTTCTACACACACATATCTGTTTGTCAGATATGGAGACATTACATAAACTTACTATATTCATTATTTGGAGACATACTTAACCCCAGCCCTACCCCTAACCCTTACCATAACCATAACTACTAGTTAATTTGTAATGATTATTAATACCTGGACGGAAATTCAGGTATCGTAGCAGCAACAGCAAAAGTATAATTAAATACAGGAGGGGTATATGAGTACAGAATCCATATTTCAGTAATGCATGAATCACAGCTTAGTAATAATTTACAATATAACTAAGTTTGAACTGACACACAGCTGGTGCAATAGACGGCTGATCTTTAGTCTGAAATGCGTCCCCAAAGGTAGCCTAAGTCAGATACTCACACACACACAAAACCAATTGTGGGGAAAGGTGAAACATACAGTAGACATATAATGATGACAGGACATTTTATTTATTTTTATTTAATCTATTTGTATTTAATTGTGTATTTTTATTCATCATAATAGACCAATTACACATAGCACATTATTTATCATCTAAAAAACGGGAGTGTAAAAAACCGGGTGGTAGCCTTTTGTTTTATCCTCATAATTAAAACCCCAGAGATACTTTAAACTTCTTTTTTAGGGGGGATCATTATTACATCTAAGGGTATTTGTTCTTAGCCTCTGTTGTTAGAATAGTGAATGTGAATAAATAAACAAAATGATGTGCTGTCTTTGTAGTGTTACACTATTCTGTAAGATCAGTTATTTCAATTCTAAAGATATTCTACCATTGTTTATTATTCACTCAAATGTACTTCACTTCAAGGTAATTAGTGGAATATTTAAAATAAAAACTGAAAAAGACCCTGGTGTTTTTCTCTAAGGCCATCCCTGCAGGGAATTGCATCTCTCTGCATCACATTACAAACTTTTCCAGAAGCCCCTTTTAATTGGTTGAAAGTTCACCTTGCACAATCACATCAAAGACTTCCTGCCAAGCCTTGGTACATTTTTCCCACCATCCTCCATGAAATTCTGTCTTAAAAGAAAAAATATGAGCTGTTTCTTTCTTCTTTAAAGGGGGTAAGGATAAAGGGGATGACACGCAGCAAAGGGCCACAGGTCAGAGTCGAACCCCTGGCCGCTGGAGCAAGGACTCAGCCTTACATGGGGCTCCATCGCTACCTGGTGAGCCTATAGGGTTATGGTATATCCATTAAAGGGTAAACAGCTTTCTGAGTGGAAACCCATAACCCAAATTATGGGACAGACACACAGACACACACACACACACACACACACACACACACACACACACCACACACACACACACACACTACAGATGAATGGTTACCCTAAACCAAATACATATAGTGGACAGAAGACAATGAATAATTTAATTTAATATGATCAGTATATTTAATTAACATACTTATTTGATGTGACTGGCCCTTTTTTTTTAGTAATCTATTTAGATTCCTTCTTTTTAAAGTTAGTAGGCTATTACAATTATTATTATTAATATAATTATAATATTTCTCTGTGGTGATTTTTTTAGGGATGTGCTGTATGGTATTAATTAAGAAAATGACTTTACTTCACCTGTCTTGATATTATCCCCAATCTCCCATTTCTGTTGCTCAAGAATATTCCAAGTTTTATTCTGAAATGTTCATCTGGATACGCTTGGGCAACGCTATTTTGAAAATTATTACCGGAAATGCCTCCGTTGCACACTGCCTGACTTGACGCAGCGAGCGTCTCGTGCGACTGCTGTGAATTTGGAAAGTTTGCATCGTGGAATCAGGAAGTCCAGCGAAGCTTCCCAGTCCCGGCGGTGCGGAGGACCTCAGAGCTGTTAAAGCCCGTCGTGATGCTCGCTGGGGCCCTCAGCCGTGAGGTGAGTCGGCCGGTAACAACTGTTGTGGCGCAATACTTCATAATGTGTGCTGTTTCTGTCGCAACTGTGGGCGCAACAAGTGCTCACGCTGTGTTTCGTTAGTTCTGCGACGTCACGTCATCAGAGAAAAACAAACCAATCTGTGTTTATAAATCTGCAAATTTAACACATGACATACATTCGTTAGTTGTCAAGAAGTCACACTGTGACTGCTGTACATTCTCCATACTGCTGTGAAGAGCTTTTTATGTCGGCCTCATTATAATCCAGAAAGAGGCACTGATTGAGAAAACAGCTCGACTTTTAGATGATTTCCAAACTGACTGCTGCATGGCACAGCAACACACACCATTCTGCTGCTAGGGAAAGGGAGATACAGATGTGTCAAATCCGAATTCATTATAAAAACGGCATCTTCTAAATCCAAAGTTTTCTGCATTGACTGACATAAGGGCGTAACTTTGGTTTGAGTGGTGGTGTTGGGGGGGGGTAAGTCTGTGATCTTTGCTCCATTATTGTAACGCTACTGATGGATAAGATAATGTACATGCATAAAATGTATCAAAGAATATGAAACTTTTGTCTTTTGAGGCCACACACTGTCAATAAATGTGTCATGCTGCTTTAGTGTGTATTTCTCTTTATTATGAGTACTGGTTGTAGGCCAACATGAGATTAGATAAGCTTTGGTTGGACTTCTCAGTGTGACCCTGCTGCTGTTCACATTTCCTTTTTATGAACTGCCATTCAGTGAGCAAATTTTTAAGTGAGCATGTGTGGAACACGTCCGCCTCCACTTTTTCCCGCCCGCACTTTAGGAACTCTGACTCAGATTGACTAGTACTTGATGCCTGCCTTGGTTATGTTCTGTCGCCAGTGGAAGTAAGGCCTCAGTGCTAACACCAGCACTGAGTGGAGTGAACGGCGCTGATCTGATGACACTGGGCGAGGGGGGTACACCCTGGTAGGGACGTGAAAATACAGTTTTAGTGGGTCCGTTTTTTTAAAAAAGGGCACCCCCACATCCATTGTTTTGTCATGCTTCCCTGCTAATGTCGGCACACTAGGCTATAAACAAATGTGTATGCCCCAAAACTCACACACACACAAATGATGACACACAAATGGAGATGTATGTTTTAAAGAGATAATTGAATTCACATACACTTAACACATCTTTCTTTGCAGATGATTCCAATTATTTGCCATGACCTTGTTCATTTATAAACGTCCTATGCTTATCATGCTGATCTCCTTTTAATGAGGCCATTTTCTCTGTGGTTTTTGTCTGCGTTTGAGTCTTAAAATGAAATCTTTCCGTTGGGAACCATGTCTTTGATTGATTTTGATGGCCTCCTCTTTTGTAATGGGGATGTCCATTTTGATGGCAAGAATATGTAGATCAGAGTGTTTCTTCCAGTCCACAAAGTCCAGAGTTTGGTCTGTAGCTGGCCCCCGTCCTCTTCAAATCTGTGGAACACCCAGAGTATGAGCAGCATTCTGTGCTTGGACATCTCCCTTCGGTTGCAGATTTGGAGCGTTACTTTAGCCTACTTTAGTCACTCTTTGTCTCAGTCTGATTGGTGACATTTTGCTTCTTTCTTCTTTCTTTCACATAACAACAGTGGAAGCAGCTTCCAAGTCTTCCCACACAGGTCGACTGTCCCATCATAACCCTGGCCACAGAGGTCTTCTACGTTCAGATGGTTTTCCTTCAGTGCAGTCATCACTAAGTGTTCAGTCTGTTGTTGCCTTTACATCAGCTGGATACAGTGCTCCTTTATGGCCATGTCACACACATAACTGACAACAGGGGATGCCTGTTCAATGTGTGACACATCAGTGGTCTCAACAAGCAGACATCTTTCTGTATAACCTGTTTCTCATACTGTTAGTGGCCAGAGCTTTTATCAAATCATTTTGAGTTCCATTGCTTTTCCTTGATTGGATAAAAATGATATGCTATCATATTGGTTTAGAAATTCCACCAGCTCTAGGAAGCTGTTCGAAGTTGAGAGATTAAGTCTCTCAGTTATTTTGCCTGTCTCTGTCTTAGGAAGTTTGCATGTCACGGTCAGGCTTTTCAAAGGCCGTGTCCACTACCTTTCTTTTACATTCCACCTGATCATGTTTAGTATGTGTGACTGACTACTGCAGGGGTCCTTAAGTTTGTGTGACCCCACAGGTTTACCTTCACAGATTTCCATCATGTCCTGCTCTTATACTTTTTAAGTATAGTCAACAGCTGAAGCAGTATATGGCCTCACTGTCAGAACAATGTTCTAACCGGCGCTGCAGCGAGGGCCTGAAAATAGGGGTGTGGGTTTTTGGGGGATTTGCAAAAAGGTCTAATTGAAATTTGGAAATTGAATTGTGTTTGATGTTTTAATTTTTGGAGATGGCCCCTATCTGTTGGATTTGGAAACTGAATGAAATTATACAATTAATGTTATTAAAAATAACTTTTCAATTCAGTTATATACATTTAAATATAAATGTCATACAGGAAACTAAGTAAAAGGAAACAAAGATTCTATTCTGTTGCATTAGGGGAAGTGTAGGGTCTTGACTCTGGGGACTTCTCTGTTTTTATCAGTCTCCTGTTGTTTCCACTTTATTTATGGAAGTCCGATACTGAATCACTCTGATGTTGTCTCACAATGAATACTATTTTCTGTGAGGTTTGTTTAAAAATAGTTCAGTTAGTATGAACAGTACAGTGCAGTACTACTGACGGACAGAAAAAGGAACACCTGTGCAATCAGGTGAAAAATAACAATGTTTCGGTGCAAATTCAGGACGTTTTCAACTTGATGTTGATTTATTGTGCTGGAGAATTTTTGAACATGTGTTTCATAAATGGCCACCATATCAACCTTGTTGGAAGCACTGTATGCACACTCACAGTGTGTGATGGTGTTTTATTAGATTGCATTGTTTTCAAAGGCATTTCTTATATATTTGGTATTTCTGTATACAGGGGAAAATATTTTGAAACCTTTTATCCATGCATATAGCATTATCCAAAATTAACTTTTTGGCTCATGGCAGGTAAACAGAGCAATATTACCAGCCCAAAATACTTTACTGCCCACAAAACTGCATTATTCATTATTTGACTAAAAATAATTACATTTAGCCAGGTTGAGGGTTGGTGCGATAAATGATAAATGGAAATCAGACATTAAAATATCAGGCAGCTAAATCTCATTTCTCCATTTTTTTTTTAACATCCGGAAGTTATTGTAAGTAGTATGCTGCTGGCTGAACCGTCTGTGAGCCAATGGGGTTTGAGCATGAGTAGCAGAGTTCAGTATGGAGTACGCTATGTAAACTTATTTCACCTTGGCAGTCAACCAAAATCTGTTTCTGAACAGATTTTGGGCGAGAAATAAGCAATCATGTTGCTGAAACTTCAGTATTCGCATGTTGCAATAAAAAACACTCAGGATTTCTATTATCGTGATAATCTGCATTATTTGGGCCAAAATAATTGTGACATGACATTTTTTATATGATCCCATGCCTAGCCAGTATGCTGGGCCTCTCACTAAAACGCTGACCTTCATAACTTTTCTAACTTGTGTCCCCATATCTCTAATAACGTAATGTTTAAACGTTTCTTACGCCAAAAACAGGGCTGCGTGATTGATGGATGTATTATCAAAACTACAATACCACTTTTATTCAGGCCAAATAGAAGTACTAACATTTTGATACAGAGTACTTAACAATATCATTAAATGTGCTAATGTTGTTGTAAAAGTTGCTTAGAATTGCTTAAAATATCTCCAAAATGCTGACACTACTTCTCCTCTGCCTACCTGCTCAACTAACAAGAAGTTCCATAACGTAATTCTGCCGTAAAGTGGTATCGGAGTAGTTTTATGATTACAATTAATTATGAGTATGTGAGCTCATTGTTGGAGCCAATACCTGATACTGGTACCAGTTCATCCTTTATCTAAATCACAAAACCTTTTGATAAAGGTAAAAGGGCTGTAGTTCTGAAGCCTGAAAGCCTACAATTCTTTCAGTTCTCCAGACGTAAGAAAACATGTTTGTTAGATACAGACCCCAACAATTCCAACATCATCAGCATTAATAGATTCCTCAGTGAAGGTAAAATTGTGTTGGAAATGAACATTCCTACTAAATCAAATAATCGAATCATATTGCAATATCTGTCCACATAATTTTTCCGCCATAAGACATGGACAAAGACAGACTGAGACAGACCGAGACAGACGGAGACAGACAGAGACAGGCACTGTGTAGAAAGCACCAAATTGTAGTAGTTGCTTGGATCCGATTCGCTGACCTGAGGGTCTCAGCCAGTACATGTAAAAAAACACAACAATGTAAACCTGGCCCTACACTGTGATTCCAAATGATATACTGGCCACCTGGCCGGTGAACCCAATTCATTTTTACGCCAAACCCAAAATGTACCCACATTAGGCGTGGCTGGTGTCAGTTTTGCTCCCTGTATATAGCAGTTAGACAAAACCAGCATAGCTTTCAAAAATAAAATAGTCAATAATCTTAAATAAACAAATATTGTACCATTTGGGCTATACAGCTGAATTGTGTCTATTTGAATGTTGTTTTATATGTCTCCAGAGAACTGTCTTCACCACTGCTGCTTTGTCTTTGTGCAGGGTGACAGCTGAACCAAGGCCTCCTCTCTGTGGAGGAACTCTGCTCCGATAGTGATTAACCAGTGGCTCCAGTAGGAATGTCCTACTGGTCTGTTGGCCTTCCCCAGGACTCTAAAGACACTCCCAGCAACATGGAGCAACAAATCGGTGAGTAACCTCGCTGCTTCTGATCAACCTGCTCTGAATTCTGCCACTCCACATGGCCCCGTTTTCTCGCTGCGGCGTTTGAGGCATCCGGCAGGTTCAAACTGAAATGTACTGATGTGTGGAGCACTGCAGCACTGCTTAAATTTAGCAAAAAGAGAACTGAAACCATGATTGTTTGACAGCCACAAGCCCTTTTCTGTCGCTGTCTAACTGTATGTATGTACCACACTGTGAATGTTTCAGCCTCATGTAACTCACACATGATTTTAATAACTTCTCTATCAGCAGATTGTAGTTCAGCTGTGTGGTAAATAATTACAGGTATAGATGATGAATCGATGAATGGGGATTACAGTCAGGGATGGAAGAGTGTGGTGGAGTATGGTAGATTAGGTTACGGTAGGTGACCATTCATCTTTCTTTCCTAGCAACAAGGAAGCTGTTGTGATTTGCTGTTATATTTTATCTTTTAACTTCCTGACTACGTCACAAATGGAGACATATCTTCCTGTGCTGGTTGACTTCTGCTTGTGATCACCTTGTCCCTGCATTCTAATATAATATTTGACACAGTCTAACATTCAGTGTTAAAGACTGCCAGAGCTGGAAGAAAGTGAGACTGTCTTCTACAGCGGCCTTAGCAGAGTACAGAGTTCATGTTACAAAACAACGTACTGTCCTCCATCATGGACCCCAACAAAGCCATGGCCGAGTCGAAGCCCTCCCTCCCCCCCTGAGAATTCACCCCTCCCCTAATGAAATGGGAATTTGTGGACCAAAACAGTTTTTTGTACCAGGCTGTAAACATGCTGTAAATTTGGGCATTTTAACATTGGAGCTAATGGAGATTGACTCACTTTTGAAGCCAGCCTCAAGTGGCTGTTAGAAGAACTGTAGTTTAGCAACAAAAACAGAAGAAGAAGAAAATAATTTACTGGTGGTGGCTTCTCCAGTCTCTTAAATTGAATGCTTCTTTGTTTGATGTTACAGTTAACTGATTATCTTTGGGTTTTTTACTGTTTGTTGGACAAAACAAAACATTTGATGACGTCACCTTGGACAAATTGTGATGGGAATTTCTATAAACCAGATGATCGATCTAATAAAGGTTCCACTGGGCAGTGTGAGATTACAGTGGCTCACAGCAGAGGCAGTGTGAGGGAGAGACAGACAGGAAGCTCAGAGGCTGGCCAGGCTCTTAAACAAAGGAGCATCATTCCCTGCTCCCTCTCCCCACTACCCCCCCTCCTCCTGTCCCTCTACCTCTCTTCCCCATCCTCCCTCTCTCCTCAGCCTGTCACTGGGTTAGAGAGGAGGGAGATCATCCAGAGAACATAGCTAGGATGGCTGTGGATGCTGGGTAGAAGCCACGCAGCAGCTGAAGGGAAGCTATGAAAAGAAAGTGAGCGTTAGATGTGATGGAGGCAGGAGGAAGAGGAGGATTCGCTGCCTCGCTATGAGCAGGTTAGTAGGAGAGAGGAGGAGGGGGGCCAGAGCTAAACGCTGACTGCAGCCTTGTTTATATGCTGCACATGTAGGTCCGACTGAGCCTTAAAGCTACTCTGCACTGAGCTCTGACTCTGCTAGGATCAGCCAGTGTGGTCTGCAGATTCATGTGATGTATCTGATGACTTCTATACTGAAGGGCTCATTAACACAGCAGTGGTTGTTTATGGGAATCATCTAACTATGATGTCACACTCTGAATACATTTTACTCAAGTGTGTGTGGATGTATTACACTGGGTTTTATTGGGGAATGCTTCAGAAGAATGATTTCAAAGGGAAATTACAGATTTGTACACTGACCAGGCTAAGAAGCACCACTTCTGGGAATTGAACCCGTGGTGGTGGGCACGAATTTTGCTCAAACCGATCATATTGCTTTTTCAACATAAATGAAATTACGCCATCCGCCCACCATAACCGTGTGAGCACAAAATAATAGGGAACAGTTACAGCTGCGTATGCACAACTTTGCACATGCAGCTGCAGGTAACATTTTATCCCATTAGCAGCCTGTATCATGTTTCAGCAGCTGTCCACCTTCTGAAATCTCTGTCTTTGCTGTCTTTGTGAGTGGGTCTTGAATACTTGCATGCCATATGTATGTTGAAAAGATAGATTGATCATGGTATGGCTAAAACATGCTTCTCTGGGCTGTAAGCAAATGTGCAACGATTATTCAGGGATGATTGTGTAGCTTTTTCTCTTTTAACCTTTTTATCATGCTTTCTTCTCATATGTTAACCCACCTACCCACCTCTTGACAGGAGTGGGATCAACCAATCAGCTTGTTTGACTTTTAGGTCTGCACGATTCATTGTTGAGAAGTGGGAGTTACCCATAATATTTTTCCTGCCCCCGACTGCTGCTGCCTACCTCTTGTCTACATTGAGAACAATAAGATGGCGGTTGCACTGACATACTTTTAAAGTTATAATCCTTAAGATTTCAGTTATGTCAATTTGGCAACACAAGTGACTACCGTTGCTAACAGTAAATGCTCCATGAGCAGCCGTGTTGTAAAAAGTACTGGTGTAGCTGTTCACAGTGCAGCCAAAAACACTTGTTTTAATAAAGCAGTAAATGAATTGTCTTATTCCATCATCCCAAGAGTAATCTGATTTGCTGAAGAAGTGAAGGTGTGCAGCCTGTAAGTTCCTGCTCTTCATCTAACAGCTACCTATGGCTGCTCCATCATGTTAGTGACAAATTACTAAAATGTTGTCTTATTTTGTAGGAGCCCTTTTGCCAGACTATTGCGCTAATAACGGTGATAAACGCATTTCCTGCTTCACGATAAACACCACACTGTGTTTCACCAGTGGAATGCTTTTAATGTTTTTTTATGTGAGATTATAACTTCAACATTTATTTACACACATAATGTATGTAAAACAAACACCATCCGTTAACAGAACTACACAGTGTAAGGTCCTTTCTTAACTGCAGTGTTGCATAAAAGAGGAAGTCTGTGGTGTGCTTGTCTGGGGGACATCAGGATCACAAATATGAAGCTGTTGAAAGTGACAGAGCATTTGGTATCTGTGACTATAAAACAAAGCATTATATGCCTCAGGTACACCTTACAGATACAGATGAATTTTGTTATGATGATCGGCAATACTCTCCTCATCAGTAGAATTCAGTCATTAAATTGAGCTGTGACTTTTATTCACCTCTATAGATAGGAAAAACATAATCTTTCAGTTCACCAGGATAGTTTTTTAATAATATTTACATTTTCTGCTGCTGCTACTACTCTACTGCTTTTATTTAAAATCTACAGTTAGTAGTTACTTTACTGATTAGTATTTTAAATAAAACACAAATGCATATCAAATGCAATGCATTCTTAAGATTAAACCAGTGGGTTCCAACCTTTGGCTAGTGGAATCTTACAGGAAAATTGTCTGATTGTGGGCCCTTATCACATTTCAGATGGCTGAGTTCTTTGTAGTTCTTCCAAACAGACATTTCCCCTTCTAAACCACTGAGATGGTTTCATTTAACTTACTGTTAGAGCCCCAGAGAGGTAAAATTATTACATTTTTCACAAAATGCAAAGCTTTGTGAAGAGCCCCAAAGATTACTACAGCATTTTGTAGCATAAACCTTTCTTCTTTACTACCCTGTTAATTGTCTCTCTTTATGTTGTGACCCATTGGAGAGGCCTGACCACCACATTGGGAACCACTCAACTCCACTACCTAATTGTATGTAAAATAGTTCAAACTAGCTGCTGCTTGAACATTGATTTATTCACGTTAACAATATATTATGTAATATTTTCTGGTGAAGGAGTACTTTTTACTTTTGATACTTTTGTACTTTAAGGCATGACCTTTACTTAAAATACAGTATTTTTACATTGATGTTTTGTTTTACTCTAAGTAAAGGATGTGAATACTTCTTCCACCACTGGTTGAGTGTGACAGCTGATTTAGTTTGGATTGTAAATGATGTTGCCACCAGTGTAGGTTTTGCCTGTTAGGATTGAATCATCCACAGTGGATCTAAAGCTGTTTCTTGTGGTGCTGCACTGACATAGGGAAAGTGAAACAGTTGATGAGTGTTTGGAATCTAGAGGATCAAAGTGGAAATTCCCTTGAAGAAAAAAAAAACCTGAACCTAGTGGCACATGTTCAGGTTCTTGCACAGGCACTACTGCAGCTTACTCCTGGCTAGTGTGTGTGCATGCATGTACCATTCGACCACTGCAGCTCCTCCAGAATGCAGCAGTCCAGCTTGTCTTCAATGTACCCTATCTTTGCTATTAGGATAATGTGATTCATCTGGGTGATGCCACCAAATGTGTAGCATGTTTGATGTTTCCATTCACATACCTGACAGTGGTGGAGCAACACTGACACGCCATTCTTGTCTATTTATTGCTGCTGTAGCTGTCCAGGAACTTGAATTGTGTCTAAACAACTGATTTAAAGGATGCAGGCAGGTCCAACTGCAGCATTTGTACTTGCCATAGCGTGACTGATTCACACCCGTAGCTTTTTGGGTTTTTTTTTGGTTACATGCATCAATCTACATACCCTATAGTCTACATGCGGCTGCGTGCACCACACCGTGACTCCTGTTCCGTAACGGTTTGCCACAAATACACAAACCGTCAAATTTGGGGAAAAGAGCAGTAGTATCAGATTGTTACTTTGTATCAGCAGATACTTTTAGCACATCAGAACAGAAAAAGTTTGATTGGTGCATCCCTAGATGGTACATTGGTCTTCCACTGGAGGATTTGTGTTTTGGCTGTATGTATCATAATCATTTAATTCCTGCTATATGAACAGATGATCCACAGCTCCTTCTCATTTGTCTCCTCCTCTTTCCTCAGCTCCTGTCTAATCACATCACCCTGATGTGTAGTCTCCACTATTGTTTGTTCACGTAGCAAATGTCAGGAGTGTATGTTTCCTTTGAGCTCTAAAGCAGATGGACCAGTGAAAAGGGGAATTCAGTAACGGAGGAGTTGTTGATCGCCTCATCCCTCTCAAGGTCTTCTTCTAGCTTTCCCAGATATGCCGTTGAAGGCTGTGATAGGGGAGTATTGATGGTGGATAAGAGGCACATCTGGGTCTAATGGCTCAACTCCCTCAGGCTTTCTCATATAGCCTTGGAAGCCCAGTCAGACTCTCTCTGTATTAATTATTCAGAGAAAAGCCACTGGGCTTCAGGAAGCGGGCACATGCAGCTCAGACGCACATGAAAGAGGAAACAGAAGTGTTGGCTGGTGAAATGAATAACCACTCTGACAAACATGAAAATAAAGAACTTGCTCTGTCAGACTTGTTAGGACAGTTTTTGATACATTTTGCGCTTGAGTTATGAGCAGAGGTTTTCATCTTATTTCCCAAGAAATGTATGAATGGTATGTTCTACAAAAACAGCCCTGAAAAAGAACCAGCAGGCAACCAGCGATTACCGACTGCTAGTTGTAAATAAACAGGTTTATTCTGTGCCACATCGTTCACACCTTTTACAGTTGAAAGCCAAGATACACTTTCTGTGGATGATCTCCTTTTTGCACAGGACTAATATTACCTGAGGAAGCGCAGTGATGCCTGACGCTGTTTATAGCGCACAGTGTCAGAGCTGTACATGTGATCAGTGAGGAAGACCCCTGTCCAGTCAGCGCAGGCCCTGGCATGCCACACGGTCATATAATGCCGGGTAATTTGAGGCCAGCTTAACAACATGTAACTGCTGTACAGCATTTTGGTGTCATGGATGTATTACTAGAAACTGGCTTTCGTATTTCATCCAACCAGTGCCTTGAACATAAGGCCACCAACACAATCCCTTGCATTCTTGATTGCACTGCTGATTTTGTTCTGAACCTGGTCAAGGTGCTTGTTTTTGTAATATGACTATTGTTAATATTATTATTATAATATTATTGATTATTGATAATATGATATTATTAAGAACTTTGTGCAAGATACTGTACGTTTGTATTAGTGAATATTAATCGGGCAGATTTTCTTGTTTTTGGTAAATTACTAAGTGACATATTTTATGTATTTTTCATATATTCAACACATACAAAACAACTGATAAACAGTACAATGAACCCAAATAGTGAACACAATAACTGTAGTAACATTTGTGTAAAATTTAATTAATTAATAAAATTTTCCTGTGAATACTGTTTTTCTGACATTTTTAGGACATACTGGTATACAGGCTTCTTTTTTTGACAAATTCACTATTTTCTTTTCCCTGATATTTGGCCATTGTTCTCCTGCAGGATGCCTCAGCAGTGAGTAAGAGCTCTGTGAATATAGCTTGTGTTCAAGTCTTGTCTTATTTTTAAAGTTTAAATTATTACTTAAGATAGAAACTTTCTGTGCTAATGCATCCTTCTGTAAACATATGCTTGACTTTCCTTTAGAATAGAATTGTACATTACTTTTCTTTGTTTTGATATCAGCATGGTAGCCCTGCTCTCTAAATATCAACATTAGCAATTGAAAAACCGGTCGACAACTGAGATGCAAGACTCTGTGTTCTGAGCTTTGATGAAAGCTATCAGCCACTTCTTACGGTCCATGTTTTATGATGGCTAATGCAGTTTATAGGAGCATCATAACCTGGATTGATTTTATTTTGGTTATTATCCTGTGGTCTAATGCTGCTTCTGGTGTCTCTAAAAATCTACACACTAAGTCTCTTTACATATTATGTTTCTGTGTCACAACCAAATGCTTTTTAGGTATATTGTATATTCGTATTAGCAGAGAACATGACTGTATTTTGTTAAATTAATTATACACATTATCACATCCCTAACTTAACAAAAAACAAAATGCAAACAGCATATTTGTATATGTTTATGTATATTTACATATATGTATTTTGCTTTAAGATAGAACTGTGTTTATCATTTTAATTGTATATAAAGGGGTAGTTTAAATTGATATAATAGAACAAATAATCATTATTAAAAATTATAATTATAATCATATTTTTGACGACATGTCGGAGGGAGGGGATGGAGGGCCGGAAATGGCCCCTGGTCCAGTGGTTTGAGATCCCTGTGTAATCCATCTTGCACAAACTACAACAGTGTCTCACTTGCTCATTGTACTGATGTACTAACTCTAATTTACACATGAATCCCCAAGAAAACAATCCCTACACATCTTGCTGCAGAGTCTCCATACTTCAAGAAAGTCTGATTTATTATCATTAGATGTAGAAAATGACCAAGCTAAATACTGAATATTACTATTTTCCAACCAAGAGTATTAGTTTCTATACTAATGTATTTTCCTTTAGATACTAATGTCAGTGTGTAATATGAGTTTGGTGTCAAGTGCCTATTCCACCTGCCTCCAGAGGCTCTAGTGCGCACTAATCCACTCAGCTGCACTGTAGTTCAAGAGCATTCTTTAATAGGGTGACCTAGTTAGCGTATGCTGCAACAAGACTACAGTAATACGACGTGTTCAACCTGCAGCATGCTGCCAAACGCCTCCGTATGATCCCAATCCTACCTCACAAGCACTCCTTTAAACTCCCATTTGACTACTGCAGCCCCCTTTGTCTGTCCACAGGCCCTGGGGAGGAAATGGGAGCCAAAGCGTCGTTGGTGGAGGGTCCGGTGCCCGGCTCTGCACTGGTTCCTTCTCCCACTCTGGAGAACATCCAGGCAGCTTATGAAGGCGGAGAGGAGGAAGTTGCCAGGGAGCTGATCCAACAAGCCTGCTGCGTGGAGTGCAGTGCCAGGGTGCCCCGCATCGACGGGGTGAGTACACCCAATATATACATGAAAATCCTATTGTCAACTGCACCGCTAGTTGGGTTATGGTCATCACTGTAACGTTATGTGGTATGCAGGGTGGACACAGGGTTACAGTGATAGGCTTACTTGGCTTCTATGGGAAAATGTTTATACTTTGGTTATATACTGTACATAGTCAGTCAGTGTGGTACAGTACACTACAATAAGTTAAAGATCTGTGAATCACATATCACTATGACTATGTATGTACATTATCAGGTAATGAATGTTAGTTCAACCAGACCACGGGGTCGAACTCTACCCGGGGTTAAGGGATTTAATATTTTTAAATAAATGAAAACCAAATGAAACTGCTATTTTCAAAGAGCTTTTACTCACTGCTAAACAGCCTCATCCTGCATTAAAACCAATTATCAGGGAGAAGAAAACACTGGATTTGTCAAAAAATAAGCCTATTAAATATGTATTATTGATAGAAATAAAACAAACAATACAGACAGAGAATTATATAAAGAAAATGTCAAAATATCTAATCTATCTAATCTAATCTCAAAATTCATCCAAATCTTACACCAACTTCCTGCACTTATTGTGTTCACTGTTTGGGTTCATTGTACAGTTTATCAGCTGTTCTCTACTGTTATTGTTGGAACCACTGATGTAAACCAGTACAGTAGTTCTCAAACTAGGTTTTTGTCACATTTCAGGGATCTCCAGATAATCAACAATATAGAAAAGCAGAGTTTTTTCCACATTATTACACCCCAAAGTCAGAACCACTCTCATGTCAAAACATGCATAAAGGTTGCAGTTACCCTTTTGAATTATTTGGCCATGAACATGCACATACACAGTGATTTTCTGACACATATTTTCTGTTGCTGCTGTGTTTTTATACTTACCGTCCAGTTTGTCTTATGGCTGGAAGCCATGTTTATTCTGGAGGCATCATGTCTGACTGGATATACTGTAACTGAAGTTCTGAATACAGTACACTATTTGTACAATGTAAAGGTGACATCAACACACTATCTGTGGGCTTGAAGTGGGCTAAAAGCGAAATCCCTGATTTGTGCAAGTGCTGTTTCTATCAGCATCGTGTCCTCTTCATCCCCACACTGCGATGGGCTCATTTGGTACATTTCATACTAAGTATAGAAGACTGACAAAGCCTTGATATGAAGCTATTAGTATTACACTAAAATGAAATGTGTAAACCTTTCAGGGAAGAATTATCTGAGATCTAGCTCTATGTTGAGATCACGTGATGAAAATGTGTGTGTCCAAACTGCCTCCCACTCTAAAAAGGAATAAATCCATATTCCAGACTAGTCTCTCAGAGACAGTGTGGTTATGCTATGGATAAAGCTAGGTCTTGTCTCCTAAGGTCACTTTAGCATTCTGAAAATCCCAATTTTTCAGTTTTTGTCTTGTTCCCCATGTGTATAGTAAGCCATTGGGCCATTTACCATGTCAATAACTTCACCAATGCCACAAGTAATATGTCCTTTTACACTAAAACACCATTCTGACTGAGGATTTCTGAAGTCCTATATACAAGCAATATTACCATGTGCACATAAATATACAGGCGACTGTGGAGAAACATTCAAATTCAACGAGACTAAAATGTCTGATGCCTTTGCTGTAAAAGAGAGGAGGCGTTGCATTCACTATTTGGTGTGAACAAAGCCTCTGTTTCATTAGAGCCAAAATGTGCCAGTGTTACAGTATTACAGACATAAAAACTAGAAGTGAACGCGCAGGAATCTGGTTTGACTACACCAGTTGCTGGCCGGTGCTTTTCAAACAAACAGTACCGGGAACTAAACTCTAGAATATAATCGGAAACAAAAGTCCCTTTTTTGTTCATTAAGAGTTAAGTTCTTGAGCTCACAAAAATGTTCTTGGAAGAGTTCCTGTGGTCAAACAGGGTTGTACAGTATGTTTCAAAACTCTTAACAATAACAGAAAACCCTTATTTGAGTGGCTTTGTCTGAAACCTGTTCATGAGTCAGTGGGCCTGGTGTTAATAGTATGAGACACAGTTTAAGTAGATTCATCCAGGTGGGGGTTGGGGGGTTAGGGCTTGCTTAATTGCTGATCCTTCTTGATTGGTAAGCTCTGTGGTGAACCACAATGAAGTAAAGCTCAAAGAGAGGAGTAACCAGCCTAGTCAGTGCACGTTGCTACAAACCCCTTGAGGCAGGGGTAAGCGACTGGCGGGCCATATCCGGCCCGCCAAAGCTTCATATCTGTTCCACAGAGTGGCTGCTGATTTTAGTAATTTAATATTGCTATCTATACAGTATTACGATCTGGGTATCTGTGGCAAAATACATTGAGTAAGGCAGTATTAAGTTGCTCCTAATACAAAAAAAAATGCATTAAAGGTCCAGTGTGTAAGATCTATTGGCATCTACTGAACACCACTTGTGTCTGTATCTGACCACCTGCGAATGAGAACGGGTTATGAAGACAAACTAACCTAACCCTAACCCATGGCATCTGTAGATAAAAATGGCTCATTCTAAGGTAATGAAAACATATAATTATTGTTATTTTCAGGTGATTATACACTATTATACACATGAATAGGCTGGTCACAGGTAATGCAGTGTGTCTGTGAGCTTGATGCTGGCTGCCATTCATCTAAAATGTGTACAAAACAGCATTTTCTAGTCAAGTGTCTGTCTGTATTATTATGGATTAACCATTTTCAGACTCTTCACACTGATCTAGACTTATAAAAATAGCATTCCTTTTGTAAAAAATAAAAATATTAAACAGTAATAGGCTAATTTGGCCTAAATAGATGTTTTTAATTAAATAAAAAACAAGGTGAAGGTGATACCCCTGTCCTGAGGAGACATGGATTGAAAAAAATAATTTGCTTTCCCCTTGGAAACCTTTGACCCTTGGGTTTTGACTGGAAGTCCTTTTTTCCACTCTCGGGAGAACACAAAGGTTTCTCATGTATTTCTTTCTCCCTCATGGGGCTCTGTAATTTGCTGATCCAAGTCCAAAAAAATGATATATTAATTTTGCAGGGGAACAATGCACATCATGTTCTTTTGCTTTCCATGCTTATTCCAATAAAAAAAGGTTTTGTGTCGAGACAAACCTGGTGAGGTGACTGTGTTTAAGGTTGGGTTTACACAGAGACTACATCTTTTTTGTATTTGAATTAGAAGACTTTTTCCTGATCCTGTCATTCACCTTGATCTGATTGCTTTTGTTGTTGTGGTGACTTCAGTCTGTACTGATGACAGGGGATGTCCACTCTCACTTACTTGCTCTTATCCTGTGTCACAGCTGTATTATTTAGTGGCAGAGCTGCGGCGTTTTTGCAGAGTGGTGCAGTGCTCTGTGTTTTTTGTGGTGGCATGAAGAGCGCGTGGGCGTGCTGCTCTTGTTTTTATTTGTGAATACATCCTTCGCAGGCATCAGCAGAGATCTGGCCTACTTCTGCCTGTGCCAGTGTACATTAACAGATTGGGCTGATTAGAAAACTCTAGGAGAGCAGGAGATGAACAGATCAGATATACAAGAGAATCTACAGTTCATTCCATCTCATCTACAAAGACATCGACATTGAATGCCTGCAGGAAAAAACATACAGCTTTGTCAAAAACAGTCAGTCAGTTCATGCCTCTACTATCCCTGGCTGAACCTGCTGTGTCAGAGTCCTGGTCGGAGCTGGCTGTACATCAGGTGGCCTCCATTTGTCCGCCCCACTCCGGTTCTGTCGGCCATTCCTGGCCATGTTCCTTGGCAGCATTCCCCGCTAGGTGCCCCGCTCCTACGCTAGTAGTGTTTAAACTCCCCCTGTCCTTCCAGCTCCCAGTCCAGGTACAGTCAGCTAATAGGACCACTATGTAGCTAGTGACAGCAGCTAGTGCTGTTAGCATATGCAGCGCACCAGTGTGTTACAAGAGAAAAGGTCCGTGTTGCACAATCCTCTGATACTTTCGTCCTGGTGACAAGATGCAGCTCCCGAATGGAGTTTGACATCGTTTTTGTTTTTCTGCAACTATCCAACTAATGAAAAGTGTGTCAACTAAGACTCTTTTCATTGACTAATGGGTCGACTATGACAGGGCTGTGCTACAAAAAAAAGTTTTTTTTACTGAGATTTTATTGTCATGGTGATGTATCCTTTTATACTATGACAGTTTTCCCAGAAAATTATTTTTGTAATAAAGCAACATATCGCCTTGGTTACAGTATTGCAGTATGTTGAATCTGTATCGTGATGTGTATTGTATTGCCAGATTCTTACCAATACACAGCCCTAAGGTCTATTGCAGTGGTTACTAACCTGGCGGTCAGGACCCCCACTATGGGTTGCCAAAAGTTCATAGGGGGTCTCGAGGCCTTTGTGATTTTACGGTGTGCTGGAAAAATACACAGTAGGCCTATATGTCAGTATTTGACTCACTTCTGTGAAGAAAAGTAAATTGTCTTATAGAACAATGGCCAAGTGTTAGGGACAAGAAAACACAGAATTTGTCAAAAAAGAAGCCTATTAAGTCTGTATGACAAGTTTAAAAATTAAAATATATATATAAATATATATATATAAATATACAGACAGAATTGTATAAAAAAGGGATAATCTGTTCCAAATTTCTAAATCACTCGTTTTACCAAACTTATCGGTTACTGTTTGGGTTCATTGTACAGTTTTGATATAATATGAAATATCCATAAAATATATCACTTAGTGAGGGGTCGTCAGTTGGCTTAATTATAGAAAAGGGGTCCTTGTCATGACAAGTTTAAAAATTCTAAGTCCTTAAAAAATAATTACAAAAAAATAAAAAAAATTCCAAATAAATCCAGTTCTCTTGTTTATAACTCAATAGTGAAAACTAAGAAAGCGTCAGTCTCAGCTTTACTTTGCTAACTAGCTAATGTTACTAAGATGGTGAACAAAGTCAAAATTACACCTGCTAAACATCAACATGTGAACATTGTCATTGTGAGCATGATGCTAGCCTTTAGCTCAAAGCCCCACTGTGCCCAAGTACAGCCTCAGAGCAGTTTTCATATTTTACAGACAGAAGTGATTAGTTAAGTCTTTGTGTTTCAGACACTTTTTTTCGTTTTTCGTTTTAATCAATCCAGCTGTTTACACTGGCTCATGTTTCACTAACGTCCATACATCCAAAACTTCAACGTGAAGCTTATTTTTACGCTTAAAGTCTGTTTTCTTCCATTTTACTGAGTAACATCAGTGAATATGCAAGTGACCTACACTCAGTACTGTACCTGAACACATCCTGTGTAGACTGATGACCTGCTGCTGATGTCCTGCTTTCTTTACAAATTATAGTTATGTGCTTAGTGCAGTCCAAGTGTGAACCTATTGTGACAGTTTGTTGGAGCCAGTGGAGGTGACATACAGCAAGTTGAGCTGCTCTCATTGGCTGCGCAGTTTCAACTCTTTGTAGCAGGAAACAATGGTGGCATGCCTGGTCACACGATCATGTACTCTAGACAAACAGTCCACTAAAATATGTTTGTGAAACGATTTGAGGAGTAACACAATCTGGATCCATATCTGATCAGCACTGCCAAGTTTGACAGTTTGATCTGAGTTTGGTGCGTTGAGCTGGACAGACTCACTGATAATGACCTGTCAATCACAAGGTAGCCCCACCATAAAGCATACCCTACTTTATGGTCTATTTTACTCTAAATGGGACCATCATTTACTAAATGAACATCATGCTGTATGGAAGAAGACTGAAACTAGAGCCTGAGACCATAAACTCATCAGGAAACTGTTTACTGAGCTAATACATCAAGTGAGAAGTAGGTTAATTTCTCCACAAGACTGCATGGTATCAGTGTTTTATTGCAGCCCATGGAGATGCCCCCTGCTGGCAATTACACAGAATGCAGGTTTAAAACTCTTAAACACTTCACAGATCCAGAAGCTCAGTCCAATATTTATACTGCCAATGATGCAGTGGAGCGCACCAGCAGAGCAGTTACCAACAATAAACTCCTACAACAAACTGCATGAGTCTCACGGTAAAGTCTCACAAGGGAAAAAGCCACCTACCACCCATCTGTAACAGAGGCAGCACCTTGCTGCTTCTTGGTTGAGATGTCTTGTGTGAACACTGCAGTGACCACATTGAATAAGCTGTCTTTATAAGTCTACTGCTCTATTTAGCAAGTGCGGTTTCTATATGTGCCCTGCTGTACTTGTGTTGTATGTGCCCACTGCTGAGGACCTGCAGACCAAGGTCTGTGTGAGCAACAATGACCAGACATTTCCTGGAGCATCAGTCTGATATGGATTAATGATTGTTCATTATCCCATATCAAATAAAGGCTTTCTGTTTGAAAGTGGTGTAATTCAGCCTTGGGTTTGATTTCAGGTTTAAGTTCTTAAACCTTATTGAGTCTGAAGTTAATGGTGGGTCCAGTGTTAAGCAGCACTGAGTGTTAATCATGAGTTTTGCAACTATATAGTTGCCCTTTTCCACCCAGTACTGCAGAAATCTCAAATTTCAGTAAACTGATTCTTTATCCCTGTCTGAGTCTGGGTTTTTATTCAATACTCAGTATACGGTAAATGGAGGACTTCCAGCTTGTTTCAGTACGATTGCTTCCTCTTGTTCGTCAGTTTCTAACAAAATCCTATCTGAGGTCTTTCAAGAGTTTGCTCCTTAATCGTCCGTGTTATGTAATGTACACTTAGCGTAATTGTTCTATGTCTCAACTGGTTCAGAGGAAATGGGAAATCTTGCAACATGATGCTTTAATAATGTGGTTCATGATGGCAGAGAAGTGGCCTTCATGTGCCAAACAGGCACTGTTAAAGGCATGAAACCGTACCTTGTTCAACCTGAATAATCAGTTCCCATGTGATCAGTGTGCTGCTAATAGTCAACAAGACAGAACTACTTCAGCCTTTATTTAGGTTGTTAATCAGATGAGATTTATGCCTATATTTTTCTAGTGTAGGTTTCTTGTGATTACTGTAAAGTGTGGCTTTCTATTTGCAATTTGGACTTCAAGGTAGAATCTAGCCATCAATACATTTTGTGTTAGAATTACTGTTGTGATCAGTGAAATAAAGGTCCAGTGTGTAACATTTAGGATCTTTTGCCAGAAATAGAATATTATATTCATAGGTATGTTTTCATTAATGTATAATCACCTGAACATAGGAATCATTGTGTTTTTAGTGATTTTCTCATTGTGTGTGTGTGTGTCTGTGTGTGCGTGTGCGTGTGCTTGTGTGTTATAGGTACGTCTCCTGTGTGTGGCAGTTCAGCATGATGATCTGCAGAGTGTGTGTTACCTCCTCAAAGAAGCCCGTATCACTGTACCCCAGGAGCTGTCCAACAGCAACCCAGCCATCCTGGCAGCATACTACGGACGCACCGGCTTGGTCAAACAGCTGCTGGATTCTATACCTGGTAAAATGAAACAGCTCCACATCTGCCATATATAGACCAGGGCTTGGCTTCTTTTTTTTGAATAACATGTATTCATTCATTTTAAATCAAAGACCCGTTCCTGTCCTGCACCCCACCATTTTTATGTCAAAGTCATTGTACTAGTTATGGATAGTACGACTCAGCCTGAAAACAGTAGACCATTCCTAAGTCCCGCCCCATTTGGAACCTTGGTCAACCTCCTGTACTTAGATACGCTACAGTATGTGCTAGCCTCGTCTATGCTGAAAGGACGCCCACATTTTTAAGATGGTTATAAGGCTGTTTTATTTAAAATGTAAATTTTACATTATGTATTAGTATGTTTTTTTTTATATATTTTTTTTTTTTTTTCTTTTGTTTGTCCTCTGTTACTCAAAACCCGAATAAAAACAGCAAACATTAGCTCTCATGATGTAACTAGCTAGCTAACAATTAATATAGATTAGCTGGCGAGTTGTTTTGCTCTAAAGAAAAACACTGACTGTTATTGGAGCACAGAGCAAAAAGGGGCGGGACTTGGGAAGCTTATTGTCTTAATTAACTAAGCCGCAAGCCAGCTAACAGTAGCTAACTAAAGACTATGTATGTCACTTTTATCTTTTAGCTGCCTTAAAAATGTGGTTGTATTCTCAACATACATTAACCTAGCACATAGCATATCTAAATACAGGAAAGGAGGACGTTGACTGAGGTTCTGACCAAGGCTTACTCAACTGTTATTGGAGCACAGAGACAGAAAGGGGTGGGATTTAGGAAGAGTCAATTGTATAATGTCTGCTATGTCATGTCTGAGAAAATAATCCTGACAGTGCCATCAGGGTCATCTTGATCTGGATTTGGAGATTATAAATCTATAACAAAAACCCTGCATCACAAACTGGAGGTGTGGGGATGGGCAAGAAATTGGTACTCACCAAACAAAGAGGGTGTAATTAAAAGATGATGAGGACTGGATAATGCAAATTGTAGGATTCATTGTTTTTGGAGCTTAAACTAAACTAGGGACTAAAAGTCGGGATATCTGGGCCTCTGCTCCTTTTTGACAATTCCTTTTAAAACCTGTGTCTCGTGAGTCCCCCAACTTTATGAATACACAACAGTAAATTACAGGAGTACCCCTTTAACAGAGAACATTCTGTAATTGCATAAATATTGTTTTATATAGAATAGAGTTTGCTATAAAACTTTATAGATTGTCTAAAGCTTCCAAAATAATTGTTGTTCTTGCTCTAGAATAATAATTATTGTTAACAATGTATCTTCATTGTTGTAACCAGATGCTCACAATTAAGATGATTGATGATACTTAGCTTAGAAAGAATATACAGTAGAATACCTCTTAATCATGTTTGACCTCCTCATGAACACTGAAGAAAACCCTCACTAAGAAAATAATCTGTCTGACAAAAAAACATTTCAGAGTCCCAACTCAAGGTCAGGTCCTAATGGAAAGTTTTAAATAGCCTCAACCAGTTTGAAACTTTGCCAGATCGGTCACTGGACTAAAAGAGTCTCTGCGGTAGAGTCTGCGTGGTTGTTATTGATCAAAGAACGTCTTCTGGCTCCCTCTCAGGTCCATGTCTGAGAAGAGACTTGCTGAACTGGATGCTGGCCACATCGTGCCAGCATGGTCACCTGGAAGTGGTCCGACTTCTAGTCCACAGCTACGAGGCCGACGCCAGGGACTGTGCCATCCACAGCGACGAGTTCGCTGTCATCACAGGCCTGCCGCTGTACGCTGCTGCACGAGCAGGTAGGTGACACAGACATTAATACACTGCAGACTATATATGTACTTGTTACAGCAGCTCATCATGCCTGTACTATAACTCTAAACCCTTTAATAATCACCACACCCTCCTGTGTATATTCAGCTTTTCATTCAGCAGATACATCCACCAAACTAGAAGGTGCACACAGTCTGTGTGCCCTACACACACTGCTTTGCATTTGTAGTTGCACTTGTCACCCACAGCTAATTTCAGAACTGGGCAGCAGTTCCACCCCATCCTTAGACGAAACTGTGTACCACAGCATATTGATATTAATAGTGCAATGTGAATTTCTATTCTGCTGCTGTGTGTACGTCCAAATGCTGAACAACTGTGAGACATCATGTAGAAACATGTAAAGCCCTGTATTTCCAGAAGTGCTGGAGCAATAACTGGTGACTGACACTGAGTGAACACTGTTGGTCCTGTGAGCAGTGTGTGTTCTGTGTTGCAGGTAATGAAGAGATAGCTCGCTTCCTGCTGCAGAATGGAGCAGGGTTCTCCTCATACACCCTCATGGACCATCCAGCATTCAGCAAACACCTCCTCAGACTCCAACTGCAGGAAAGCTCCAACACAGAAGGAGAGGAGGTCTGTGTTCTGGAAACGAAGGAGGGCAATGATGTTGTGTTTTTGAAACAATAAATGCGATGCTGTCAGAGGAGAGCACCGTCGTTAATGAGGATTTATATTTAAGTACTGGTTCTCCCTAATGTTCTAGCTTTCGACCCCAACAGGGAACTCTGACAGATGTTGCTCTGCAGGACTTTGACAAACATGGAGCAGTGTATCACAGCTGCGCTCTGCTCAGCAACGTAAACAATGCAACAGTTGAGACAATGTAGAGCACACTATAAATGCATTACAACAAACATCTGCTCTAACAGATGCATATCTCAGCGATGTTTTTGTGAGATGCCTGCCTGTGTGGGGGGAAGAAAACAATATTCATAAGGAGATCAACAATTCTTTTTGTGTCGTTAACTTCATGCATCACAAAAGTGATCGGTGTGCTGTTGTGTTTAGAGTTTTGTGTGACTTGGTGACAGCTAACAGAGGTGCAGACTGGCTTTGGATCAGCTTTTAGGCGAGTTAAAAAACCGAGACACTCCTGCACAGATGACAGGGATACTGATAACCAGTGGTTACGTTTTTCCTTAAGGGACCTGTTTTCTATCAGTGAATTAAATGACAACCCCTGACTAAGTAACATATCTTATGGATATTTCACATTATATTCAATCTATAGCAATACGAGTAGAGAACAGCTGATAAACTGTGCAATGAACCCAAACAGTGAACACAGAACTGCAGGAAGATTGTGTGTGGATGAATTTTGAGCATGACCCTCTGGTTGGGAACCACTGTTCTATATCATATCCTGAATAAGGGACTTATAACAGCCTGTTGATGGTTTAGTTATTATAGTGAACTAAAACTAGGCTACAAACTGAAACTCTTAACTCCTATGAAATACCCTTAAGAAAAAGAAAACTAAGAAACAATATTGTACTTACAAAACAAACTAACTAATATAAAAAAAATATATACTGGAAGTGTCTTTAGTGTTAGTCTCATAAGTCAAAACACAGAAAGCATGAGGAGGCACTGGTGTATTGTACCACCTATTCTGAACTTCTAGTTTTTTTTTTAAGTATATATTTTTTGAGGCTTTTATTGCCTTTATTATAGTGACAGCTGAAGACAGACAGGAAAGGGGGGGCAGAGAGGGGATGACACGCAGCAAAGGGCCGCAGGTTGGGTTCGAACCCTGGGCCACTGCAGCAAGGACTCAGCCTCGGTACATGGGTCACCAGCATTACCCACTGAGCTATCCTGGCGCCCCTGAACTTCTAGTTTTAGAAATCTGAAGATATAAACACACAAACTTAACTCTTAACAGTAATTTCACAAGCCCTTTCACAAGTCCTTCTACCTCAGTACTGAAACTGTCCATGTATTGTGTAAACTATAATTTTTGAGTGCTTGCAAATTTGGAAACACGTCGATGGCAATTAGAATGAGTTTTGAAAATGACTAAACTGGATATAAAAACTAAATATTTAGCAAAAGGTCCAGTGTGCAACTTGTACAGTGTGATGTAGAAACTTGAAGCCACCAGTGCACATCCACTGAGAATGGACTTTACAGTGAAGGAGGAGACATCTTGTGTCCAGCAGGAAAACTTTGTATATTCATCTGCATTTTAGCAAAATTTTTTCAGCTTCCTTTTGAAAAATCAGTTGAGTGTCTTTAAAGACATTCAGTCAGTACCTTCTTTTCTTATGTCTGGGGGACATAGGAACAACATTTGTATAGTCAGAGATTCTGGAATTTTAAATGAGCTTGAAGGAGGAGGTGTGTTTTTTAAGGATTTGAATGTGGAAATTATACTTGTGCATGTGGACAAAATCTTTAAATGGGGCCATTATCATATACTTTCTTTCTAAGTGTTTAGAATTACAATCTCTTATAATAAGTTCATAATACTTTTAGTCAAGTAGTAAGATGTAGTAAATCTATGGTGTTTCAGCAGGGTTCCCATGCGTCCTGTAAAATCTGGAGAACCTGGAAATTTAGAGAGTGGTTTTCCAGTCAAATTGCTGAAAATGACAAAATATCCTGAAAATAATCAACATTGTAATTGTATTTTAGCCCCTCACTCAGATTACGTAAACCTTTTACCAGTTTCCATGTCAGTTCAGAGATGTTTACACAAATTGCAGCAAACTTTTGGCGTCAAGTCAAGTGTGTGTGTGTGTGTGTGTGTGTGTGTGTGTGTGTGTGTGTGTGTGTGTGTGTGTGTGTGTGTGTGTGTGTGTGTGTGTGTGTGTGTGTGTGTGTGTGTGTGTGTGTGTGTGTGTGTGTGTGTGTGTGTGTGTGTGTGTGTGTAGGCTATCAGTGTGTGTTGGAGTGGTCTGCAGCTGCCCTGGTTGGAGCTGGACTGGTTCATGGATGTCTCATCGCGTATCACCCACCTGGACCTGTCGTCCAACAGCCTGGCTGCTCTGCCCTCTGTGGTGCCCTGGGGTCTCATCCACCTGCACACTCTGGATCTCTCTGATAACCTGCTGGAGGAGCTGCCAGCTGCTCCCAACTCCCAGGAGGTCATCTGCTCCAGGTACACATGGCAGCAGCTCGTCCGAGACACCAGGGTTGCAGCAGTGTCTCAGACAGTGTCCTCCATCTTGGACATGATGGATGTCCTCCACTTAATTACATTTGTTGGATAATTGCAAATATGTAAATAGCACTGGTTGCCTGCTGGGAGCTCTTAATCTGCACTGATTCCAGTCCAACATTGTCATCTCACACGTATGCATAGATATCTTATTTATATTATTATTGCTGTTAACCTTGGTTTAAATCCAGAGTTTGAATTTCAAATTTAAGCTGTCTCTGCTCCTGACACCACAATATCTGCTTTTCGATTTCTAAATGTGTAAAACCCAGACAATACAGAGTAAATAAATAGCTTTCTACCTGCTTCCAGTATTTTTGATAATCTAGACTGACCATGTGCTCAAGTTAATTCTGTTACGGATTGGCACAGTGCTACTCCGGGACTATTGTGCGCTAGAGCCACTTGATCAATCTGTGGAGCCCCAGTTGAGCCCCTCCAAGAATTGTTGTTGTTTTATTTTTATTTAAATAAAGAAATATGTAAAAGTTAAAAACTGGCCATTATGTTACGAGTCCAGTCTGATAAATGCACTTCTTGTTGTTGCCCGCCATTTGTTTAAGCTCTCCTTTAATCCTGGTACCGGCCCTGGTTGCTGGATACACAGAGATACAACTATTATTGATCTTCTCTCACTTAAAATGGCAAACAAGCTTATTTCTCTAAATGTCAGTGTGTAATGCCTTTATTGAAGGCTTTTACCTTGGCACAAGTACATTATACACAAGTGTAGGGCAAACACTGATTACTTGACTCAGTGCTTATTGCATGACATTTGCATGTGTCAGAAGTCTCTGTTTGTCTCTGCTGTGCTTCAGGTTACGGCAGGTGAATCTCTCTCAGAACCAGCTCACCAGTTTGCCATCCGGACTTCTCCACCTGACCCGCATCCAGAGACTCTCTGCCGCAAAGAACCAGCTCACAGTCCTGTTTGACATCCCTACCAGTATGTTACCACGATATTTCATATAGATTTAGAGAATATATTAACTTAATTGTAGTGAGTGGCATGTTGAGGTAGGTTTGAAAGGGCTGCGTCAGTGAAGAGCCAACCAAAGAGGACAGCTGTGCTATCATGAAACACAGCTGGAGTGAATGATTAGCATTTTAAATCAGCTAGCACATGTAAACCTGCATGGCTGAATCCATGTTGTGTCATTCACTCAATATTTCTTAAGGCTCATTTTTGTTTTGTTTTGTTTTTTTTTTTGTTTACAATATGGTAAAAAGAAAAGGTATATTGTGATACAATTCACAATTAGTGGGCATGATTTTTGCCTCACAATTTTCACTGAAAAAAAAAAAAACTTTTTTAAATCATGATGATGTGACACTTGTTGAGGTTGGCATCGCTGCAACACTACTGTACTTCGTTATAACTCTGTTTGACACATTTGTGCAGTAAACCAATTTTAACCAATAAAAAGAACCTGTTTCAGTTTAGTTCAGCTTAATTTTATGATGCTTCAGCTGATTTTTAATCATCAGTTGTCAACAAATGTTGGAGTCTGAAATGTCAGAAAGAGCGAAAAAAGTCCAAGCTAATGTCTTGTTTTGTCCCACCAACATTCCAAAAAGTGGAAAAGTGTGATATCACCAGGGTTGGCCAGCATAAATTACCCATAAAGTGCAGAATTGATTTTAAAATTCTGTTAATCACCTATAAAGCACCATACAGGCTGGCACCACTTTATATTTGTGAATTGTGTCCGTCAGATCCAGACTTTGCTTGTGTCCTTGCAGCTACTAACTGGATCGGTCTGCGTAAGCTGGAGGAGCTGGACGTGTCTGATAACTGTCTGAGCAGTCTTCCCTCGGCGGTCATGCACTGTTTGAAATCTCTGAGCTTCCTCAACGTGTGCAGGAACAAACTGAGCAGCTTCCCTGACCCCTGGGCCTGTCCGTTGGTAAGAACACACACAGACAGCAATCCACTTCCTGTTGATTTCTTTCAATTCAAATCTAATGTTCCAGTCTTTGTTGTCCATATTTGATATTCTGGGTGTTCATTTGATGGCATACATTAATATAATTGTTTAATAGAATTCTTAATTTGCCATCTATTGGTGCGCCATCACCACAGTTGGTTAATTATCGATGTTTTGATTGTTACACTAAGTCATTAGATCTTGTGTCAAAGCTGTTCGAGAGGCTTTTCTGTGATGCAATGAATGTTCACACAAAGGGCTTTGAATGCTTCACAAATTGTCTTTTATTATTGTTAGTCAATTGTTAGTTGTTATAGTTAGAAATCTGGGAAGTCTTGTGTAATTTCCATCGGTGCAGTCAACCATTGAAAAAGGCTAAGGCACTCTATGGATGTATTAATGTAATAAATGTATTCTTCGAGCATGGGCAATAAAACAGATCCATTCTGATAAACATTCAATCAGTCTAGATTATATACTGGCTGTGAGTGTCTTGTGCCCAGCACAGAAGGTCTATACACAACATGACCCACAGAGGACACAAAATAATATAGCATGGTCCAGATACAAGCATACATGTCACAGAAAAGTGTAACAGTCAAGCCTAATGACTGAAATGAAACATAATAATAATAAGAATGTGTGAAACCAACTCTATATACTGTTAAAGCTGCACTAGGAAACTTTTATGAAAATACCTTTTTGACGTATTTGCTCAAACTATATCCTGACAGTAGAACATGAGACAGATAATCTGTGAATAATAGATTTTGCAAAAGGAAACCAAAATCTATATAAGCAACAAGTTCAGTAAGCAGATGCTCTGACACTTAAACACACTGTTGCTTTTAATTAACACCGGACTTATACTTTAAAGTTGGGGGAGACATTTGGCAGAAGAATGGACAGAAGGTGGACTTGATTGTGGATCGTGCAGACTAACGAGAGATGGGCTACAAGGACAAATTAATAATGTGGCAACTACCAGTGTATTATCTTAATACTGATAGATATTTACTGAAATATTCAAAATCACAAAAAAAGCTACACAATAAAAGCTGAAAATGACATGAATCACACTGAAGCTGATAGTGTTTTGGGGCTCTACTGGAAGAAAGTTTTTAAAAAGTCAGTCTGAATTAAAATGACACATGCAATGCACACAATAACACAAATGCTGAGACATTATTCTCTCTCCTCCCCTGCAGAAGCAATGCAGAGCTTCCTCCAATGTGATCGAGAGTCTTCCGAACACCATCTCCATCTTCTGGAGGACTCAGCTGCAGGAGGTGGACTTCTCTGACAACAGCCTGAACGAGCTACCCTCATATATTTTTGAACTGGAGGTAGGAACTGACCGAACCCGAGTGCAACAAAACACACACACACACACACACACACACACACAGTAGTCGTACTCTTGTGTGTGATCTGTTCAGTAGCCTCCAGGTGGCACTGCCGCTGCACCATTGTCTCCACGCTCGGGGTCATTGACTTACAGTCTTGTTCTGCGGTGTAGCAGCACCAGGAGATAGTTTACACATTAGATGCAGAAATATTTGGCTCACTGTGCCAACACTAATGATGGAAGGGGAGTACGCTTTGGGATTGGATTGTGGAGCCCTTTGGTAGAACTGCAAACCAAATATGGATTCTGTACACATTCAGTACCAACACAAGAAAGATCTCATTTAAAGGAATAAACAGAAGGGCAAAAACTAGTTCTGAAGTGGCACAGATGAGTGATTTCAGAGAATTTGTCTTTTTTTTCTTTTTACAGTGGGAAGACATTGGTTTGATTTAAGAATTACACTGTCATAATCTGAATTATGTGAGCGATGATGGAGTCAGCCAGCTGTGTTTGTATTCCTTGAAGGGAAAATGTGAAACGTGTGGTTTACGGTATCTCATCCCTCCTCCCGCTTGTCCTCCCGTCAGGCCCTGGTCTCGTTGAGATTATGTGGGAATCACATTGCAACTCTCCCAGCCCCCAATAAGTGGAAGTGCTCTCAGCTCAGGACCCTCGATCTTTCCAGGAACCAGCTGGGCAAGTAGGTCCATGCGGATACACACTTCCTTGTGTGTTTTTTTTTTTTGTGTGTGTGTGTGTGTGTGTGTGTGTGTGTGTGTGTGTGTGTGTGTGTGTCTTTGTGTGTGTACACCATCTGCTGGAGTCAGCTGTTACTGGGTTCTCTACGGAGTTCAATAACTGCAATGTGTGAAGAAATATTTTAATGCACATTACAGTATGTCTATCTGTCAGTCAGCTTTGAAGAAAGATGGTGATTTGTTTTGGATCAGGGGTCTCAAACTGAGACTGTCTTGGGGCCACAGCTGGTATCCTCTCATAGGATGGCCACTTATTACCACCATTACTACCATCATACTCTTTCTCATCATGCAGTTTCTATACATGTTTATATCGTTTTTTAAATCATCTTTGTTTTCGCAGCCAACCATTTGGATTTTCAGGAACCTTTGACCATTGGCATTATTGTGCAACAAATGAAACACAATTTTAAAAGAGAATTATGTTTTTATTTTAATTGTCTACGAAGGGGTAGTTTAAGATGAAACAACTAGAAAAAATTATTCAAAATAATAATCCTATGAGAGGGATTTATTATATATTTGACACCATGTCGCTGGCCGGAGCCATGTTTCTACAGTACCGACAAACCAAACACTGGCTGTGCATAGGGCCCTCTGCGGTTTTTGTGAGTTTCGCAGCCACTGTAGTTTCTTCTTTGGGGTGAGCGGTATTCCTTGTATGTGAAAACCTACTCAGCAATAAACCCGATTCTGATTCTAAAAAATGAGATCAGTACACATTGAACAAACAGCTGGAGCCTTCTGACTTATGCTTCACCACTCAGTCCAAATACTGGATGTCCTGAGCAGAATTGTTAAGCTGATCATCCTAAAATATCAATAAAACTGCGGTTTAACTGGACACTTTAAATACTGAAACTGGTGTGATTCAGTCAGCTTACACTCCCACTTATAAAGTGATGTGAGTGGAGCTTCTTTGGCTGAATGCACCAGCTGCAGGGAGCACACTGACTACTAGACAATATCCAATAAGCTTCAGTTTGGTCTTTAGGCAAGTTGCAGCACAGTTTAACCAGCAAAAGAAACGCTCAGCGGTAGGTAAAAGTAAGAAGCTACTACCTGAAGGTTTTGCATATTGCTTCTTGCTTAGAAGAGATAAAATATTGGATAAGAGATTTCATAGAGTCAGAGATAAGACAATTTAGCTTTTTATGAACCAAATCTAAAAGTCAGCTATGCAGGCTGTTGTATCCCTTTCTAGTGCTGTTCTATACTTGAATTAAGTTGACTGCATTTCAAATTGTGTCTTTTAGAACAGAGGAGGGGCCCAAATCCAGGAGGCTGGCCTTCCTGACTACATGGAACAGGAGGGACCCAGACCCAGGTAGATCTGCTTTACAATCAGTTATTTGAACATAAATACAAACAGATAAACAAAAGGAATCCCAGTGTTCCTCCTTGCTACTGAGAGTGTGGAGATGATGTCGAGACTCTAGGGTCCAACTAATATATTGTTTCTGCCAGTGTTCAGTCCCTCAGCTGGTAAGATCCTGTGACTGCAACACTCAGCATACATTCAGAAATTTCCCATCGTCCCTAAAGTGTTTACAGCAACATGTTATTAAGGTGATCTCCCTGTTGTTGCTGTAGACTTTTGATATACTGACGTGCAATATTTGAGTCCAAGGCTTGTGTAGCAGAACAATGGGCCTGATGCAAGAACGTTTCGTATTCTTAACTTAACTTTTGCTTACTTTTGTTTTTGTGTAATCTGGACCACTCCTAAAGAGAAAATTTTAAATATGGGAAAATTGGTGAATGCTACAATTTTTTCTAAATCAGTCGTACAATCAGTTTGTATGAGTGATTTTTATTTATACTCGTATTACATAATGTTTCACATGGGGCTATAGAGAGGCTGACCCCTGCCAAGATCCAGTTCTGTGGAACACGATGCTGACTTGTTTTTCTTCTTTGGAAGTGTTTGGCCCAAAGTCCATAATAATACTCTTCTAATACTCCTTCTGTTCTAATACACTGGGTTAAGTGATTTTCTGCCTGTGTTTAAGCATACTGTATCTGCTGTGACCCTTTGCATGGCACGGTCTTTGCAGTGTGTCCTATAGAGTTTCCCATGATTCTGCGGGATTCACTGGAAGTGCTTTACTTGAACGACAACCAGCTGGAGTGTGTTCCCCAGTCAGTGTGTGGTCTGCACAGCCTCACTGAGCTCTACCTCTCCAAGTAAGTCCCCGCCCCCAGCTGCAGGGGGCACTCTCATCTCTGTCAGTGCTCAATGTAAAAATGTAAAACAAAACAGTTTCTGGGTGCAAGAACATTTCTCCATACACCAGAATTCCCATTAGCAGACACTGGGGGCCATATTCCCCAGCATTCTGCAGGTACTCACAGAGCTGTTGACTTAAACGTATCATATGTAATATTTCTGTGTTAAAATGTCTTAAAACACTAGACTTAACACGTGACTTAACGTAAACATAAATAAAACTTTACTATAACCTCGTCCGTGAACAGCGATGGTGGTTGTTTAACAATTACGACAACAACTCCTGTCATCCAACGCTATTTCACAACGACGTCAAACTATGTGTTTTGATTTAAAGTGAGAGACCCCTAGTTACAGAAATGACATATTGTACTTTACACTTTAGTAATGTGAGATGTGAATCTCCATCACTGAAGCCGATGCGATGTGCAACTCAATGTATTACCAACGACCTGATACATTAAAGATACATAAGATTGTGATACAATTCCCCCCACTGCGATGTAATCAGGGGTGTAAGAAAATATCGAAAGATATCGTATCACAATATTTGATTTGCAATATTGTATCAATTCTCAAAAACACTGTATTGATATTTGTGGTTAATACCGTGAATTGCAAGATAACAGTGTAAACTGAGGTCTGTGATGCTGAATGTTACTGTGAATGCAGATTCTACTGCTCTGGTTGCATAAACAAGAAAACCTTTTTTTTATTAAATCACAATATATTGCCTAGCTTACAGTATTGCAATATATGAAATCGTAACCCCTGTATCATGATATGCATCAAAATATTGAAAAGAACAAGATGCTATGCAATTCAGTAGTTTGATTTTATTTCTTTGGTTCTTCTTCAGCAGCCTGAGAGACAGTTTAGAGAGGAGGAATCAGTCTAAATATGAAATTACTGGGCACATTTCTAAAATAATATATTTAAAAAAAAGTTTTTTGTTGATGCAGAGATGCTAGAAACAAGCTCAACTGTATTTTTTTAATCAGGGCAATCACATCTTGAACCTTTATGCCACCGACGCGAACTGCTGAATCTTACCCATCCCTACCATATACAGTATTACATTTGGATGGATAAAACTGAATAAACACATCACACATGAATTTCAGTTCAAAACAATTACCATGTCATCAGTTAAAAATCATAAAATCAGTTGTGAAGGTCAGAAGCTGATCACATTACACATTGCACTGACTAAATCATTGTTGGGATGTTCTTTGGTTTGTTTTGTGACACCAAAGAACACTCACAAACATTACGTAACCATAAAAACTCAAATGTTAAAAAGTCTGTTTGACTTTTGAAAAGAACAAACAGTGAGGTACAAAATCACAAATCTTCTTGGGTTGGCCACCCAAATCCCTTCAGTCCCTGGGAACCACTGCTTGTATGAGTCAGTCCTCCTGCTACAGCTGTCTGCAGCTGTTTTATACAAGCAGCAAACTGCTGTGCTCTCACACACCACCCAGAATTATTCAATTGTTTAGGAAGTCATGGATCCACAGTATCCTGTAGCTGCCAAAAATGACATTCGCAACACATCTATGTGACTGCTTCTTAAAAAGGGGTTTAGGGACCCTGGTGGACTCTGTCGATTTTGTTTGGAAGGGGAAGGTGAAGTAAGAGTTATTGGGCCCTATCTTGCCGATCTGAAACGCAAGTATCAAACGCAAAACGCTAAGCGTCACTGACTTTAGACTAGGTTTTTCCTGGTCTGTGGCGGAATTGTTTTCTGAAACAGCAAAATAGCACCAGGGAATTTTGCGCCAGAACACGCCTCCTCTTTTCGCTGAACCGCCCCCTGGAGCGCAAGTTCATTCCCTAATTTAAGGACGTGCGTCTGTGGAGGGAAAATTCCAATGTGCGTCGAGTGCAAAATAGGAATTACACAAGCGCCAGTGTACAAAGTCAATTGCGCTGAGTGCAAGATAGAGCCCATTGTCTGCAACTACACTGCTACACGCCACCAAATCCTGGACATACTAGACCTTTAATGAGGAATTAAAGGACTTTAATTTCTTTCTTTAATGTGAATCATTGACTCATGTTGTCTTACCTGAACAGTAATCTTGGAATCCGAGAGCTTCCAGCAGAGCTCGGTCAACTCTCCAACCTGTGGCAGCTGGACATTGAAGACCTCAACATTACTAATGTCCCCCAGGACGTGAGAAAAGAAGGTACTGTCTGAATGTCTTCAAAGACCCCCTCAACTGTCTAACCCTAACCCTAACCCAATTTTCAAAAGGAAGCTGAAACATGTCTCCTACTTCACTGTAAAGTCCATTCTCAGTGGATGTGCGCTGGTGGCTTCAAGTTTCTACATCACACTGTACAAGTTGCATACTGGATCAAACTCTGAACATTCATCATTCAAATATCACACTGCAGGAACAAGAAGAACAACTAACTTTGTTTGCTGTCTATAATTCCCAACACCCTGAAAACCAAATCTTGACCTCTCTGATTTTTCAGGTCCTGTGTCTGTCCTGGCCTTCCTCCGGGCACACCTTCGAAAGGCAGAGCCGTATAAACTGCTGAAGATGCTTGTGATCGGTCCACCGCGGCAGGGGAAGACGGCCCTTCTGGAGGTTCTACAGACCGGCAAGGCATCCCCCTTCACCCCATCAGAATGCAGCATCTCCACCTCCACCTGGGAGCTGGACAAACCCAACTGCGGCAAAAACAGCGTGAGGAGAACACAGACAGCACCTGTATATACTATACATTGAATGCACACACACAGTGCATTCTCTACATGTCAGACCATAAACATTGTTTTTTGAAAAACTACAGTATGATGTATTATATCTATCTGTAAGATCGTACTTTGAAAACTAGTTTAAAATCCAGTCCTTTAAATTCAGTTTAATTAGCTGTTGGATTTTTGGGGCTTTTTAGTCAATATGTAGATGGAGAACCAGTAATAGTATTCCACCTGGTTAATGCACTGCCAGACCATCAATATAAAGTGTATATTTCTCTTCTCTTTCTCTATTTCTGTTTCGTTTTCCCTCAAATGAGAGCAGAGGAAAGAAAAATCATGCAGCTTAAAAGTTTGACATTTTTTGTGGGCGCCCCCCTGGCCACAATGTCCCCTGGCTCAGATCCGGCCAGGGACCTTTGTTGCATCTCTCTCCCCCATTTCCTGTCATTTCTGTGAAAAACTCTTTAAAAACATTGTTTGGGGCTGTTTTTTAGGCCTGGATTAAAACCCTGACTTTGGTTAAGTACTCTATAGCTTCCTCAAATCCCCCAATGTTTGTCCTTGCTTGTTGTTGCTGTTTTGAAAATGAACTGAACTGAACATCAGCAGTGAGAGAGGACAGAAAAGCCACATATGTTGCTGTCTAAAGCCCTTTTATCAGACATGGAATATGCAACATTGCTGGCTTCGTCAGTCTGTTAAAGTGAAGGCAGTTTTGTGGAAGCTTTACCATCAAAAAATAAAAGTCAGACATCAGATAACTAAGCATTTAAGATAGATTTCTTTTCACCACAGACTCCGAGACCCATTTAAAAGTCGACGACCCACCAATTGAAAAAAACATGCTCTACACCACACGACCACCTCCCTCCCAAAAAATTTACTTAAGAATGAAGTAATTGAAGAAGCCTAAATTTATGCAGCTGTTGCAAGTTTAAAAAAGTGTGTTTTTATAAGACCAGTTCACATCAATTGTATAATAAATAAATCAAATAAATATTATGTATGGTATACAGTACGACAACCCTAATAACCCAATAAGACCAGATATTGTTAGACCAAGGAGCAGATTCTACTCATCCTCAAAGCCTTGCGTTTTCACTCTAGTGCTATCTCTGGAGGTAGAAGTAACATAAATGAACTGATAAAAATGGAGGTGATGAAAATGCATGTGAATTGAAAAATAGAGGGGTAGAAATGGGTGTGAAATGAGAAAGGAAGTGCTAAATTGTGCTTTATTATTATTTCATTATTATCATTACAATGATTTAAACGCTCATACAACAGCAACACCTCATTCCTGAAACAGGGATTACTTTTTCGACTGAAAGTAGTTCCAAATAAAGACTATTCACAGTGAGGTCTGTGGATCTGTCGGTTGGAAACTATAACAGAATCAGGGAGTGGATATTTAATGATGACTGTTATATTTTATAAATACTGAGTCACCTCAGACTATTTTCCTTCTATTCCTGACTCATCTTCACTCTCCTGTCCCTTCTTTAGCGCTGATCTAGCTCTTGTCTTGTTGCACACAGAAAGAGTCAGTGGCGTTTAACGTGTGGGACATCGGCGGCCAGGCCAGCATGTCCACAGTGAACCAGTGTTTCTTCACTGATAAGGCGCTGTACGTGGTGATCTGGAACCTGGCTCTGGGGGAGGAGGCTGTGGCCAACCTGCAGACATGGCTGCTCAACATAGAGGTGAAACGTAGCTCACACACACACACACACACACACTTCCGCGGCACCAGTGAGAACCTGGTTCCAGCTGTAGTTTAGTGTGAGCGGGTCAGAAAGTGATGGGTGTGACTGTGAGAAGTTGTCGGTGCCGAACAAAGACATGGTGTTCCAGTTTCCAGTGGGAGGGAGGAGCATTCTGGCTTAAAGGAAAATCGTTTTGGTTGTCAGACCACATAAAGCAACCGCAGTCAGATGGATGTCATTTAATGGAAGAGTGATGACGTGGAAGATGTTGAAAACGCTTGCATCATTTCACTGGAATGGTTCACTGAAGCCTAATTACTGACTGTAACATTTAATAACGCCTCTCTTTGGCATCCTGCTGATCTCTGTGTTTAGTTTTACAGCATTAATTACGCCTGGATTCGTTTCAGAGGCTGACCAGAGTGAAACTTTCTTCTGTTGTAACTTAGTATATGACTTTTGTAATTGTCTGTCTCATTTTGGAGTGATCCTGTCAATTTGTCTCCCAGACCCATTTTAATCCAGAGTTTTTTCTTTGGACCTACCTAACCTCGCAGGCTGCTGATCAGGGCCTGTACTGTATGTGTCAGTTCTGAGAATTAGTCAGTCCATCACAACGACTGTGGCGACTGATATCATTTGGATCACTTTCAGAGTGGTTTGATGAATGACATTGTGCCATACCACTTATTAAACGCTTATATAACATAATGTTACGCTGCAAATCGGTCTGTGTACTTTTGAAATGAGAAAACCAAAACAGCAAGCCGTTTCCCAACTAAGAAAACAACACTTTTATTGCACTAATTAAGGCATAGTAAATATAAAAAAGGAAAAGCGTATGAAATGAGTATGTTCCATCTCTGGACAGTTTTCTAAGACATCCATAGATCAGGACACAGATATACCTTCAAATACAATGTTAAAAAACAGAGTGAAGGACGCCCGGTTAGCTCAGTCAGTAGAGCTGGCGACCCATGTACGGAGTTGCTGCAGCGGCCCGGGTCCGAATCCAACCTGCGACCCTTTGCTGCGTGTCATCCCTTCTCTCTACCCACCTTTCCTGTCAATCTTCAGCTGTCTCTATCCAATAAAGTCATGAAAAGGCCAAAAAAGATAACTTAAAAAAAAAACAACAGGGTGAATTGAAGACACACATATAAGAGATGCAACCAGTCGTCCTTTAATCAATGTGGTAGTAGAAGTAAAGTACTGTAGCTAATATGGAACCAGCTATAAACAACAAGAAACACTAAAGAGCATTTTTAGTTACAATAAATACGTTTTATGTGTATTGATCGATATGCAAAGCTGACAAATCCAATCTGTGTATTTTTATGTTTTTGCCTCACATCTTCATTTATTTAGACTGATGAAGACACAGTACTGTCTGGAAGATGTGTACAGTACCCTCTTTCATCTAGTATTCTTTCTTACGCTAATCCATTTTTCCTTAATACACCTCCAGTTAGTTTGTGTGTATTGTGGCCTGCAGGCGCGGGCACCCAACTCTGCAGTGGTGGTTGTGGGGACACATCTGGATCTCATCGACACCAGGTTTCGCACTGAGAGACTGGCCACGCTGAGGGCTTACGTTCTGGCTCTTTGCCGATCGCCGTCAGGGGCTCGAGCCACCGGCTACCCAGACATCACCTGCAAACACCTGCAGTAAGCACACATCTTCCTTTTTATTGTTTGTTTGTATCAATAATAAGAAGCTGTACTGTTGCTTCCTGCCTTACAGGAATGTCTGTACAGTGTATTCAAGTGTGTGTGTGTGTGTGTGTGTGTGTGTGTGTGTGTGTGTGTGTGTGTGTGTGTGTGTGTGTGGTCCTCAGTGAAGTGTCCTGTAAGACCCTGGAGGGTTTGGATGGGCTGAAGAAGCTGCTCTACCAGGTGGCTCTCTCCATGAAAGACAGCAGCAGCTCAGCTTTTGGCAGTAAGCAGCTGGGCAGACTGGTGAGTTGTGTGGACCAACAGATAGACACTGTTTGCTTACTGAATATATTCAGTAGTACACTCATATATCCCATATATATAACTGCAGGAAGCGAGATCTGGAGGAACTTTGAGCAGATTATCTGCTGTAAATATTGATCAGAGATCAGTTTTCCTGATATTTGTGGTGACTTTTTTATACAATTCTCTGTCTTTATTATGTATTTTTCCATTTTTAACAATCCTACATACTTAATATTCTTATTTTGATTAGTTCAGTGTTTTCTCCTCATTGTTCTATCATCTCTTTAGTAGTCAATGATAGAAAAGAGGTCCCTTAAGGAAACGGAAAAAGGTTGGAAATCACCTGTATGTATGTATTTATTTATTTATTTATTATCAAGCTTGTACGTATTACGTAACAGTAACTGAAAATACATTTAGAAAACAATCAGAGTTTATTCATTACCCCTCATAATGAATGTGACCATATTCTAAGCAGATGGGGCGTGGTCAGAGTGTGGGGAGGTGTGGTTAAAAGGCATACAAAAATCTACTACATCATGAACCTGTCAACTGATGTCAAAAGTATTTCCAAATGTTACTCTAAAGCAGAAACAGATTTTACCGTTGTCTCCTCTACCAGATCCCCAGGAGCTACCTGACCCTTCAGGAAGCAGTGGTAGCGGAGAAGCAGAGGAGAGCTGCTGAAGGAGAGGTCCAGTACCTCACCGATGCCCAGCTGGACCGCATTCTTGAACAGAACCCAGGAAGTGACATCAGAGACTATGAGGACTTGCAGACTGGTACTGTGACATGTCCAGCAAACATCTGGAATGTGAACATCATCAGTGTGACACTAGAATCATAATTAATTACAGTAGTTATTTAATGTATGCAGATTTTTCCCCACCAATATTTGTAATTGGCTAACAGTGTTGGGCAAGTTACTTAAAAACATGAATCTATTACTCATTGAAATTGTACAATTACATTGCTTTACTTATTATTCAGCAGCAAAGGAAATGCTTTACTTTACTGTAGTTACTGAGCTATCAAAGGTGCCTTTAAACAACTCCAAATCCTCCACAACCACACGTCACATCTTTTGTATTTAACATCTGTAGAAACAGAAAATGAGACCTTCTGGTGTAACAGGCAGGCAGCCCTACGACTGGGAGGGATTTACCGACCGTCCAGCAGCTCTATTAGACTCGGCGACTGTGCACAGCTCTTATCATTCACTCGCAGATATTTCCCAAGACCTGGCAAGACGTTCAGATGTTTTTTTTTAGGGAATTCACATAAAAATGTGTGATTTTTTTTTTTTTTTTTTTTGCTTTCTCTCGTTGGAATCTGATTCCTTCAAATATTCATAAGAACTGGCTTTAGCAGTACCAGTAAAACAGAGTCGTTCATTAGTTGCAAACTCACAGTTCAGTTCACAGCTCAACGCTCTTTAAGCACATTCATGCACAACGTCTGTTATTATGATATTGGTGGTAAAAATGCCGGGGTGTGCGTGGTCTGAATTGACGTGTTCTTTGTTCTTCCTCTCACTGAACATCCAACATGTGTTTACTGCTTAAAAACTGAATACTGAGCATAAGATAACTTGCTGATGCTGACTTGGCAGAATATTTCTCTAATTTCCCAGAGTATTGGATTTTATGAAATACTTGTAACAATGTCTGACTAAAGATTTTGCCCTTGACTACACCGTTCATGAAGGAACAACATCCCTTTATGTCTCTCCTCTTTTTTGCTTTCTTCCAGCCATCAACTTCTTAATAGAGACAGGGACCCTGCTGCACTTCCCTGACACCAGCCATGGCCTGTGTACCCTCTACTTCCTGTGTCCTGTATGGCTGTCAGAATGTCTGGAGAGGATCATGCACCTCAAATCCTCTCGCTCTGTAGCCAGGAACGGAGTGATCCGAGCTGAAGACCTCAGGGTGAGCTAAAATTTCAGGAAAAAGGTTTGGCTCTCTTAGTTGTTTTAATGAAGAAACTGACTTCCTGTGGTGATCTCTATGATGATGTCTGTTGTGCAGATGCTGTTGGTAGGAACAGGGTTCACCCAGCAGACAGAGGAACAGTATTTCCAGTTTCTAGCCAAGTTTGAGATTGCACTCCCTGTGGCCAACAACAGGTAAAGTATTCTCTAAATACCAAATAATACTCAGTCAATACAATTAGTGATTCTCTTGCTTCCTCCACAAGCGCACACGTTACTGTCCTAGTAACAACCTAAAAACACTTAAATAATTAGATATTATAGACATATAGCAGCTATAGGGTGGCCACTTCCTTCACATCAAAAAGGAGGACACTTTGCATACACGGGGACACGCAAGCAGATATTTGTTTGGTATGATCCGGTTTTAAATTGTAATGTTTTTCCACCAGATTACATAAAGGTGCATACACATACCACATAGCTAATAATAAATATACAAGATACAGCTCATGACAACGTGCCCTTCCAATTCAGATTACATAGGTCTAATAAACATCATACAGAAACTGTTCTTAATGTTTTTATCTGGATAGATAAAGGGGGAAAAAATGCAGCACCTTCTGTTTCAGATGTCTAGGATTTGCCAAGACTTTGCCTTTACATATGAGTATGAGCATTTTCAGAATTTCAGTCCAACAACTGACGTTAGCTCACTCTCTGTCGCTGAGAGTTTGATTGACAGCCTGGTGGTAACAACTGCAGTGATCGGGTGGGGAATCAGCACATTATTAAAATGAGCCATGTGTTGAAAGGTCACAACACGAAAATGTAACCAATGAAATTACTTATTTTGACACACATTTTTAGCCAATAAGTATTAAACTAAGGAGGTAATGTGTCAAAAGGCAACCTTTTTAGTTATTTTCTCAAAAGGAGGACAAATGAGTGTCCAGCTTAAGGCTGCGCCTGCAGCCGGACGGGGCATTTAAAAACCGGACTGTCCGGCCTAAAGCCGGACGAATGGCCACCCTAGGCAGCTATCACCCTACCAACCAACTAACTGACACAAAGGACATCATGCACCTTAGAAACTAAATGGCGACCATGTTGAAAAGACGACAACATTTTGAAAATGGCTAAAACATGAAAGTGACATCTTAACTTAGCGAGCTAATGTTTGTATGCAATGTGTGCGAAATGCTAGCTAACTAGCTAGCTAATCTACATCAATTGATAGCTAGTTCTACATACTAGTACATTTGAAAGATACAGTAGTATTGACACAATACTTGCTAACTAGCTAACTAATTTACATTCATCATTAGTTAGTTTGCTAACATTTGCTAATTTAAGATGTGACTATATATGCTTCTGTTATCTTTTAACATCTTCAAAATGTGGTTGTCTTTTCAACATAGATTAGCCTAGCACATAGCATACATACAGGAAAGGAGGAAGTTGACAAAGGTTCTGACCGAGGCTTGCTCAACTGTTAATGGAGCACAGAGCAAAAAGGGACGAGACCTAAAATAGGGTCAGTTAGCTATATCTCAACAAGTACCAATACATAACCTACCACTTGAAAAATGCTAAATAGTAGTTAATGTGGAAGCAACCTCCTAACAACAACAACAAAAATCTTGGCACCAGCAGCAAGCATACCTGAAGACTCTTCATGTTCTAGTTTTGAATGTGTTCCTTTCCTCTTGCTGTAGCTATCTACTGCCCCATCTGCTTCCCCACAAGCCAGCCATGGACATCCATGGCTTCCAGCAGCAGACCAACAACACCCTGCAGCGCCTTGTAAAGATGAGCTTTGTTCCTGCCGGATTTTGGGAGCGCTTCATCGCCAGGATGCTCATCAGCCTGACAGAGATGGACCTGCAGGTACTGAGACCAGCAGATTTTCATAATTCACCTACTATACTTCCACACCTTCAGCTTTTACATTCATGGACTGGAATGTTGTGTTTGTGCAGTCATTTGAGACCAAAAGAAACCCCAGGAGCCAGCGCAGCAGGAGCTCTGTGATCTACAGCTTTACTGGAACCCAGCAGAGGAACCGTTGCAGCACCTTCAGAGTCCGCCGCAGTCAGACCATCTACTGGAAGGAGGGGCTGCTGGTCACTTTTGATGGAGGTTACCTCAGGTCAGAGCTGGGGTTGGAAGGATGTGGGCAGTACGGGAGACTGGGACTGGTAGGGAACTGGGGTTGGTTGACATTTCAGGTTTATTGTATTGCAAGTAAATCAGTGGTCTGTGGACTAAACATATTATAAAAGTTTGTGAGGTAGAGATATTGTAAATATGTTGCTTCTAGTTATTGGCCATAAGGATCGGCTACATTTTGATATAAGATTGAAGATAAGTCTGTGATGCATTGATAGTAGATGGCTGACATACTTCGATCTCAGAGATGGGTCAAATGTGAGCAGGGTTGGTTGGCACTACGTTTTAACAGCAGTTTTCTTGTTCATGAACTTGTATCTATTCTATATTTGTTCAGGGTATTTTCAGAGATTAAAAACAATATATTGTTAGTCCATTATTATATTGAATGGTCACTGGCAAAAGTTTCAAATTGTTTAGCATTTGAAACTATAGCATTTGAACAATGTGCAGAAAGTGGTCAGTGTACCAGCCAACCCCAGTCTCCTGCTTCAGTGATGAAATGTTCAGTTCAGCCTGGACTATATAGGGGATATCTGACAGTTTTTAAGGTAAGGAACAAGCAATCTTTTATGGTAATATAGACCAAAACTTAAACTGTGTGTGTTTCTTTTTAAATATTATTTTATTGATTTTACACCAGTATTGTGGCCAGTGACATTATCTAGAATGTCAGAATGGACTGGTCTCTGATTTGACAGACAGAACACATGAACCAGAACAAGAACACAGACCCACCTTCGCTTCTATCAACTCCTACCTGGGATTGGGTTGGAGTTGATAGAAACGAGGGTGGGTTTGTCCACTAACCCCTTCCACTCACATTCCCACATTGCCAGCACTGACCATGGAATAACATCAAGTAAAAAGTATATTCAACAGACACTATTTAAGAATAAAATTAAAACCAAAACTAAAAAGAAATAATTTGGGGGAGGGAGGCACCTAGTTGTCCTCTGGGTGGATAGAAGCCGTATCCAGATACTCAATAAAGGGCTTCCAGGTGTTGTCAACGGCCTTTTTTCCCTCTGTAAGTGAAAATCTAATCTTTTTTAATGTGGTTTAGGATCTCCTTGAGCGAACTATTGTGTGATGGGGGGTAAAAGTATGCTTCCACCTGAAGAAAATGAGACGCCTAGCTTATAGAGTTGTAAAGGCCAGAACACATTCTTTTTATCAATGGAAAACTCCAAATAAAGCCGTGAGAGGTTCAGGTTTAAAGACCCCAGAAATCAGTTAAGTTTGGACAGGACCAAAACACTGTTTGCACCGATGCTGTGTGTCTTAATGTCTTAAGCTGGCTTCATCTTTATATTGATATTCAATTTACTCCCAGCATAACGAGACGTTGACGTGTGTTTGTGTCTCTGCAGCGTGGAGTCCTCAGATGTCAATTGGAAGAAGAAGAAGAGCGGAGGCATAAAGATCATCTGCCAGTCGGAGATGAGAGATTTCTCCGCCATGGCCTTCATCACAGATCACGTCAACTCTCTGATCGAGCAGTGGTTCCCTGGTCAGTGCACTGCTCTGTTTATGCAAATCCGTAGCCTTTATCTTTAAAATGTGGTCATTTGAGTGTTTGTATAGCTGTTTGTCTTTAGATAACGTTGATTTGACAAGTTTGACACATTAATGAAATGAAGAAAAAGGCATTCATATTCAGCAAACTAGTCTTATTTTGGTAGCTGTTCCAAAAGTCAATAATATTGGCACCAATATTAAAAAGTTTTAAAATGCTACCCTATATAGCACTGTTTTAGACTCAAAATACACAAATAGAAAAGTTCAAACATGTTTCCAGTAACCCGTATAATAAGAGACTAGCCAGACATCTTGACATTTTCTTTATATTTGGAGCTCACACTGGTTATTTTGGATAATTATGATGTTCACATGAGTCAGCCCAAAACCACATTACTTGCAGGTTAAAGAAAAGCTAATCCATAAAAAAAAATACACTGTTACAAACACTTATGGACAACGCAGATGTTGTTATTAAGAATTGTTATATCATTTTGGTAAACTTAAATTACTTTTATGTGTTAAAGATGCATTAGTGGTTAGGCCAACAAGCTGAAAACACAACATGATCCCCTGATAAAGTTGTTGCTTATCTTGTCTTGGTAAACAGTTGACACATGCAGCAGACATAGAAGGATTCCTTGAGGAAGGTGATTTCAGCAGGTGTGATCAGATTTATACAGCCAGTGCCTTTTGTTCTAGAAAGTAAAATAACTATTAATGTAATCCCCATGAACCTACCGACGCTGGTGCTGGAATAGGAGGGACAGTGAGACTTTTCAGGTGTTACAGTAAAGTTTGGGCCCCCCTTGACAGATGACATATTTTGGTGATTTTGTAATTGAAAACCCTTTCAAGGATATGGGACATAATATAACATTTTCAGCAGACATTCATGCATAGTTATATTTTTTTTAAATAAACTGAACAATAATAAAAACATTGTGGCATGTGCAAGGGTTTGGGCAGCCTACACTGTCAGTTGTCAACTTGGGGATTTTTTCCCATTCTTCCTCACAAAAGGCTTCTAGTTGTGCAATATCCTTGAGTTGTCTTGCATGCACAGCTCTTTTAAGATTTACCCACAGATTTTCAATTATATTTAAATCAGGAGACTGTGAGGGCAATTCCAAAACGTCAAGCTTGCGTCTTCCGTGGTTGATTTCGAGGTACGTTTAGGATCATTAGCTTGTTGTAGAAGTTTTCCTCTTTTCAGCTCCAGCTTTTTACAGATGCTGTGATGTTTGTTTCAAGAATTTGCTGGTATTTAGTGGAATCCATTCTTCCCTCCACCCATGCAATGTTTCCTGTGCTGCAACACAACCCCAAAGCATGATAGATCCACCCCCATGGTTAACGGTTGTAGATGTGTGCTTTTCATGAATTGCTGCTCCTTTTTTTTTCCACATACAACTGTATGGTAAGCTCTTCAATTCTGCATTGACAAGTATGTCAGGGGCCGACATTACTGTGTTTCAGAGGCTGTAGCTGGCTTAAGGCCTTGGTACACCAGGTCCATATTTTTCATATGCATTTTTTTCTTCGTATGCATCCATTAAAATTTGTTACTCATCTTGCACACTATTTTACTGCTTTACTATTCTATTCATTGCAAAGTTCACAATGCCAATCCTCGAGCGATTAAGGTTGAAAAAGGAAATATTGGGTCCAAGGTGTTAAGTACAAGGTGAGTTTCACCTGCTGATCAATGGGCTGTCTCTCGCTCATTCTCTCTCATTCCCTCCCTAGTTCTCGCCACTGGAAGGTCCTCTGCTGGCTATCGCCACTCTTTGCCCACATCTTGCATTTGGCACTGCAGCTACAAGAGAATGAGCTCCAAAGTTAGGCTGAATTTTGGCAATGGAAAATCTGGCATGGCTAATTTTAAAGGGGTCCCTTAACCTCTGACCTCAAGGTATCTGAATGAAAATGGGTTCTATGGGTACCCTCTCCTTTACATCAGACTAACTTCAGCCTTATATTTGAACAGCAGCACAGTTTCTTCTCTGAACATCATCCAATATTTATAGAACCCTGGTTACATACTGTACCTGACTCTTGTTTTTCCTCACACCCTTACCTGCTGCTCTGACTAGTTATTACAAAGTGAACGGGAGATGTGATCAATCAACCACTTCAACCTGTTGAGCTAAACCAGACAAATGGTGATGCATTCAGCATCAGTTTAGTCCCTGGATGTTGGATGGTAGTGTAAACATTAGGCACACATTCATTATGTGGCTTTTGCTGTGTGATGTAGTGCCTCTGCTCTTTCTTCCTGAAGGTCAATGTTTCATCAAAGTGTAATCATTTCTGCTGACATTTGCAGGAGTGGTCTTTATTTCAGGCAAGGTGCCTCTGATACAATAGAAGAAACTCTGCAGTCTCTTTTCAGCTCTAGATTCCAACTCTTGCACAAGATATCTAGTTCTCTATTTGCTCAATGCTCTACTACATTCACCAACTAGTCACTAACATTTCTGTTTGTTACTGTGTTGATGTGTTAGGTCAAACAATTTGTGTTTGAATTAAATCTAAAGTCTAAACAGACTCAACATCCAAAACGGATTAGTTTTAGAAATTCATCATTTTCCAGCATTGCCTATTTGAAAGCATGATGAAAATACAGCTTTACAGTTCAAGTTGAATCTGATTCATAATTAAATATATAATGATTTTTGAACAAATATATATCTTCTTTTTCACAATATCCTATTTCATCCAGTAATAGTTTTCAACTTAAAAAATGCTTATAGAAATGCAAATGTCGTACCTTGTCTTGAACTCTGTGCTCAAACCAGCAATAGAATGTGCAAGGCCACATGAAGGCCGGATGTAGATGTGATGAACTGTAATTACCTCCAAAGAACTGAGAAAGTTTCGTGCAGACAATGGTACTCCAGAGGGCAGCAACAGACCATTATGTCATTTTAAAGATGATTGTTTTTATTGCATAGAAAATGCACAGAAAATGCACAAATACATCAGTGACATGAAATGTGACGTATGTTTTAATGATTAATAACCCTCTGTGGGTTGATTTACACACGTTTATTTATAGTAAACCAGCAAGCCATACTGGATGTGCTGCCAAGTTCAGACTAATGATTGTTTTAGAACATTGCAGGGAAAAGTTGCTGGGTTGTGAACTGGTTGCTGTTTTATAACGTAAAGCATGTCACCTGTTTCAACAACCAATCGGCTCTTTGCGTTGTCAAATGGTCGAGTCAACATCTTGTGCGGTTGCATTGGTGTAAACTGGCAGGGTTTCAGGATGTTGCAGACCAGCACATTGAAAGTAGTTACAAGTTTCAACTTGCCTTGTTGCGAATATTTTGTCTGAACTGGAAGTTGGAGCTTCTTGAAACCACAGACTACAGAAAAAGTTGATATTTCATATTTTGCAAAAACTTTTTCTAGTTGGAAATGGGCTCGTACCAGGAAATGCACTTTCTAACACAGCGACCCTGAGAAACAGCTGCTTGCATGTCATCAAGTTAATTGTTGATTCCACATAGGTACTGGACATTGTGTGATTGTGTGATCTTGAGAGTAGTTGGTAATTCCTGAGTTAGTAAGTGATGCTTTAGTAAAGGAGTATTTTTTAAGTTTATATACAAAATGAATTTGCTACTGGATGTCGCACCAGAATCTCAGACAAAAACAACAGAAAAAATAAAACTCACCAATAACACAAAGCTGTTATTGGTGAGTTTTATTTATTTTTTATTTATAAACCCTTAATTCACAGAGTTAGCTGTGAAATTATCTGTGAAAATGGCTGCAATGGCCACAGCGTAAGCTAACGTCCTTGGGGATAAATACCCCGTCAAAGGACGTCCACTAAAAGTGCTTGTTTGTTGTTCAGAGTATTATAAGTGTCTGACAATGTTATGGAAAGGATCCCGACAGAGATAGACCTTTTGTTTAACCAGAAACAGCCATAGTATTGCTTTTATTCGCCACAAAAACTATATATTTGTAATTTTGACCCACATATCTCTGTAATATCTAAGGCTGTGTATTGTCAAGAATCTGGCAATATGATACGTGTCATAGTGCATACTATCATGATACAGGGATTACGATTCAATATATTGAGATACTGTAAGCAAAGCGATGTGTTGCAATTTATTTTTGTCTAATTTTAGGAAAACTGTCATAGTGTCCTATCGGTTTACAACACTGCTATCTTGCAGTTGGAGTTTTAAACACAAAAACAATAGTGTTTTTGAGAAATGATACAATATCATAAAACAAAATATGCTATACTCAAATGTATATCGATATTGTAGATGATAAAAACAGTCGCTCTACTCAGCTACACGCGAAGCAGACCAGCTCTGTAAACAAACCACAGACAGGCTGCGATTGCAACACAGGCAGAGGGAGTGTGGTTTTTGCTGCTTTTTTAAGCAAATATATAATCTTTAATTAATGCACTACCTGTGCACTAAACAGATGTGTATGATATGTGCGTTCTGTGCTCTCTTTAATGTTTAAATATTTATCCTACGTACCTAAAATGTGAAACTATTGGCACCAGCAACCGGTCATGTAAATGTTTTTTGTCTGTGTGTCCTCTGTTTTAGCTTTGACGGCCAGTGAGAGTGATGGGAGTCTCCTCATAGAGCAGTACTCCCCCTGTCCCCTCTGTGCCTCACTGGGCCAAGACGAAGAGAAAGGAGGACATGAAAGAGATGATGATGAAGGAGGGGGTGCAGGGGTTCATTACTTTAACATGGAGGACTGTGTCCTGGCTGCAGTAGAGAAAGAGTACATCATCTGTCCTCGGCACCCTGAGCAGCCAGTCAGCCTTCAGGAGCTGGTCCCAGAACTCTTCATGACTGACTTCCCTGCACGGTAAACTGACACCATTTAATGGACCATTTCAATTTACAGACTGGAACTTGTGGAGGAGATCTGGAAAGTGTCTCACTTAGTATCAGTGGGATATAGATAGAAGGCAGGATCAGGGCAGGTATATCGGAAGAATGGATTAAAGCTCTGCTTAAGGATATTGCTGTATCTTTAATAATGGTACACACAATAACAGTATGCAAAGTACGCCTATTTGTCCTGTTACAACTGTTACAACTTATTTAAAAAGAAAAATGTTTCCACCAGTAAAGCTGGTTTTAAGAACAATAAATCTTGCTTCCAACTCAAAGCAGTCACACTAATCTGCTATACAGCACACTCCACAAGGCCTCATTATGAACAATACAATAAAACTCTTTCTAGGGTTACATATTCCGCCAAATTAGTCACAAGAAACACACGAGAAAATTTTGGTGTAGTCCAACTTAAAGTTCTTTATGTGACTTTCAGAAAACCATTGTTAATAGCGACACCAGTGACCATGAAGTGAACTGCAGTCAGCGTCCTGTTGTTTGTGCTCCATACAGTCTGTAGGCGTAAGCTAGCACCATCCAGGCCATCATCTCAAATATTAAGAATAACTTACTATCTGCAATGTTCCTACATTTGTTTTAGACCACTGAGTCCATGCTGCTAATTAGCTTGCTGCTTACAAAGCACACCCTCAGCCAGCACCATGAAGCAACCAACACCAGACCCACACCACAAAGTCAAGCCACAGCCAGCCAACCCCAGCCAAGGCTAACTTACAGTTAGTTGGATGCTTTAGCTTTGTCTTTGGACTCTGTGTGTGTCTTTTTTAGCGAGCTCCATTTATGAGCTAACGCTAGCTGTTGCACTCTGTAATGAAGTGGAGGTAGAAGGCTTAAAGTGCACATCCTTTGGGTTTTTGCAGAAAATCCTACCCATATTTCTACACAGAAATCCATATTCCCATAGAAAGTTGGGGAAGGTCTAATTTTTCTTCAAGTTAACAGTACAACCCATTCACTCATTGGTAATAAGTAAGGGATTAATCAAAATACTTCAAATCATACATATGACACCTTTAATTCTAAAAGCTTTAGGCATTATTTCTAGCAGTTATGTCGTCCCCAAAGTAATACTTAAGATCTGTTGGCACAGCTACAGCACATTTCAGTTTAAATCTGATAAAAAGGCCAATGTATCTGGTGGACAAACTATGCCACACAGACACTGTTTCTAGACCTCAAATATATCTTTGACCTTTGTCTATTTCTTGATACTTGTCAGCCGACATATCTGTGATAAGCTAACATTGGTTCAGCTTTAGACATTACATTAGCTGTAGATGTGTTTCAGACATGCTCTTTCAGTCATCCGTCTCACACATCAGACAGAACAGATAAGCTTCAGTTTTCATCAATACTGCTGTCAGACCCTGTAACGGCTCATACTTTGCATACATAACTGTGACCCAGAGCATGTTTGTAGGTTTCAGTCCTTCAAGGCTGTATGTTGTCTCCTCTGAGTGTACAGCAGCACTGTGGCTGAATATATCTCGTCTGACACTGACTGAGAACTGAAGCTGCTTTCACTGCACTGCTGCTGTAGACGAGTTGTAGGCCCAGGCTGAGGCTCTAACTGTTGTTGGCCTGTGTGTTAATGAATCAATGCTGGATGCTAATTGACTGCCTTTTGATCATTTTAAGATAACAGGAAAATGATATTAGAATATTATATTTATTTGTATACAGTATGTCTGACTTAAATGAGATAAATCTTCCACAGACCGCCTGCAGCAGCTGCTCAGACCATTAAGTGTCCATAGACTCACGGTTGAGAAATACCTTTTTAGTTTTGTGCTTTAATGGCCAACGTGATGCTCATGACACCAGTCTGTGGAGGTTTGTCACAGTGTGACAGGCTCATCGGTCCTTCCACCAGACACATTCCACAGGAGCTGGCTAATTCAAACGGTACATGCTAAGTGACGGCTACACACACACACACACACACACACACACACACACACACACACACACACACGCACAGAGATGGTGACAGTCAGCAGCTCTCCAGGGCTTTGGCTGCATAATGAGTTTCAGCTGATTTGTTGCCAGTGACAGCATCTGTTGATGTATTGTCAGGGCTCAAGGGTAACCGCCACTCCTTCAACTATTGGAATAAATATTCAGTCCGCCTCTGTGTCCTACACACACATACACAGTCCATGAAGTTCTCAGAAACATTGTGCGTATGTAGGCATGGGGGGTGTAGGGGTGGGTGGGTGGTCAGTTGTGCAAGCATCTCTCTGTCTCTGTAAAATCGCACAGACCCTTGGAAATGTTTGCTGCAACAGTTAAACAGCCCCTCCAAATATTAGTACAATTGCAGTTGCAAATGTTTTGTACTGGAGCTCCTAAAGAATGTAAGATGGATGGTGGTATAAACATGAGTGCCACCAACTAACATCATCCACTTTTACAGCTGGATGCTATAAGTGTGCACACAATGAGGTTAGACTATTCTGTTAGCTTTGGCCAGTATTGATCTTTTATTAAAAATGTGATAGCAGACAATATATTACATTGCATGTTTTACTTTCACAAACAAAACCCTCACACATCCACACATTCTCTCTTGACATCTCCCTTGCATTTCTAATTAAAATCCATATAAAGCTTGTGACAATATCACTCATACACTTCAGTGATACCTCTAACAAAGTAAGGCATACATCCACCAAAAGTTACACCATTATAACATTTGGTAGCAGACACTTTGTGTAGTCCAGTGATTCCCAACCAGGGGTATATCATAGGAGACTTGCAGTTGCCAGGGTATTTTGTGGAGTAACAAAAAAGTAAAAATGTATTGAAATATATATGTAATGTATAAATGATTGTAAAAGTCATCTAACAATGAATAAATAAATGATGATAATTTAAAAAAAATTAAATTAAAAAAATATTTTAAAATGGATTAATGGTTGAAAACATCCAGCTTGTGCCACAAGTAGTTAAACAAACCAAAACACTGACTCCCACACGGAGCATGTGACACTGAGATATAACATTAGACAATCTTGGACAAGATCGCTTCATTTCAGTTCTATTAGTTCTATCTATTATTTCTACATATTGGGGCTAATCAGAGTGTATTATCATGCTTATACCATAAGTACTTATCAGAGTCTTACCATACTCTTTTGTGCTTTTGGTCACTTTAACCCAAAGTTACAATAAGTGAGTTATGACTTATATTGGTAAACAGTTCAGTCAGTTCTCAGCAATTTAGTATGAATTAAATAAGATAATAATATATTATAGTGTTTGAGCAGAGTGCAATGATCTTAAAACAAATTTGATAAAGATTGACATATACATACAACATCTCAGAAGATCTTCTTAGGACGTTCCTACTCTTAACACTTGATTGATTGGGCTAAATAAAAAGATTTAGTAATTAGAAGCAAATGTGAGCTCAGACTGCAGCAGTTGTGTTCCTGCAGAGTTACCAGCAGATGTCTGGCCTTCAAGGAAACCATTTCCATAGTTAACATTAAAGTGCCTCAATCATTCAGACTGGAGGCCTGGAGCTCATTTAAGCCACCATCTTGATTGGTTTATGTTGTGCCTGTGGTTGAAGCAGCACATCAAAGGCCTGTGAGTGGAGGGTGATAGAGGGATGGGCGAGGAATGCAGCCCCACTGTCAGCCTGTAGCTGATGGAATAGAGGCTATGTTTCTCAGATGTGACCAATAGACAACGTGGTTAATGTTGAGGCTTTGATTGGGGGTAATCGGAACTTGGTGGTGCTGGTTTTGACAGATATGTGAAGTTTTTGGACGGATGAGAGTTTGTCCAGCCTGGTTTTAGCTAATATTGATGTTTTGGGAGTACAGCTGTTGATAGGTAATGTTTTGTGCCAATTATCAAGTCTTTTAGCAAAGTGTCGGCAAAAAGTCCAATAATCAGAATTTTTAAAATCTTAAATCTGATTTTGACAGGTCTTAAAAATGTATTGGATTAATGAGGCGGGAAATTAGTATTGATAACGCTGTAACAACTGTGAAATGAAACCAACGTGGAACCAATACAGATTTTCCTTCATTTACTTTGGACAGTGTTTTGCTAGGTCTTTTATATTGCATTCATAATGGTAATAAAAAGGTTTTAAATTGAACCTGTTGAAACCTGCAGAAACTTTGTTTGATCCAACCATTTACATTTTCATCGCAGTATTTTAACCCCCAAAATAGAGCTAAGTCTCGGATTGGTAGAGCTAGCTGTTACCATGGACTGACTTACTACTAAAAAAAAACTTTATTTACACACTTTCAACATGTTTACGCTAACTAGTGAGGTACTATACGATCATTCACATTCCGTTTAGATCAATTATGATTTCTCTTTCAGACATGGAATGAGTCAGTATTTGTGAGGGCCAACTTGCACTTGCTTTGGGTGGAAACACAGCTGAAGGTCATGGAGAACATAAGAGATTTAAACCTGGATTTAAAGGCAGTCAAAGTTGGTGCAAGCTCCAGTTCAGTTTCAGAAGTTTGTTCCAGCTCTCTGGTTTCCAACTTGTCTAATCGTCTGAATGCACGTGTAACAGTAAATGTCAAACTGTCAGTATTTGGGACTTGATGATAAACCACAGCGCTTGTGTGTACATGTTTTTTTTCTTTGTGTGTGTTAGGCTCTTTTTGGAGAGGGCCCAGCTGGAGTACTCTGGGGGGGAGAATAACATCCTTGGCCAGGGCGGCAGTGGGACCATCATCTACCGAGCCCGATATTGTGATCAGCCGGTGGCTGTCAAGCGCTTCCACTTCAAGAAGTGTCGCCAGCTGACCATCAGCAGTGACACAGGTAGAGGCATGTTCTTCCTTTGAATGACGGTTCTGGTTTTCAGTGGAATTCTTTAATGGGTTTTTTGGAAGCAACATTGTAAACAAGAAATTCACTTGCCACTGGATGTCTCACTAGAGCATCATATCAGACCAAAACAATGGGACAGAAAATGGAACTACAAAAACTGTCTAACCCCTTAATTCACAGAGTTAGATGTGAAAATATTTGTGAAGAGGGCTGCAATGACCAACATTAAGTCATGTTTATCCTTGGGGACAAATATGCCATCAAAGTACGTCCACTATAACTTCTTGTTTTTGCCACTGACTAAAATTTTTATTCTAAATGTCTGACAACCTTATGAAAAGGATCCCTACAGACTTTTTGTTTAGCCAGATTCAACTGTAATATTGCTACAGCTTGCCACCAGGCTCCATAGACAAAAACGGTAGTTTTGCCTTGCATATCATTATAATACTGTAACTTAATTCAAAGTAGACAGAAGTCTTTCTACTGTTCCAACAATCACCAACTCTGGCTGGTCGCTCTACAGCTGCACACGGAGCAGACTGGCTCTGCAAACAAACCACAGAGAGGCTGCGATAGCATCACAGGCAGAGGGAGTGTGACATTTTTCCCTGCTCAGGACACCATGACTCCACTGTATCTTTATGTAGCAAACAGTTTTTTACTATTATATATGTGTAAGATGACTCTTCCGACCTAGCTCTAATACCTCTGCACTGGGGCTGCGGGAGACTGACTTTGTGTTTTGCTGTGTAAAGGCGCAGGAGACAATCAGAAACCAGCTTACTGTAGCCAAGAAGCAAATCTCTGCTTAAGGTCATGATTCAGCAGGTTTGTTACCATTAGCATTAGGTTGCACTAACATACAATACTGACCCCCTCCCAAGTTCTATGCGGTATAAACATGGTCAGCTATGAATCTGTCCCGAGGAACAGAACCTATGGGGCTGATTTTGGTCATGATTACGTCGTAGTGTGAGTTCTCCGAGTGTATAATGTCAGTGGTCCAAGACACTGCAGCATAGCTTCGTGTCAGTCCATATACGGGCTGCTGCCAGACTAACCTCTGATACATGGCTCTATGCACCTGCTATTTGAAATTTTACTAAACTATCAATGTTGCATTCTCAATTGTTCTATTCAGTGCTCACAGAATATGATCATTTTTGTTTTTGAAAGCAGTTATAGATCAATGTCAGCTTAGTTATTGCCGTCACAAGTTCGGTGAAATACTACAAACAACTCTGTTATCCACACTGTTTAGTCTGTAACAAAAGCACTCAGAATTGACTCAAATCCAAGTGGCTGTTCCAAACAATCTAATTTTCTCACTACAGAAAGAACACAGTCAACAGAGCCCAACCCATCAATCTCTCTCCTCAGGAAGTTCATTGATCTTACGTGCCAAAATCATCCCATCACATGGAGACATCACTCACATGTTACTAGGTAGTGGTACATGGGGGAATGGTTTCTCTTCAAACATGGTCTATGGAATCTGATGTGAATGGAATTCTACAATGACCTTAACATGTTTTTGAAAGTGGACCTTCAGTTGAGATTCATTTGTCACACATTCTGTTCCTCATATTTACACACACAGACGACCTTAGTTACAGATAGCAAAAGGAGGACATGGAACAAAGATTAGATTACATTCAGCCTTATTGTCATTGCACAGAACGCAAGTACTGAGACAACAAAATGAAGGTTAGATTCTAAGCAGGAGTGCAAAAGTGCAGAGTAAGGATGGGACAATATATGATAATATCGTTATTATCATATATTGTGATGAAAACACTCAGGTTTGTAGTAGTTCATTTTCATTATTGGGATAGTGCATCTTTCCAGTAATTCCAAAATCCTAAGCCTGTCACATGGCCTAAGGCTTGGCCTGCTTCTCCAGCCCCAAACCCCTCCCAACAAAAACCAAAAAACACACAACCAGATGTGTGGAAAAAATGGATTCCAAACTAAAGACCGACAGGGAGATAAGGTGCCTTATCGACATATAAAAGATGGATGTCGTGTCTCCACTTCCTCCCACCGTACAAAAATGACACCAAAATACTACTACTGTCGCCACTTGGAACCAGAGTCTACCCAGTAGTGATCAGGGGTGGCACCGCGGTATCAAAGTCCCGTCCATAAGCAGCCCCATACCAACAGACTGTGATGCACTGTGTGTTCTGACCCCTTTCTATCAGAACCAGCATGGTTTCAGCAGTTTGTGCATCAATTAGCCTCTGCCCCCCATGACCCTGTCTCCGGTTCTTTTCCTTCCTTGAACCACTTTTGATAGGTACTGACCACTGCAGAGCGGGAACACCCCACAAGAGCTGCATCACAATGTGGCCCTTGTCAAAGTCGCTCAAATCCTCACGCTGCCTATTTTTCCTGCTTCTACCACATCAACGGTTGGTGTATATAGTGTTAATAAATAGAATAGTAAGTGGCAGACATGAATAAGCAAAGGTATGTACAGTATAAACGTGTGAAGCAGTTACAGCAGGCAAAGTATTTAGCAAAGTATTTGCAAGTATAAGTGCAAGTTGTATAATGTTTAGGTATGTGTGAGGATATGTAGTACAGGTAAGTGTGTGCACAGTAGTGTAGCAGTAGTAAAGATCTATTCTCTACATATCCCATTTGAAATGATCCCTTCTTTTAACTCCTCAGACACCATGGTGAAACACCTTCAGTCTGCAGATGCGTGCCGGAGCTTCTCCGAATTTCGCCAGGAGGCCAGTATGTTGCACTCCCTGCAGCATCCCTGCATCGTCTCTCTGGTGGGCATCAGCATCCATCCGCTCTGCTTCGCCCTGCAGCTGGCCCCCCTGGGCAGCCTCAACACTGTTCTCGAGGAGAGGAACAAAGGTAAAGGCAAGAAGAGAGTTCTTCATCCTCAGATCTCTTAAAGTCTGCGAGTCACTGGAACATGAAGTTATGTTTTGTCTTCGTAGGCTCCAGGTACATGCCCCTTGGTCACATGCTAACCTTCAGAGTAGCCTATCAGATTGCAGCAGGACTGGCGTACCTTCACAGGAAGAGCATCATCTTCTGTGACCTCAAATCTGACAACATTCTGGTGTGGTCTCTGGAGGTCTGTATATGAATTACCATGAGAAAGCCATGCATATTTCATTTTAGTTTATTGACAATATTCTTATATAATTATGAAACAATATATCAGACTTTGTCAGTGGTGAAAGTCCTAAACTTATTTCATTTGTTCTCCCTGCAGAGACATTCCAAATACTATACATGAAAGACTTTTTTCTTGATGTTTCTATCACTCAATTCAGCTTGTTCACTCATTAGTGTGTCTTCTTCCAGGTGCAGGATCCGGTCAACATTAAACTGTCTGACTATGGCATTTCTCGGCAATCCTTCCGTGAGGGGGCCTTGGGGGTGGAAGGCACACCGGGTTACCAGGCTCCTGAGATCCGACCAGGCATCGTGTATGATGAAAAAGTACTGTCTGCCTCTTCTTAACCTAGATTATACAATGTGTGTAGCATTTTCTGTCTTTGTTAGGCTGATGGCAATTTACTTTCCAGTGGGTAGCATGGTGAGGTTGGTGATGTCACTCTGTCGGTCCATACATACGGAAGCAGAGAACAAATGTGCACATTTTTTTTCATGTCATTATCTCGAGATTAGTTCATTTAAGTTAATTTATCTCATTATCTTGAGAAAACAATATATATATTAATTGCAAACATGGCCAGTCTTTGCTTCCGTACATAGATGCCTATATCTTGAAACTGATTGCCAGATTTTCATAACATTAAGTTTGAACAATCAGCTAAATTGTATTGCTAAAGAGTATTTTGTTTATGCTACTAGCAAATTACACTGTAACAACAGCCAAGTCACAGAATTGTAAAACAAAAAACATTTGGGCGCTCAAAGAGGTAAATAAGAAACTAAATACAATACAACCACAAATTATAAACAGTACAAAATACAATTTTGTGTGACAAAAATATTATATTTTATCCAATCTGTGGGTTGAACTCTTACTATTTGGATGCTTCATGACTTTTCCCCTAGTGCCTCGGTCAGGATATAATTTCTACAATATGTAAACTGCTACAAAACAAAGCCACAAGGCTTTAAATCTTCTTACTCAAACCAAATAAGACCATGGTTGAGACAATGGACACCCTCTGTTTCATGCTACTAACAGTGTTAATAATGTCCCTCTCTTCCGTGAGATCAAGAGTATTATTTAGGTTATGTCCATGCCTCTCATGGTTTGCATTCCAAACTGAAGACAGAAGGATTATCTCAAAACAAACTCAACCGGGGGTTGTTCCAAAGGGGGTCTTTGTCATCCTGCCGCTCCTCACTGTACCTCTATGTCATCCATTTGGAATACATATGAAAGTCTTTTTGGAGGCACTTGATCGTAACATGGGACACATGTTGAATTAATGACGGAGGGCGGTCGCTTAAGTGCTTAAATTAGTTTGATCCACTGATGGATGAGCAGAAGGTGTTAGAAACGAAAGGGTTGCCCCTGCCTCAGTATTTATTTTACTTGTCACTACAGGGGATTCACAGTTAGCAGGCTGATTGTTTTGACTGGCTACTTCCTCTCTGCAGCATGTTGCCTTACTGTCTGATTAGTACCATATGCTTTCTTTACTGGCAAAGGACGATGAAAAGCTATAGAAACATGCAGGTTTTTAACGTGGTTGTATAGTAACTACCTCTACATCCACACAAAAACTAGATTCTGGTACAGATACAAAACCATACTTTTTCGATACTGTTTTTTTTTTTATACTTCATGGAATATAAACGAAAATGGAAATATATGAGCAAAGAGAAATCTGAATAGACATCCGATGCTAGCTTTCATACTTTCGGTACCATAAATGTACTGTACCGAGGTTCAGTATCCAACCCAGTGTGGATAAGGGCTAGTACCAGTACTGCAATTAATATTTGCTTAGCTTAAAATTGTAGATTTGTTTTCGATGATTTGACAGCGCAGTTGTCCAGGAAGACTTGAAATGTCTTGTTTTGTCTGAAACAATCAATCAACAATTCAAAATCCAAAGATGTACAGTTTATAATGTTATAAAACAGGAAAACCACATCTTCGCATTGGACAGGGGAATATTACATATCTGTTTTGGTAAATGCTATCAGTGGTGTTCTCTGTGTTGACTTCCAGACACATCACAGCAGTGTGTTAGTCTGATATGACTGGCCCAGTCTGCTCTGACCTCCTCCTCTCCCCAGGGAGGCTAGCTTTACTAGGGCTTACTGTTTTACTGGCCCCTGCCTCTGTGGAAGAGCGAAGAAAAAATATCTGTAAGCCTCCACCTCTATTCATCAGCCCCGCTGACCTCAGCAAATCTAATACCTTTCCTCTTCTCTTGGGCGTTAATTTACTTTTTTGATGTGGTTGACTGTTGTAATGAGACGCAGGCAAGGCTGGAGAGAGAATAAATGATGGAGGGAGTGGGGCAGGACTGAGGAGTATAATAGGAAAATAAATGAAAATCAGCTCCATGGCTGTTAACGTGTTTGCCAGCTGTGAGTATCTTGGCAAGAAATGAGACATGTATTATTCAGTTGAGGATCTGGACAATGTACAGTAACACCACTAGAAAGCTGTTACAAGCTGTTTGTTTATAGGCTTGGATAATATCAAGACTGCAAAGTGACTATAAGGAGTCCAAAACATGAGTTGTTTATTGTGGTTAGAATGTAATGAATTAATGTGTTGTCTGGAAATGTGTAAAACAGTGCTTGACAGCAGATTTTTGTCTATTTGGAGAAAATATTTTATGAGGTTGCCTTTATTATTATATGTCATCCAGATAAAACAATCTCATCCATTCTCATCCACATCATTTAGTTCTCTGAATGCACTGCAGGGTTTGATATGTTAATGTTGCATGAAGTTATCTCTGTTGCTCTCATTGTGAAATAAAGAAAATATGAAAGCCAAAACAACGATCAGCACTCCTATGATTGGCTGAGTGCTGATCACATGCACTGTGGCTACAAATCAAGTCCAAAATGTTGGATCTGACCTGAAACAGATCCAAGAAAAACCTAATGGAACCTGACTAATTTTCAAAAAAGAGAGCAATCCTAAAAGGACCCAAGGATAATTAGACCTGATCCAAAATTTGTTTGACCTGGACATTCCCAGACAGTTATTTTGGTTAAATAGTCTTGATCAGATATTTTCTATCTGGCTGAGGACTTTTTTTGTTGATTTTATCCTTGGGTAGTTAGGCAGTAACCTGACTGCGGCAGATATTTTGTTACGCAGAACAATCTGGCAAGTCATCGTTGGAAACTGTTTGGAAAAGGGCAGGCACCTCCAAAAAATACTCAGCATGTGATTGGCTGAACCATCTGTCTATCAGGGGCAAACTTAAACCAGTCAGCTCAACGAATCATATAACATAGACTCTTACCCAAGCCAGTCGGGAGTAGAAAGAAAACATCTTTTCCATTAAGAAAAACGTTCAGTGCCATTCTTTGCTCTTCTTTCAAGAGTTGTTGTTTTCGGTCAGTCACTTCACACACACCTAGCGTTAAACCATGCCCGTAGTTCATGCCGTAGCTGTCAGTAGTTCCTCATGGGAACCACGTGGTTTGCACCAATCCTGGCAAGATGGATTCCCTCGTGACTTTGTGATCTTGGAAGTCCATCTGCCTCACAAGGTTAATTGGGCAGTACTGTAAAGGCCATTTTCATACTCCTCAAACTATTCACTGAGGCCTTGTGCTCTGCATTATGTTTATCCACTACACTATTCAGCTTAACATGCCACATAAGTTATACCGACAATAATAATTCAAAGTGTGCAACCAGCTCTGTAGCTGTCGTAGCTGGAGGTTTTACATAGCACTTGAAATTCAGATGTGCAGTTCAACGAGGATGAGAGGACAGAGTCTCTGTCTGTAAAGTGAGAAGGTTAGACAAAGACTTGCTTGTATGAATATGCCACAGCTTTCCATTTCCTCTGTGGTGCCATAGCATACCACAGACATCAAGTATATCTGGAGTCACTAGCAAGTGATGTCACCACAGAAGTAGTTGAGTGCTTTTGGCATTGCACTCCTGTTTGCCTCTGCAGCTATTCTGGGAAGTCCCACAGGGGCAGAGTCTCCCAATCACTATCTGTGACCGTTCAGAAACAGGAATCCACTCTGGTATTTTGGTCCTCAGATATGGGTTTCAAGGATGAGATGGATGAGAAAGGTGGAAAACAAAAGTGGAATTTGTCTTTGCTTTTTTTTTAAATCACATTTAATGAACAAAGGTGCTCTTTGGAGTAGAGAGCCATGCAGGCAAGAGGAAATACAACCAGGGCAATCTGAGCTCTGAGTATTCAAGATGAGTGAGCTCTACAAGATAAGAGGAGAGCAGGATCAGCTAGAGACGTGTTGCTGTGGAGTATCTGTCAATCAATGTCTCCATTGCCTTTATCAGTTGATGTCAAGTCATTCACCTCCTCCCCTATATCCCCCCTGCTGATAAGATGGGATTGTAGTTTCAGCTTTCCTTGCAGTTGTCAGGGATATATGTATGTATGTATCTATTTTTACATATATAAACACGTTTCCATGTGTTTACATAACCCTCTTTGTGCCTAAATGCGCCCACAACAATAATTTCAGTTTCATCTCTGTCTTCAACTCCATTCCTGACATGTATTGCGTACTACTACATCAATCCACAGTTCAAGGCTATATGTTATGTGTGATAACCTTGATGTTCCTTGTTTTCTCTCTCACCATCACTTCCTATAGGTGGACATGTTCTCTTATGGCATGGTGCTGTATGAGCTGCTGTCTGGGCGGAGGCCGGCACTCGGACACCACCAGCTTCAGATAGCGAAGAAGCTCTCCAAAGGCATCCGGCCTGCGCTGGGCAGTCCAGAGGAGGTTCAGTTCTGCTGCCTCCACAGCCTGCTGACTGAATGCTGGGACACCAAGCCCGAGAAGGTGAAATCGCTGCTTGTTGGCACAATTCTTTTTTTTTTTTCTCTGACACAGTGATGGATGAATGCACAAGTTTCCTTGTTTGCTTTGCTTTGTATGAAATAGACTGATGAACTGTGCTCACAGTGTGGCTAAGGTGGTGGATAACCTGGGGCCCTATGAAAGGATATAAAAAAACATAATGAAAAAGTTCTCATCCATCACCACAAAGAGTCATTACCTACGGCTTGGTCGTGTGTCGCAGCGAACAAAACTGGTTGTGTTTGTGGGTGGGAAGCCCAAACCGAAAGCTTTAGTGTATTATTTAGTGCTAGCGGCTCAGGGCTGCTAATGGCCGATATAGAATGCCAACATCACAACAAAGAAAAGTTATGTATAATTCTATTCTTTTCTATGGGAAATTCAGGCACATGTTTGCGTGAGTGTTACAGCGCGGGGCTCAAAATCAACTTTTTCACCACCTTTCCAAAACTCATAAGGTTGATCCCAGCACCCGCACGCTCTCAGCTGATGTGTCTGAATCAACGATATAAAAGATGGACATTGCGTCTCCACTTTCTCCCACTGTACAAAAATTAAGCCACATTATCCAGGATACAGCCAATGCCAGTCGAACCTATACTGCAGTCAGCCACTAGAGGGCGATCATCATGTTTTGGCATTACTTTTGGACAGCTGTCATGTTGTCCATCTTTAGATATGTCTGCAGACATTTTTTGTTTATGGGCCTTGTGAGTGCAGACATCGGCCAATGCTGATTATCTCAAAATGCTTGAAAATGGGTCTATTAGTAGCTGCGAGTATGCTGAAATGCCAAGTTCGTTGCCTTGTAGTCTGTCTGCAGAGAACAGCATCATGGAAGTGATATTTGACAATTCTTCATTGTATAACCTTAAAAAAAGATACTCATTAAAGCAAGTAATTCATTGTTTTAAAAGTCATTCTATGAAGCAGGGACGGTTCTTCTGTCTCCACTCAATGAATCTAGTCTGAAGTTCTCAGACTCTCTCATCTCTGGGTTCGTGGAGTCTCGTTCTTATTCAGCTCATCCATCAAGCCTTAAAATCCCATCTGCTTTGATGAGAGTAGTGTCCCGCTGATAAAGGGACTCAACTCCTATCTTCACTGGTTTCAGGCAGGATGTGAGCTGTTTTATATCTAACATTGCTTGGCTGTTAGAGAAGACTCGCAGCAGCAACCCCTGAACACGAACAGAATGTGAAATCTGTGTCAGATTTATAGAATGATTTTGAACATCCCAAATGATTTGCTTTAACAAATTTCATTTGTTTATAAGAAGAACTGTCAGTTCCATGAGGCTGTTGTCAGCAGACAGGTCACACGCAGTGAACTTGCTGTGATCCCAAATATCGCATTTAGCGACAGAGGTTTAGCAGGATGGTCCGATGCAAACCTCCTGACTCCACCACCCAGGACCAAGCACCGAACCTGGGGCGACAGGGCCTTCTGTATAGCTGCCCCCTCCCTCTGGAACTCTCTGGAACTTATGTTTTTATGTATAGTGTCTTTGAGTACTTAGAAAAGGGCTTATAAATAAAATGTATTATTATTAAACCTCTGTCACATTTGATCACCCAGTCACAGAACACACACTTTGCATCTTCATTGTTCAATCTTTTGAGGTTTTAGTGTAGACAGACAGACAGACAGACAGACAGACAGACAGACAGACAGACAGACAGACAGACAGACAGACAGACAGACAGACAGACAGACAGACAGACAGACAGACAGACGGTTTGGAATCCCTTTTCCCAGGATTAAACCTGTGTGTGTGTGTGTGTGTGTGTGTGTGTGGTTGTGTGGTTGTGTGGTTGTGTGTTGTGCGTTGTGCGTTGTGCATGCAGAGGCCGGTGGCCATGCAGTGTCTGAGGCAGATGCAGGAGCCCGGCTTCCCCTGCCTCAGGTACATGTTGTCCTGTGACTGCCAGTCGCAGCTCTTCCTGTCCCAGTTGCAGGGATACAGCGCCGTGTTCTGGAACGGAGACAAGGAAGACAGGTTTGTTTAAATTCTTTAGTCTGCTAATAACTGCATTCATTTGGCTTTAACACAGGAAAAAATGTCTGTCCTACTATGAGTGCTCTGCACTCATTTCAACTACATAACAACTACTAATATGTAACATTTGAGTGACATTCCTGTGGTAGAAATTATTTATGTGCATACACCAATATATGTCCCAGTCTGGGTGATTTACACACCAGTCATAAATGCTTTTGCTACAAAAAAATTGCCTGAGATCACAGTTTTCATAATGTCTCTTTCCTTTAAGAGTTCCCTGTAAGCAGTGTAGATCTCATCTTCACAACTTCTCTTCTTCCTTGACATAAACCAAATACTGAATATGCAGTTTGAAGCCAACCACATCACTTTTGTGGTGTGGTTCATGTTAGAAATGTCACTGAAACTGAGTCTGTCTTGTAGGAAGTAGGCTGTTGGTTATCAGTTACTGGGCGACTATCTCAGTGGGAATTCTCCTCCTCTTCTGCTATCTTGTGACACTATTTAGCAAGAGAACCGTTGCTGCCTGCAGGGCTTATCGACACCCAAGACGGTTCTGATTGGTTTAAGGAAATACTAACAAGCCAGAGCATTTTTTTCCTTATACCAGAATGATCATGGGTTCGGCCAGACCTTTCTCCAGTGCTGGCACAGTGCTAAAACAAAGTGTGGAGATTAAAATGGAATGGACAGAAAGAGACAATAGTGACTGGGCGCCCAGTAAGCTCAGTGGGTAGAGCTGGTGTCCCTTGTACTGAGGCTGAGTCCTTGCTGCAGCGGCCAGGGTTCGAGTCCGAACTGCGGCCCTTTGCTGCGTCTCATCCCCTCTCTCTGCCCCCCTTTCTATGAAAAGCCCCAAAAAGTACTTTAAAAAAGTGCCTTGACTGGTCCAGATTCTGAGCATCTGACCCAAGCTGATATTGTAGTTTAATTTAAAAATCTTTAAAAAGTGAGCGTGATCCACATTTAATATTATATTTGGTGTAGTTTGATTGATGCATATTTATTGAATTACCTAATCAAAAACTACAATAACAAATGTTTCAGTTTTGTCACATTATCTTGTGTTGCGGCAGGCCTTTCTTCAGTCTGACAATAATAATGTGTAATAAAAAACTACTGACCTTCAGATCAGGTTCAGATCAGAATGTGAGCCTGACCACGCCTCACGTATATAGCACTCAGTCACTGCATCCTCAAACTGCTGTCCTTCAGTCCAGGCCGGTGTTGCCAACTCTTGTGAGACAAATAAGCAACCACAGTTTCAAAAACAAGCCCAGTATTAATATAGATTGTTACAGCATCAATGTGAAGAGACACAATAAATGAGCCTGCCACTCTTTGTTTGAGGGAAAGAAAGCAGAATGCATTTATATTAGCTTTGGTGGTTACTCTTGTATTTTAGGGTGATGATTACAATTTATTTATATTATTTGATACAAGTTAAATGCAAACGACTACCGATAATGGCTAGCCTAATGCCTTCATTCTAAAATAAGACGTGTTTAAATTTAATCAGAAACAACCAACCTATAAGTGACTGTATTAAGATATTGTTTATTACAAATGGTACATATTTATGAGCATACTGTAAAAATTCTTTAGAATGTGGTGCTATAAAAAGAATAAAAGTATGAACTTATGAAATCTGGCTCCTAATTAGACAGTAGCCACAATAAAACAATGAGACTTCATTCAAACACCAGAACAATATTATTACAAGTGTTTGTTTCTGTATCTGCAATTAACACACTGGCTTCTTGCTCATCCGGTGTCCCTGTCCTCTCAAACTGAGAGTATATTGGGCTGGGTGTGTAGCTGTGTTTGTCGGAGCAGTTTTCCCGGTGAGATCTGGGTCTTTACCCTGAGGACAGCAGCACACTCCTCGTCAGAGAGGCTGTGTGACTGAGTGGAGATGTTGATGGGGACGTCTGAGTGTCAATCAGTGTACTGGTGAAAATAGCTACCATAAATTTAAAAAAGAAAGTCACTTCCCGGGTTTACCTAACAAGCAACCATATCTTTTAAAAGCAACTTAAAAAAAAAAAGAAGCCCAAAGTTGTTATAAGGGGACTTACAACAGCACAGTGACTCGTCATAGCGTTCACCCTCAGCCCAGCCTCTCGCTCCAGATCATTAACTAGTAAGGAGAACGACTTCCCTGACCTTCTCTGAGCGGCTCCCAGGTGTCTGATGTAATGGCTCTATTGTTTTCTGTGCGGCAGCAGGGTTCCAGGTCAATCTCCTTACAATAAAAGCAGCTTTCATCCCCTCATACAGGTGGTGTTAATGACCGCTGCTGACTCCTGTAGACTCCTTCCTGCCGTTAACTCCTTCACTGTGTCAAGACCCCGTTACCTCCCCTCCCCCGACTCTCCCACTGCCCTTTACTAGACCTCAGGACCTGGGTGGGAACTGGCCATGGGAAGCAAGTCACTTATTTAAACAATGTCCAAAGTAACGCAGATAAGTCATCTTCTCTTAGTTTTGGCTTTCCACCCACACTAAGCTGGTGTACCACACTCCTTACCAAATGAGGGCGCACATGCTCCATTTACCTGTCTGCAAACTGCAAAGAGTAAACTGAAAGAGGGTAAGAAGAAGAGAGAAAACTACGTGTCAGTGTAAGATGCTGACGTTCGTGGCCTTTTGTAGAGTCATTATGTTAATACCACTCACTTTGCCTTTGTTGATAACATATGAGTTGATTGAATGAGACACATAAATACTTAAAATGAAATAAATAAAAGTAAGAAATGTAAAACAAGAATATTCAATTACAATATCTTAAGCTCCTCTGTCCTTTCTCTTTGAAAGCTCATTTAAATCATTTATTCTAACCACCTTGGACCAGTGGTGTCTCAGGAACATCATGTTTGATGGATGAATGGACAGGAAAATATGAAATTTGCAGTATAAAATTAGAGAATCGTGAAAATATACTGTATATGTGCAGACATAATCCAGTGGTGCAGTCTTATTGAGTGTAGATAGAGAGCCCTAGTGTATATTATTTTAATCTAAATATATGTATAAGCAATAGTAAATACAGTCAAATAAGAATGTATTGGAAATCTAATGGCTTTTTTCTAATTTTATACTGCAGATTTAATATTTTCCTGTCCTTCCAACCATCAAACAAGATGTTCATGAGACACCACTGGTCCAAGGTGGATAAAAACCTCAGAATAAATGATTACTTCTTATGAAATGTTAACTTTTAAGGAGAAAGGACAGGGGAGCTCATTAACTATGAGTCCATTAGGGAAGACACGACACAAATGGTCAGACAACCAAATCCCTAAATTAACCTAATTATCTAACTTCTCCAGAAGTGAAGCCAAAGTAAACACTTCCAACACGGCATCTACAGGCATTGCACTGTTGAACTAACATATATTTTCATTGTTGATTAATCTGTCGATAATCTTTTCAGTTCAGTTGTTTGTCAAAAACAGTCCATGGTGACGTCCTCAGTCAAGAGAAAAAAAAAAAAAACCAGCAAGAACACAAATGTTAAAGCTGCAGTAGGTAACTTTTAGAAAAACAACTTTTTGTTTTCCTGAATGTAGAACATGAAACAGATCATCTGTGAAAAAATCATCATAAACTGGTCTGAAGCTGTGTGTCATGTGAAGCAGAGCTTTTCCATCTCCACATCTCAGCAATACTGATTAATAAAATGTTATCACAACTTGGTCCAAATACATGGCAAAACTGCCAGAGTAAGACCATGCCGGTGATAAAAAAAGATTTTTCCTTTAAATTTATCGTGTCATGTGACTGTGATTTTCCAGGATTCTATCCAAAGCAGCCTGAATCAGAGTGTGTGTGTGTGTCTGTGTGTGTCTGTGTGTGTCTGTGTGTGTGTGTGTGTGTGTCTGTGTGTGTGTGTCTGTGTCTGTGTGTGTGTGTGTGTGTGTGTGTGTGTGTGTGTGTGTGTGTGTGTGTGTGTGTGTGTGTGTGTGTGTGTGTGTGTTGTGCAGGAACTACAGTGTGGTGAATGTGGAGAAGGGCCAGGTGGAGGTGAAGAGGATGTCCTGTCCTGGCAGTAAGATCAGCTGTCAGATGAAGATGGGTAACACTCTGTGGATGGCCACTGAGGTACACACCACCTGATTTCCATACAAATAAATGTCTTCCCTACTCAGTTCTAGAGTGTATGTTTCATGTAAGATGACCTGGCTGTGCATCGGTTGTTTGGCGACTCTCTTTTTCCAATTTGGGATGAGCCAAGATAACCACCATAGCAGAAGGGAAATTGGTAGAAATGTGCTGGAAACAAACTGAATTAGAATTTTTCTATTTGTCTATAATAAGGCAATCAGTTGTTCAGTGGACTGTCAAAAAGCCAGCACAGTGTGGGTTTTTTCTGTCCTTAAACAGCTGGCAGCCGACATTAGCATAGTGGTCAGGGAAGTGAAAATCATGTTCTAAGGGAACTGGAGCATTGAGAGCTCCTGAACGCTCCCTGTTGGTTAAGTAATCTGATATTAACAGAACTTCTTTTTTTCTTTTGACATGTTTTATGACAATATTTTTATGAAAAAGCTTTGAGGGAGGATAGTGTGTGTCAAACCAGTGTTTGAGTTAGTGTGATAGTCTTTGGTACATTTCAGATCATGCACTGGCTACGCTCATTGTTAGCATAGACTTAAGATATTATTTTTTAACAGAGTCAGGCTAGCTGTTTCTTGACGTCCTTCGAGAACATTTAATATTGTTGTGAATGGGATTACTCCCTGAATGTTGTGCCCTCTGCAGACTTACAGAGAGTGTGTTAACAATATGTTGTGTGTGTTTGTGTGACAGGAGCAGGAGGTGTTCATCTACAGCCTAAAGGACATGTGTCCACTCAGTCAACCCCAGAAACAGTTCTCCTGTCCAGCCATCATCACCTGCCTGTTCCCTGTTCCAGCAAGAGAGCAGGTCAGATCTCTACACACACAAAAGATGTTGAACACATGTCTGTGCTTGTGTCTGTCACAACATCAAATCAATCATTAAAATACAATATTGCTATCAGTCAAATTCATCTCTAGCTTGTGTTGGGTGTTTTGCCTCTTTTCTGGCAAATGAATCAACTGTAACACTGGCAACCAGCGTTAAGGTATTTCACTGCCTCCTACTATAATGGAGTGAACAGAAAGAAATGGAAATTATTTAAAGCTGCAGTTAAAATAACTTTTTGTCATATTTTCAGTCGTACAGGATACAGATAATCTGTGAAACAGTCAGGTTCCTCAGGCTCCTCCTAGTGCTCCTAATGGTGTTTGTAAGAATCCACCGGACCTCAACAAAAACAACCAATCAGAGCAGAGAAAGATAGTTGATTGTAGAGTTTCATTGGTTGAGAAATACAGGCGCTTTGGTTCCTGGGAATGAGACTCAATAATCAACTATCTTCAATCCTCTAACCCAAAGTGTCTTTATATATTTCTTGGCACAGTGAATATTTCAGCAAATATGACAAAAAGTAATTTTTTCAGTTACTTACTGCAGCTTTAAGAGGCACTGGATTATTTGCACAATACTATCCTACTGTACGTTTTAGCTATCAAAATGATCCTTAGTATCGGTAAATTGCAATATACATATTGAGTCCATGTATGGATGAGAAAATGTTGGTCTGGAAAAATTCAAGATTTCATTACCCTAAAAGGATCTAAGGTGACACCAGTAACCTGCCTATATAGAGCCCAGCAGCTGTTTGAATAAATATGTTTTGAGATATTTATATCCAAAATTTGGTCATTTGTTGACTCAAATTAATCACTTCCATCCCAAAAATAAACAACAGAATATCTATAATATATGTCATATGTCAACTAATACTGTAGAGCAATAGCATCTCAATTGTCAGCAGTGCTGCTTTTAACTGCATGGCTTCATCAATGTAATTTAACATGTTTCTGTAGAAGCTGCATGACATCAGTGTTCGTAGGTCAGACCTGTAACATCTATGTGACACAGCTTAACTAAACTGACTGCTGTCAGGTTTATATAAAGACTGCAGCAGCATAATGTTCAATACACAGAGAGATTAAATGCAAGGTTTTTTTTGCCATTTCATTTTGTCACTTAATTATCATCTCTGCAGAAAAAAAAATAAATCAGGTCATTAAACCAAGAAACACTGGGAGCTGTTTTTCATGTCAGATCAATTCATAAAAAAAGATGTTTTCCCCTCAAGCACCTTGTTAACAGCCTGTGGAAGAACTTTGAACACTCTACTTCCTTCATATAATAACTTCACAGCTCGCTGCTGTTTTCCAGCAGTGTCACAACAGATGACACATATCAGTGAGCACCATGACTCTTTCTGTAATGATCCTGTCATGTCTGAGTGACAAAAAGACATCTCTCTAACAGATAGATAAAGCCAACAACGCTGCATTTTCCATGTCTGAAATGGCTTTAGATTGAGAGGAATTTGACATGAAAATGTCTCCAGTCTCGTTGAATTCCTTGCCATGACAGTAGTCTTCATGAAAGTGAAGGCAGGTGGAATGTCCACAGTTTAGGTACAGCCAGTAAGTGCTGCTTCTCACAATTGCCCTAAAACATCTTACTGCCAGCAGCATGAGTGTCAGGCTCCAAACAATGCTACTGTGGGAAAAGTTGCTTTATGGTCTGCCCTACTCCTCCTCTACAGCCTGTAGCGACTGCTAGCACTGAGGGCAATGAAATGTGATCATCTGTTATGTGTGTGAATCTGTGATTGTTTGATATTATGGAGCTGTAAATCATTTTATAAGCAGTACGGTCTAGACCTGCTCTACATGAAAAGTGTCCTGAGATAACTTCTGTTATGAATTGGTGCTATATAAATACAATTCAATTGTCCCATTTAATGAGCCGACTGGTAAGAAAAACAGTTCATATCATAATGTAATAATATCTTCAGACTGATAGGGTTCAGTGATTTTGCACATTACAATGTAATGGAATTTTAAAGTACAGGAAATAGTTTAAAAAGGTAGGAAACAGATGGAGGACTGAGGAGTGAACGGGTCTCTGAAACATTCAGACGATGGGACAAAAAAGTTTCATTGCAAGAGAGTGTGAGCTGATTATTAAAATGTAAATGTTATTTTAGAGAACGGCGCCTGAAAACAACCTATTAAATATTTTTCATTAGTGCCTTTAGGCCAGACTCTGGGCTTAAAGTAATTACAAGACTATATAAGGGACTTCAGGGGGTTACAATAGCAAGTAACACCAACATAAAGTAATAAAGAATATTCTACTTTCAAAATCTTTTAATATAAAAACTAAATAAATATTTGGAATACTGAGTGGAGCTGCTAGAAAAGCAATTGGAGAAAGAAAACCTTGTAATGGAAAGAATTACCTTCTCCACGAGGCTTCAGGAAACTGAATTTGAGGAGATTTGAAAGTGAAAAATGTATATTCTTTCTTTCTATTTCTTTTCTTCTTTTGTTTACATTTATATATGTAATAAGTTTTCTTTTCGTTTTTTATTTTTCTCCAATGAAAACCAACCCATGCTCTGTGTGTGTGCTCTATAATTACACTGTAAAAAGCTGAAATGATGGATCACTCTCTAAAGGTATCTAACTAAAGAAGACTGTGTAAAGTGCTGTTGCTATGTGATTCCAAATAAAGGTAAAAAAAAAAAATATGTAAAAGTTGCTTCTTCCTCACCTGTTCAGAGCCTGGCCAGAGTGTTTGCGGGGATGTCTGACGGCCTGCTGGCAGCGTACAGCTTGTTGGATGACCTTCCTCTAGAGGGGGAGACCTATCTGTGCTCGCACACCCTCAATAAGACGGTGTTTGGTCTGAAGGACTCAGATCCCAGGCAGAGACCCTACCCAGTCAGGAGCATGGCTCTGGTCGGCAGTGGCTCCCAGGTGAGAACCATGGCGCCTGGTTAGCTCAGTCGGTAGAGCTGGCGACCCATGTAAGGAGTTGCTGCAGCGGCCCAGGTTCGAATCCGACCTGCGGCCCTTTGCTGCATGTCATCCCCTCTCTCTCTACCCACCTTTCCTGTCTATCTACAGCTGTCATCTATCTAATAAAGCCAATAAAAGGCCACAAACAAAACTTAAAAGAAAGAAATGTACCGACCATAAAGTCGTGTTTGATAAGATTTAGACAGAGTTAACTCTTCCTCCCGTCCATGTGTTCATCAGTTATGGTTCTCCAACGGTCCGGGCGTGCTGGTCATCGACTGCCTGACTCTTCAGGCGATCCAAAGGCTGGAGCCCTACAACCCGCCGTCCTCCATCGTTGCCATGACAACCAGTTTTAGTCTGTGGGGAGAGGAGGCCGTCTGGACCCTGGATGACCACACCAACACCCTGCTGCTCTACCACGCTGCTTCCTACCATCTCTGTGCCAAGTACTGGTGAGTGGACACTACTGCCATTGGGAAGTGTCATCATCAGGTGTAGGATTTGTGATAGTGAATGTTGAGGAACAACGGTGTCTAATAACACATCAGTCTGTGACTAAAAGATATGGTAGGCAAGATCCAGGGAAATTAACTCTTTGACTAGCTATAAAAGTGTAATTTCCTGGAAGACAGTGAATCAGTACCCTCATTTGTAGTTAATTAACCATTCCCAAGCCCCGCCCCCTTTTGGAACCTCAGTAAACGTCCTTTCTTGTAGATGTGCTTTGTGCTCATATACAGTATATTGACACATCTTAAGTAAGAGGAAAGGGGAGCAGGACTCAGTTCTGCCATGACTTGAAAGTAGATGGCATCAGACAACTTGACATTGACTACTTTTACTGATTGTAAAATGTCAGTCCAGAAATATCAAAGATATGTTTAAGGTCATTTAGATGATGATAGAAAGTAGTTTGTCCACCAGAGTGTAATTATATTCCACTCAGTACATTTGAGGGCTGCTTGTAAATATAGCCGATTCTTACATCAGTCAACAAGCTGCTATTTTGTGGTAACAAAATCCGCCTGTAGAAATGTCAGGTTGTGGTTCTACCAGACTATTTCTTGGCCCGGGGCAGTAACTTCCTGGATTCTTGTCATCACGGCGAGGATGCCAGCAGAGACCCCAGGAAGCAACTCAAAACTGAACAACAAACCGAACCTGGATTGATCTGTTCATGAACTGGGTTAGAGCTAATGTGAACAGAAAATGTTGAGTCTGGTTTAGTCATGACTAATTAATTAATGCTGAAAATTAATGTATAGATATAAAAGATACAACATACTATTAAACAACTCTGACAAATCAAATAAGAACCATGGATGAAGTTGTTCATTAGTTTTAATTGCTGTGCATATATTGACTGGAAACTAGCCCTAAGCTATTCCTGAAAACCAGCCTGACCGAGACCAGGCTAATCTAGAAGGATGAGTTTCCATGATAAGCTTGAAATAAACCAGATTTACTGAAATAACACTGGTTTAGCTTCATGAAACACCCGTCATTTTGTTACCTCACTTAATGTATTCAATTCAATTCAATTCAATTCAATTTTATTTGTATAGCGCCAATTCATAACAGAAGTTATCTCAGGACACTTTTCAAATAGAGCAGGTCTAGACCGAACTCTTTATAACATTATTTACAGAGACCCAACAATACCACCATGAGTAAGCACTTGGCGACAAGGGCAAGGAAAAACTGCCTGTTTAAAGGCAGAAACCTAGGACAGATCCTCCGGCTCTAGGTGGGTGGTCGTCTGTCTCGACCAGTTGGGGTGAGAGAGAGAGGAAGACAGAGACAGAGAGAGAGAGAGAGACAGACAGACAGACAGACAGACAGGTGCACAGCAACAACAGTATTGGTAATGGCAATCTAGCAGGACCATGGCAGGAGGCTCCACCAGGATCGATAAGAACCTGCGAGACGAGAAAGCACAAGAACTCCGGGGAAGAAGTGAAGTTAGTAACATGCATTAATGGAACATGAATGAGTGCAGAAAGAGAGAAGAAGAGCTCAGTGCACCATGGGAAATCCCCCGATAGTCTAGGACTATAGCAGCATAACTAAGGGATGGTTCAGGACTCACCTGATCCAGCCCTAACTATAAGCTTTATCAAAGAGGAATGTCTTAAGCCTACTCTTGAATGTGGTGAGGGTGTCTGCCTCCCGAACCACAACTGGAAGCTGGTTCCACAGGAGAGGAGCTTGGTAACTGAAGGCTCTGGCTCCTGTTCTACTTTTAGAGACTATAGGAACCACAAGTAGCCCAGCATTCAGAGAATGCTCTTTAAGATATGAAGGGGCCTGACCATGAAGAGCTTTATTGGTGAGGAGGAGGATTTTAAATTCTATTCTACATGTATGAGCTCAGTAAACAGTTTCCTGATGAGTTTATGGTCTCAGGCTCTAGTTTCAGTCTTCTTCCATACAGCATGATGTTCATTTAGTAACTGATGGTCCCATTTAGAGTAAAATAGACCATAAAGCAGGGTATGCTTTAGGGCGGGGCTACCTTGTGATTGACAGGTCATTCTCAGTGAGTCCGTCCAGCTCAACGCACCAAACTCAGATCAAACTGTCAAACTAGGCAGCGCTGATCAGATATGGATCCAGATTGTGTTACTGCGTTGACTATTTCTCACTGAAGTTGAGTTGAAACTGTGCAGCCAATGAGAGCAGCTCAACTCTCAGTACATCACCTCCGCTGGCTCTTACAAACTATATAACGCCAAACTTGAGGCTTCAAAAACGGTTTTCCACAAACCAATGAGTGACATCAGGTTTAGTTCACACTTGGCTCCAAGCTAGCTGTTTCCGCCTGTTTCCAGTCTTTGTGCTGAGCTAACCGGCTGTTGGATATAGCTTCCTTCTTACCGCACAGACACGAAGTGATATCAATCTTCTTACATAAAATCTCAGCAAAAAAGGGAAGAATGTATTCTTCAAAAACAAATATTGGTCTATATCAATGTGAGATGTTTTTTTACCCTCAAATATCGATATTGATAATGTCTTGAGAACACCCCAGGTCAGTCTCTGTAACAATGAAACCAAGACAGCATCCCTCTGACTGAATTCTGCACAGAACAGAGGATAGCACAGACTGTAGGGGAACATGGAGGTAATGTAGGTGAGGGAAAGATCTTGATGTGGGTCTTCGAGTCCCGTTAAGTCGCTGTGTGTGATACTGAGCTATGGAAGTAAACCTGACAGTGAGCGATGAGTCAGTGAGCAGAGCAGAACAGTCTCTGACCTTCCTCGGCCAATTATTACTTGAAGCAACATTATACCTTTGTTGCTTCAGTTGCACAGTGATGTAAGACACTTCTTTCCTCATGCAATCTTAATCCATCACAGCTGTGCTTTTATTCGTGAGCAGGAGAGAGAAGCAGCTCATGCTCCAGTTAAAACATCATTTAGTTTTGATTTAAGTGGCTGTTTTAAAGATCATTTCTTGGTTTCAGCTGCAGAGACAGCAATCCTCTGCGGGACGTCTTCACTGTGCAGCGTCCTGCGGGTGTTACCATGGTGATGACCACTGACCTCAAGACCACAGACCAAGAAGAGAAGCTGGAATTGAGTAAGGGTGAAGTGACATTGATCTACAGTGAGGAGGCAGGCACTCAGATCATTCAGCACCAGGATTCTCTGACAGACTACTGCTCCATTTCATCCAACTGCTCCCTGGAGCGGCCGGGGTCAGACTGTTCCAGCACTGCGGGCCTCGGCTCATTAGCCAGCCGCAGCAGTGCGCCGCTTCCTGCAGACCGGGAGGAGACGGGCGGGGACCAGGATCAGCACCAGCAGGGGTCCACCAACCCTGAGTCTTATCTGGACTCCGCAGAGATCGTGGACCCCACGCCGCCTCATTTGCAAGCCTTCACTGTGCTGCCGGTGAACGGAACTCTGTGGATCCCCAGGTACAGAACGCTGCACACCATCTGAACATCACAGCAGCAGCAAATGATTATGATGCAGTTAAATAAGGACAGAGCTAAAGGTATTAAACATACCACAGTACAACTGTATACCCACATTTAAAAAACTTGGTAGTAAAGTAAAAATATACATACCTTTCATTTTAACTCATATGTGAGTTACAGTATACTGTAACGCATTTGTGTGGAAAAAAATGCGCAAAAATATATATAATAAGAAATAATATGAAGAAAAATAAAAATGATACATAAATATACATAAATCAGTAATCAAGTAATCAGTTATAATTAATAATCTTACAAAATCCTAGGCACTATGTTTCTATAATTTATGTGTTGAAAACATTGTAACATATTCACAAGAGCTGATCTTCCTTAACTATTGTGCCATTATAGTGTGTGTATCTATTGGCAGAAATGGAATATAATCAGAGGTGGAAGAAGTGCTCACATCATGTTCTTTAGTAAAAACAGCAGTGTAGAATACTCTAATAAAAGTAAAAGTCCTGCATTGAAATGTACAGAAGTATTGGCCATTAAAATATACTTAAAGTAAAGTAGTAAATATAAGAAGTATAAAGTAGCAGAAAATTGAAAAACTCAAAGTTCACTGTTATACTGACTCAAAACTGTACTATTGTACACTACTTGAGTAAATCTACTTAGTTACTTTCCACAACACAACAATCTCCCCTGTGTAGTCAGTCTTTGGTTTGTCTCTGATGTGCTACTATAAAAACACAGCAGACTCCACAGAAGGAAACCTGCAGCATCTGTAGATAAAAAAAGCTTATTCTATGAAAACATACCAATGAATTTTAAACTCCATTTCTGCCAATAGATCCTCCTAAATGTTACACACTGGACCTTTATTGGTACTGAACAAAATCTCCAGTTGCCCTGGTGGCTCACCTGGTAGAGCTGGCACCCCATGTACCAAGGCTGAGTCCTACAGTGGCCATGGGTTCGACTCTGACCTGTGGCTGTTCACTGCGTGTCAGCCACTCTCTCTTCTCCTTTTTCCTTGACAAGGCAAAAATTTAAAAAAAGTTATCAACACTCCTATACTTCAACAGTTTACATCATTGATTAACAATACTTGAATCCCTGTCAGGTCCCATATTCCATATTACCTGCCTGCTATACTCACTATATTCTCTAAATGCGTCAAATCTTTGCTGGCTTTGTCAGATGATTGAGTCAGTGTAGATATATGTATGTAATGTATGTGCAACCTGTTTTCATTTAGTGATGGTATATCTAATAAAGACTTACATTATAGCTCAGGTTGAACTCCGAAACAGCGGGTGCAACTTTATTTAGCACTGTAACACACTGTTACTCATGCAATGAAAAGGCCATATTTATGCTCATCACACGCTCACATTCACCATGTGTGTGTGTTGCCGTTGTTTGCTAGGCGTGGAGGAGATGTGATGGTCATTGAAGTGCAGTCACATGCTGATCAGCTGAGGGGACGTGTCATCGCTGTCCTCAGTCCACCTGGATGTTCCTCTCTGGGGTGAGTTCTCTTTTCCACTGGGTTTTTGTTTTCAGATCCTTCAAGAAATAGTTTTATTTCCTTTTTTTTTTTTGCTTTTTTTATTTGCTGTATAACTTTCAGTAGGCTTTATCCTATTTTTGTATTTTAATTGGTCTAGGAATCCATTCTTTTTAAAATAAAAGGGTCTTAGTGAGTTCTAAGTTGGGTTTCATTCTACCTGCATGGAGCCAATTTTCAGCTTTGCTTAAAACCATTCACCAGCTGTAGGAGAGGAAGAGCCAACAAACTATATATTAATTTACTGATGCAGCCTCAATAAAGCTTAGCAAGATCCTTCATCATGTACTTATGGTGCTCCGCTGAGTCTGTAATTATTTCTGTAAAGGAGCCAGCAGCTGGTCCTCTGCAGAAAGGACTTCTGTGTGAGCTTCCACCAAGGGGCCTGGCCTTTTAGCAACAGGCAATAAAAGGGCCACCCAAAACAAGGTCTTTAATAAGCAGTTATTACACAGTGCACCTGTAACACGGGCGACACGTTAGGAGGTCACGGCTCAGGTCAAGGGAGGGGTCGCCAGGCCTGTAGGGCTTCATTTATATCACATAGCTGCTGTTGTGTTCTGCTTTAGGATCAGGGGCTGCCTATCTACTGATTGGACAGTTTCACAGCATTACATTGTATTAAACCCTTAACTATTACCTATAGCTATTATTTCAAGTGTCTTTTAGCTCGTGTGTCTGCTTGATGGCGACTTCACAGAGCGCAGCCTCACCTGTTCCCCTAATGGCGAAGCTGTATATCACAGAACACGAGCCAGCATCGGGGAGGATAATGATACGCCTCGGAAAGATGAAACAACAATGGACGAAGATAATTCGGGGTTGTTCTGCATGATACATGGCTACCTGAGCTCAGGATACAGGGTCACTAGAAGCCCTCCTTCCTCCCAAAATGCTTTGTGCCACAGCCTTCATAAATTAAAAAAACACTTTGTTCCATTTTTTCTTAACATTGTTCTTTGATCCATTTGACCTGTTTTCCCAGGAGAAAGTGCCTTTTAGAGCAAAGAAGTGCAGGAATTTATTTTTTTACAAGCACGTAGACAAACAGTAACGTCCAACAGTACATTCAGTATCCTCAGTGGCTTTCCAGGGACTGCTTCCTAGAACAGCCCACTAGTTTCTAGGAAGAGCTAATTACAGTGCACGGAGATGTGCCGACAACTTTAGCTCCTTCCCCTCTTTTTCCCCCCTTCGCGGATCGATCTCTTTCTTGCATCCCTCACTCCCTCCCCTCTTCTCTCTTTTCTCTCAGGATCCTGAAGGAGGCCGTGCTAGTGGCGAAGGACACAGTTGTATGTGGCTTTCATAAGGAAAACATGGAGTGGTGCCTATGTGTCTGGAGGGGCTGGGGCTGCCACGAGCTGGAAGTCTTCTACCAGTCCTACGAGGAGCTGGGCCGCTTGGAGACCAGCATGAGGAAAAGAAGGTAGCTGTTGTGCTGCGACGGCGAGGGCGCAGAATTGCAGCTCTGTACGGAGGGCGAGCCGAGGGGGAATACGCGCCGACAGACCACCAGTGTTCAGAGCAGTGGGGGCTGCCGAACGCTGTCATCAGGGCAACATGGGAAGGGGGGAGGTGTGCCGCAAGGGCCGAGCCTCAAGCTGTGAACATGTCCCCTCACTACATGCTTTAGTACCAGTAATAAGTTAAGACCTGAGAAATCTGTAATCCCACAAAGCTGAGTCACAGATCCCTGTTGCCAGAACAAAACTTGGAGGTGATCCTAACTGTCTTCTGCACAGAGGCTTCAATGTTGGTTGCATTTTAATATTTAGCACTATATGCTGTTTGGCCCCTGGCAGCAGTCAGTTTGGTATCACTGGGATTCAGTTCAAGATGTGGCGGACTGTTTGTGTCTCACTCCAGCTGCTGCAATCCATTGTTTATCCGTTGTCTATTTCAGTTTTCCTCCATTTAACTATTCCAGTCTGCCACTTTATGCCCTCTGGAGGTGACAGGGACATTCTTAAGGGACAACTATTGACTGTTTTTAAATGAATTGAAGTTGGAGTTAAGCTGGTGCTGCTGGGAAACAGCTGTGTTTTAGGAACAAACAGCAGGTTGTGGATGGTGGTGACACTGACACTCTCACACACTCAGAACACTGTGTTCTTCTTTTTTCCCTGTATATTTTAGCCCTAAACTGTGTCATATGAATCTGCATGCCAGCCACAGCCCCCACTGTTACCAGAGTGGCCTGCAAGCAACAAACTAACATCTGTGTTCTGTGCAACATTATGTAACAGGCCAGTGGTTCTCAGATTTTGCCATCAAAATCTAGTGCTTTTGGCAGGTTCTTACGGATAAAAGAGCACTTTTTAAAACTGAAGCTCCGTTCTGGCTTCGTACTCCACACTGTGTTCCTTCGACTGTAGCATCTGTATCTCAAAAGCGGAGAAAATCATCTGAAAAGATGAAAACATGTTCTTGCCGTTTTCAGGCTTTCAGATTGGGATTCACATGAAATGATGCGGCACATACTGGACACGATGCGGAAGACGGAAGCTGGTGCATGTTCACATTTTACACGTTGTAGAAGAAGTAATTGATCAAGGAGTGTTTGCTGCTCCGAATGGGTCAATACACGCGCAACACACTTTTTGCTCTGTGCTCCAATAACAGATGAGCGAGCCTGAGTCAGAACATCGGTCCTCTCTCCTGTCCTGTACATAAATATGCTATGTGCTAGGCTAATCTATGTTGGAAAGAAGATGGTTAAAAATAAATGTGACATAAAGTCACATCTGGAGTTAATTAATGTTAGCAAAACTCTAGATAACTAGCCAGCTAATCTACATTAATCATTAACTAGCTAGTTATATCTGATAGCTAAAGTTAGCAAAACTCTTGGTAGTTAGCTAATCAGCTAAAGTTAGCAAAACTCTTGGTAGTTAGCTAATCAATAATCATTAGCTGGCTACTTACAGCTTATCGCTGAGGTTAGCAAAACTTTAACTAATTAGCTAGCTAAATATTGATGTAGTAGCTAGTTAGCTACTGTTTTGCTAACAATAGCTAACTTAAGATATATACAGTACTCACAAAAAGTTAGGGATATTCCAGTTTCGGGTGAAATTTAATGAAAATGTAAAAAGTTGATGCTACAGTGATATTATATCATGAAAGTAGAGCATTTAAGTAGAGAAGGTCAAATTAAGTTCACCTGGAAAGGTTATAGTGCATTTTATGTACATTCTGAAATTTCATCCGAAAGCCGAATATCCCTAACTTTTTGAGTAGTGTACTTCTATTTTTTAACCATGTTCAAAATTTGGTTCTTTTCAACATAGATGAGCCTAGCACATAGCAGATCTCAGTACAGGAAAGGAAAACATTGTCTCAAATAGAACCCTGGGACCTGTATTATAAAAATACCTGCCACAGTTTTCACAAAGTTCAAATCATTTATTTCAGCTCCCATGAGGCTTTCACGGTATGTCTGTATCTTATCAGGGGTATGTTGTAAAAACCAAGAAAATAATATTTTATCCTCGATTAAAATTGCAGGGCGCTGTTGAAAGAAACCCTCTCTTGCGTTACAGATGCCAGTGGAACAGTGGCGATGCACAAAAGGGGTCAGACTTTGCTCCTGTTTTCATTCTCCCTGGCCTATTCACACAGGAGTAGTGTTACCAGATGACCTAAGGAGATAGAACAGATAGACACTGTCTGTGTACTGACCAAAACAACAGGATTATGTCCCAAAGAAGACCGAAGCAGATAGATTGTGTCCATCCTGTTTCTTACCAAATCACATCAGTAATTTCCTCTGCAGTACCCATGACTCTACTGCAAGAAAGGGAGAAAAAAAAGGGCAGGAAAAATCTGAAAATGAACCTAAATGAATGAGATGCTGAATCAGGCGGGGCTAATGCTAATATTATCAGATTGGGTCAGTTTGGTGAAGTATTGAAAGTCATTTCAAGAAGCATTTTTACGTAACAGAGACAGATTCATGCAGGATTAAAAGCACAGGGCACAAAGGCTGAGAATCCCAGTAGGAGACCGCATGGTTTTACATATTTAAATCATTTTATTTTTCCACTTGAATAGTTTTGTTAACTTAAGTTGGCAGATTTGCATCTCTACAGTGGCCAGTAAAGATCTGTATATATTCCAGAACAGCCTTATAGTAAGGCAGAGCTTATTTATTTATCAGAATGTATAATGAAAGGGTATTGTAATCAAAGTTGTTGTGTATATGATCACTGTACAATATGGTACTTAATAAAGTTCTTAGTAAAGATTGTCTGCCATAATTATTGACACTGATGGAAACTTCAGTTCTGTGCTCACTAATACGTCCTCCTGCGTCCGTGCACTGCACACTTCGATTGAGAAAGAGAGAGAGAGAGAGAGAGAGAGACACACCTCATCGGATGAAGTGATGATGACAGCTGGGAGGAGGAAGCTAATAACAAGGCTGATGCTTGATATGAGGAACATAAGAGGCTGCTTCCTGCTCAGAAACTTGGCAAAGTTTTGGGAAAAATCCCTCGTTCAACCTGTTCCTGACAGCGCGTTTACATGCAACACAATTTGGCCCAGCAGTAATTTGATCTGTGAAGCGACGGCAGACCTGGTTTCATTTATCAGGTGAAGATATTCAAGTGGTATGATTTAGTATTTCACTTTCCGAAGTTGAGGAACAGAAAGAGACAGTTAAAATCTACTTCAAAAAACTTGTCATTGTCTCTAATTAGACCCTCCCTGCTGGCAAAAAGTCCTCCCAACTAAACAATAAAACATGTTTGGCATCGCCTTCCACAATGAACCATTCGAGTTTTTAAACTGTAACTCTAGCTCCACTAGTTTTCAACCACACCTCGTGGTCACAGAGATAACTCACATCAGAGCTAAGTATGAAACTTGGGTAATGCAGTGAGAGGTGGTTGTTTTTTATTTATTTTTTATTAAACTATTGTGTCCAAGGTGAGGAATGAACTTTAATGACAAATTAACTTATTTTTTCACATGGAGTTCAACTTTGACTTGCGAAGTCCCAGCATCAACCAATAGACCTTTTTCACATCAGCCATTTTGACCTGATATAGTAGGGTAAACACAGGTGTTACCAATGATACTAATTAAGATTTTGTTCAGATTCAGGTCAGACAGAGTCAGGATGTTGCTACTGTGCATGTTGGCTCAGTGGAAAGGCTCTGATACTAGGGACATCACAGTACCAAATATTTAGTCGTCGATACCAATACCAATGAAATTTTACAATTCTCAATACCACGGTAAATATGTTCCGTTCAATATTGAGTATCTGCTGATACAGAGTCCCGATCGATTATTTGTATTTTCCTAATTAATGCAGATTTAACATATTGATCTTCCTGTGGCATTTGATGGCCAACTAGAATATTTGTGGGTGTATGAGTTGCCCCGTAGGTCCAGTCCAGGAGAATTGCATCCCTGGTACCTTCAGTACCTCCGGTACTGTAGAAAAACGACTACCATCAACTCGTCTGTCGAGGTATGGGTTCTTATGACATCTCTATCTGCTACACTCAATGGAATAGAACCTTAATTATATCATCGGTAGCACCTGTGTTAGGTCAAAATAGCTGCTGTGAAAAAGGTCTATAGTGAAGGACTGTGTGCGTGTGCCTCTGTGGGCAATGGTCACTCCCCGTATTTGTGGCCGTGCCATAGGGCTGGAATGGCGAACCTGTTCTGATTTGTTGTCCCTATCGGTACAACAGCATGATTTGTCGGTGCTTTACTGACAAAAATTATTAATTATCTGATCTGCCATTGCTATGGTTTAGTTTCAGCACAAAGAGGCCTCCTCCCTAACATGCCTTATGGTGATATAAAATCACGCTATGTCTGCCTTTGCTTCTGACAGACAGCAGTCATAATTTGCACTGCCACTAGAGGGCTTTGTATGACATAAACAATATGATGTAAACAGAACATGAACAAGGCCTAACACTGATGACATCAAATGTTTCTAAGGCTAAGTTTAAGTGTGTGTATTTGCATGGCAGCAAGTACCAATAGCCGTGGATGTATTTTGATGTACGTTTTGAAGTATCGCGTCAGAGAAGGTTGGTGGAAGCGGCAAAATCTACCAAAATTACAACGGTTGGGAAGAAGCAGCCTTTGCATTGTCTTTTGCCGAATTACTCAAAATTAGCTGACATTCTTTTGACACATTTGGATGGAAACGCAGCTACTCTGGCAATATTTTAGTAGGAGAGACATCCAGGCGGGCGCCTAGTTAGCTCAGTGGGTGGAGCTGGCAACCCTTGTTATAAGGCTGAGTCCTTGCTGCAGCAGCCCAGGGTTCGAATCCGACCTGCGGCCATTTGCTGCGTGTCATCCTTTCTCTCTTTGCCCCCCTTTCCTGTCTGTCTTCAGCTGTCACTATCATAAAGGCAATAAAAACCCCTAAAAATACTTTAAAAAAAAAAAGTCAGTTACATCAGTTTTCTGCCTGAACTGGATTTCTCAATAATCTGGTTTCATTTATCCATGTAAACACAACCATTCTGAGCCAATGTAATTTTTAAATAAATAATATTTAATAAAAATTTATCTCTGAGCTGTAACTCTGTGATGTTATACTTCGAATGATCCAGAATCCTGAAAAGACAAGAAGCTACAGAGATTTTCTTGGAAGTACCTGCAGGCCCTCCTGTTAAGATGACCTGGGCGTTGCCAAGAGTTTACTCAGCAGCCAACATGGTGGCACTGCAAATATCATGAATGATGTTCTTGTCATTTAAAAAGACTTGGCCTTCTGTTGCACTGATATGAATAAATCATGCTCAGTCCTCGGCTGCTCTCGTTTAACCTCTGCTCAGGCCAGAATACCCACAGCAGTCCTGGCCTCGCAGCCACTCGCCTTCTCACTCTGAAGCAGCTCAGCTCAGGGTATTCTTATCACTGCAGGCCTAACGCAGACTGGATTTACTCGTTTCTGTGGTGTGTTACTGAGCAAAAAGCCATTTTAGGCTTGTCACATAGATTAATTCATAGTCATATCTGTGGTTTTTCTTAAGACCATCAGACTGAAGAGGGCAGTAGAGAGACTAATCTGCTCTCTGACAAGCTGCATTGATGCATTGCTCTCTTCATCTATTTGAGTTTCCCACCAAACAATGGCACTCCAACCAAAATGCAGCAGTGTACTTTTGGTATTGCACTTCCATTAATTCAGCACTCATAAGAGACAAATTAAAAAATGGTTGGTCAAAATCCCAAAAAAATAGAGGAATTTCCTGAATTTTAGTCCCTAGTATGGGTCAAGATCAAAAGTGCTGGATCCTACATTTCCCATAATCTAACCAATAGTGTGTTTTCATTAGTAAACCCACCCAGCCACACCGCATCTTTCAAATTCTACACCTCTAGTTTGTAAATCTATCTCTTATAGATTAGTAGTCTTCAAAGGGTCAGTGAACTGAAGAGTCCCTTTAATGGTGTTTAAACAGATTAGTTTCTCTTTTAAAGATTACTTGAATTTGTAAAGGGCATCAGTTCCCTTGATTTTTTTTTTTTTCAAAGGGACAGTTCACCCCCAAGTCAAAAATACATATATTTCCCCTCGCCTGTAGTGCTATATATCCATCTAGATTGTTTTGGTGTGAGTTGCAGAGTTTAGGAGATAACGACCATGTCTCCCTTCTCTCCAATATAATGGAACCAGATGGTCCACTAAAATAAATACATTTGAAAACTTCAACAATGATGTCTCTTTCCAGAAATCATGACCCAGGTCCTCAAGATAATCCACAGACCATGTTGTGAGCAGTTTCATGTAGGAACTTTTTTATTTCTCACCTAGCACCACTGAGATAGCTAACGTTCAGTTCAGTTTCAACATAAACAGCTTACAACAAAGTCTGTGGGTTATC